AGGTTTTTTCGGTAAAGTCACGTAGGTAAAAAAATAAAATTAATAAAAATAAAAATCACGACGTTTCGGAGGCAACACAAGCTTCCGTCTTCAGGTGGAACCGTCACAGCCCGACAGCTGATACAGCTGATACAGCTGTCGGGCTGTGACGGTTCCACCTGAAGACGGAAGCTTGTGTTGCCTCCGAAACGTCGTGATTTTTATTTTTTATTTAATTTTTATTAATTGTAATTTTTTACCTACGTGACTTTACCGAAAAAACCTAAGAATATGAATCCTTGCAGTCACGAAAGCTTCAAATCTAAAACCTGTAGCACTCATTGATGTTATATTCACAGGTGCATGGTGAAACCACCGAGAAACGGGAAGGTAGCCAGGACCGGCGTCAACAATTTTCCAAACTCTTCGGCCCGCAGCGGGGGATGTTTGATCTTCCAAACGACTGGACTGCTGTGGGAAAGAGCTTTACAGCTCATCGGATTCCCTCCAGCATAAATCAATATTCTCATTCTGTTTGTCCAATCACATTCGTGAGTGCTCATACAAGTGGGAGGAAACCAGAATAATAGCCGGGGGTGGGGGGGGGTAACTCTCAATCCCTGTAATTGTATATTGTATATTATAGCTATTGTATATTTTAGATTTTATTTTATTAAATTTTTACATCGTTTAGCTCCTTAGTATTAGTTAGACTTGTACCTTTAGTAGTTAGACTTGTAAACCACTTATTTAAGATTTAAGATTCCTATATGTTGAATGTATGCACCTTCCGGCCAAAGTAAATTCCTTGTCTGTGCGAACTTTCATCGCGAATAAAACCCCTTTCTGATTCTGATTCTGAGATGGAAATTAATACTCTTTATCTCCTGCTATCATACTCTGACAAACTACGAGATTGCGAACCCGACGTTTAAAGGAATTATCCACGATTACAGTGTGGATGATGATGATGATGATAATTATGTTGTTACAGCCTGGTGTCGACCTACTGCTGGGTGAAGGCCCCCCCCCCCCCCCCCCCCATGGCGTGTCAGTCATGAGGGTTTGTTTGGCCATACTTCAGCGCGATTGTCAGCGTAGTTTGGTGAAGTGAGAGGCCGGGATCTGGTTCGTGCGGAGCGAAATGCAATGCATGGTTCGTGAGTTTTTTGTGGTTGTTATCGATTAATCAAGTCGATAAATCAATGCACCGTTTTAGTGTTTAGGGGTCATCCTTTGAACATTGCGGCTATGTGTTAAAACATTTACAATTGGCCGAAAATGTACGTTTGTATTTTTTTGAGATTCGATTTCTATTTTATTTTGCCCTTCTGATGTCTCGAAATTAAAATTAAAGGGGTAATGGTGGCACAGTGGTTAGCACATTGTGTCACGAACTGAGTGACCGACGTTTGATTCCCAATCACAGCTTTGATTCGTGAACCACAAGTGAAGAGCGATGTCTGAACCCTGCCCTTCACCAACCTCGCACTGACCAGCGTGGTGAAGTATGGTGAAACAACTTCCACGACCGACCCGGTAGTGGATTGACAAAATCTGAAAAAAATATATAAAGCTTTGAGTCAAGATTTAATTTTATCGTCGTAAAATATAACTTGCACAGACACACGGCAATAGTGATCCTCAGAAACCCACACTTATTCAACAACAACAACGCAATCCATCGACCTGCAGGAATTCAGATACATCTCCAACTTAAAAGCGTTGCAGGCTTCAAACACCAGGGCCCTGCAAAGGATCTTAACAACGGATTGGGACACCACCTGAGGCTTCCGCAAGTTTCTAACGGGGCCCTGACTGCGGTAGACAAATCCTGGATTAGGACATGAACTTTAGTAACAGGATGAGGCATATCTGCCCGAGGGATTTCCATCTAATTCGCACACACTATCGTATATTAATAATAATAAATAATACATGTCAGGCCTGTGCCAATCCAGCGCTAGATGAATGCCTCGCCCCACGTTCGCTCCGCGTCAATCACGGGGGGTCGTTTGAGCATCCTTCTTTGCCTTGCTGCATCGAAATGTACGTTGGGGAAGTTGGGAGACTCAAGACCGGTTCTGATATCGCTCTCCACTGACGTTACCCGTCGCCAGAAATCGAACTGAGGTTTGCTGATGGTCATAGCACAGCGCAGTAAACCACTGTGCCACCCCTCCACCAACATCATTACTGGTACCATGTAATAATAATAACTTTATAAATAATTACAGGTCCGTATTCTTGGTTATTTCGGTAAAGTCACGTAGAAGGGAAATAATAAAATAATATGCAAAATGTTAGAATAAAATTCTGACGATGTTTCGTCTGCAACACAAGCAATCATCATCAGGTGTGAAATCCACAGCAAGAAAATCTGATGATGATTGCTTGTGTTGCAGTCAATCCACAGCAAGAAAATCTGATGATGATTGCTTGTGTTGCAGTCGAAACGTCGTGAGAATTTTATTGTTTTATATTTTTATTATTTTATTATTTCCCTTCTACGTGACTTTACCGAAATAACCAAGAATATGAATCCCTGCAGTCACGAAAGCTTTAAATCAAAATTACAGGTCCATTGCTGAAAGAACCAAGAATATGAATCCCTGCAGTCACGAGAGCTTTAAATCAAAATTACAGGTCCATTGCCAATCCGCTGCTGGATGAATGCCTCCTCACACTGTGTCAGTCATCGAGGATGTTTGACCATACTTCACCAAATTAGTTTGTGTGGGTTGTTAAGAATTAGGGGCAGAACCGGTTTAGCTCTCTCCCGGTGCTAATGTTGAAATCCATGGCCGGATATCAAACTCGGGTTGCCGGGTTCATAGCGCAGTGCTGTTAGAGGGTTTGTCTGATGTCTCTTAGTGCACCAGATGCTCATTTAATGCTGAATCAACCTCGGGGAGGACAAGAATCAATTCAGATATTCCTTATCGTTGACGTTGTTTACGACCAGGCATCGAGCCCAGGTGTGTGGGATTGTGGCACAATGCGGAGAACAGTGCGCCATCATTGCACGCTGCAGCTAGGTTTGTGTTTAAGTTTACTAGGAGAGCAGATGTTTTAGAATATTATGAAAAAACATTTCAACGAAACTTAACAATGTTGTATTTTACCAGGCAAAGGCAACTGGGTTATATATCTGTTTTTTTAGAAGCGACGTGGCCACAAATGATAGGTCAACGAAGTATTTCATCATGTGGAAATGTATAGCAGCCAAATAATCTAAATGCATGTTGGTTATAAATGTGAAGGGAAAAAATCAGAGGACCCGGAGAAAAATTCCACGCGAACCACGGGGTGAGCATGCAAACTCCAAATATACAGCAGGCGTCAGGGTCGGGATCGAACCCACGACCTCCCGCATACCAGGCGAGGTAGTTAACATCTCGCCAACGTGGCATGCCGATACCAAAGTGCTCACATTACATTTTGAAACCCCTTCTCCCTGTCCTATTGGCATGGCGGAATAAATACAGAAATCTTAGGTGCTAGTAGCAGCTGGTTGCTATAAAATGTTCCATCCTAAGCAGCTGAGATTGGATTAAGCATTCTCATTTCATTTCATTTTGACCGCATACGTAACCAGGCGAAAGTATACACTTATACACAATGTAATTTGGAATTGTCCTATTTTGAGTTAATCCAATATCCCGCTCAATATTGCATTTCGCTTAAATACTCTCATAATGCGCATCTCCTACATCTCTTTGCCAGTGTTGATGCATTTTTCTTTATAAAGCCGTTGCACTTCGTGTGATGAATCTGTACCGCACGACTTAGACGAGATGACATGAAGGCTGACCTGACGGGTTCACAGTTCTCTGGGGCGATCAGCGTGTATCTTGTAACGTTCGTTTTAAGACCCCGATCTGCATGTCCAGCATGTTGCCTGATACGCTCAACCGGATCTTATCCGAGCTGTGCTGGCTGTGCACGTGCCCTGTAATCCGAGGCTGCGGAGGCAGCGAGGGTTTGTGGATCACACAAACGTTCACGAAACTCCCTTCCCGTACACGTTTGGTGCCATACCCTGGCTTGCCAGGAGAAGACAATACAGCAAAGTGCCCCTTGTTTGTGTTGTCTTCCTGCACGTGTGGATTTTCACCGGGTGCTCCGATTTCCTCCCACGTCTATAAACAGACACTCAACAATTGGCTGAAAACATCTTAATATATAGAGGACTGCAGACCTTTAGCAATTGTTGGTACCGGATCACCGCCTGGTTGTTGCCTAAAAGCTTGTGTATGGTTCCTCAACGATTGTGAAATGTATTGCTCACGAACGACGTTGTATATAGCTCAACATTACTATTTCCTGGATGAATAGGTGTCTCGACAATTATCCATTTATATGTTTTGTACACCATTCACTGACATGGCTGAACAGGAGCACGTTTTGTTATAGAGGTTCGCAGTTCGAGCCCAGCAGCCGCCCTGGTGAATACTGCAGGCGTATCGACCGAAAATAACGGGCCGCCTGCTCCACAGGGGACATTAAAGATTCAGTGATAAGTAGGCAATGTGTGCTGGTGTCATCATGCAAATTTCAAAAACCGCTTGGAAATTACTTAATTAGGAAAATACAAACTACATGGCCCCCCCCTCCCCCCCGACTGCGAAATTACTGCAGACTGGATGTAAAAGACCGCTCCTTTGTAATAAAATGGTACGAATGCCAAATGTGCGAACGATTCTATTTGACGATATCTCCCAATGGCACGGGGCAACTGCCTTGACGCGGCTAAGAAGCGTGATGATATCCTTCGGCACTTGCGTGACTTCGCCACGAGACTTATCGACGCATGCATCCACTTTGCGTCTGTTATCCCACGCTTACCCACTCTTGAACTGCTGACCGCATACGTAACCGCCCCCCACCACCACCACCCACCACCACCCACCACCGCCTCCTCTGCTCCCCCCCCACCAAACTCCAGCGAATTTAAATCCTCAAGCATAGGTACGGCACGGAACGAGAGAGCAGTCCAGGGACATCGCGTTCAGAATCACCCCACCAGGAGCAGCAGAGGAGCTCCGGTGGGCACAGAGAGAGAGAGAGTTTGGGACAGAGAGATTCATACACGGACTTTTTAAATGTTAAATAACTTTAGTGTAGTGCCGTTAGCCACACGCGTGATTGCAGTAATTTATTAACACGTTGGGTTTTGTTCGTTCGAATTTTTTTATTCTCATTGCTTTGCCGCTGTGCAATCCTAAACTCACACTCCTTAAATGCTGTCAGCGCGAAATTGAGATATATTTGAAATTATATTTGAAATTGCTTTGGCGATTCTCCTAATCTAACCTCGTCGCAATTATACCATCGCTGTTCCTTTGCAGTTTAAACAAAAACAGCAGCAACAAAATCAGGACGCCTGCTACATTTCGCGGGACGAACAAACCCACCGCGGGTTTACGCTGAACACAGAGAGAGAAATCAAGAGAGAGGGCATCGGCAAATCTTCTCCCCCACCCGCCCATCCTCACAGCCTCCAGATCGTCACATCTTGCTCGCAGTTGTATCGCCATCGACAGTGCAGCTCAAGTTTGGTTGCCGTGATCGAGGAGTTTCCGCCGCAACCCCGTCCAAAACAACAACAGCAGCGACAACAACAACAGCAGCGACAACAACAACAACAGCAGCAGCAGCAACCATGGGCCAACAACAGATGGGCGGAGGGGAGAGGATCCCGGGCGAGCAGGAGATGGGAGTTGCGGAGCTGCAGGAGTGGTACAAAAAGTTTGTGGTGGAGTGTCCAAGCGGGACGCTCTTCATGCACGAATTCAAGCGCTTCTTCGGCGTCCAAGACAACGACGAGGCGGCCGAATATCTGGAGAACATGTTCCGCGCGTTCGACAAGAACGGGGTCTGTACCCGCACGCCACTTGGGCCCCCCCATCGTGTTGCGTTTCGGAGTGCGTCCAAGGGCACCGAATAGTGGCGGGCAGCCATCGAACAACAACAACAACAACTAAAATAACCCCGCTGCAAATCAAGGTTTTTTGCTCGATAAAGTTAGTGGGTTTCGTGAGATGAGCAAGGTTGTACGAGTTCGGGATAAGAAAGAAAGAAAGAAAAAAGAGACCGCGGGAGGGAAATACAAAGCGGAGCGGTGTGAGGGTAGGGGCAGGCGGTGTGTGTGGTGGGGTGGATCGATCCTGCAGAACGATCCCTCCACATGGTTGGAGAATTCAATACGTGAGGTTAAGGGGAACGCGAACCGCGGAATTCGTAGTGATTAGAGAGTGATAAGGAGAGCGCGTGACCGCTTTACGTTTATCAAGTGCGCAGTGAGGTGTTGTCGTGCCTGCACCCCAGGCAAAGACAATGGTATTCCTACTTTGGTCGAATTAGTGCTTTGTGTGGTCGCAAATAATTACTCACCGAATAATTTCTGGGTCGCTGGGAGACGCGGAACCAGCGGCCGCAGTCATAGTGATAAGGTATACTGGACGTGGTGTGCTGCGTATGCAAATATTTCCCAGGGTCTTTGACCTGGACAGACCCAGCTGAAATTGAACCCTGGTCTCCAACCTTACGTGGTTGGCAGCGACAGCACGCATTCGTCTAGCGAGAGCAGCCCACCCCACGCATAGAACGGGAGGACTCTTGGCTTAGAAAATAAACCAAATATGTACGTAAAGATGCAATGTCCATAGTGCCAACGCGTCTACTTTGACTGTTTTAAAAGCTGTCGTGATTCGATGCTGTTGTGTCGGTACATACCTTTGCGCGTGATCTCTATCCACGTTTTGTCGAATTCCGATCGTGGCGACCTTAACAGCGCAGTAGCGCACATTGGCAAAAGGTGCTTGTGTTTATTTTTAATCCACACGTACTGGGAAATTTAAGAACTATGCATACCGCAAGTACTCCACCCAATGACTCGTGGCTCATATTTATCCAGAGGTGACGTTGGTTCCATGACAACTCCGATTATAAGCAGCCCCTGAATTCGTAAAATTATCCACGGTTATCTGAGATTATTTTTCCCCGCGAGATAAGTAGAGTAAATTGACAGATAATGTGATCTGCGATATTGGTCACCAACTCCCACGTCACCAAACATTAAAGGAGTTTTCTCCACGATAACGTTTTGCCTGGAAGTGGTGGCTCACGCGTTCCTAGCAAGGGGGTGATGAGCATCAACAGCCCTTCGTTTGGTGGCACGAATACCAGAATCGTGTTGAGTAACTGCAGTGTGACATATGTATTGTTTTACATCGAAGACAATCTGTATTGTTTTCACACAGAGACTGCGTAAACATTTTTGTGAGAAAAACCGATCCGTTGTTTTTTTAAAGATGGCATTGAGTACCAATTTTTTTTTTTCTTGAACGAAAAATATCCTGAGAATAGGTTTTCCCATTTTTTTCTGGCAACAAAACAGTGGTTAAGATGTTAAAACACCAAACTAAAACCTTTTCCAAGGAATCATGTTTGCATTAACCACAATACTTGTGGTCAGAATGCACAAGTATTGAGAATGCGCAAGTATTGTGGTTGATGCAGACATGATTCTTCGTAAAAGATTTCAGTTTTGTGTTTTAACATCTTAACACCTGTTTTGTTGCCAGAAAAAAAGGGGGAAACCTCTTCTCATATTTTGGTATTGGCAAAGGAGGTTCTATGATGACAAATATGCTCTTTTAAGGGAAAATACCTTGAAGTGTTCTTCCAATACACGCGCATAAATGGAAGCAACTCGCAACATTTATCACTAGCACTGCCTTATAACAGACATAACACATATAATAGACTGATGTTTCAGATGACGACCCTTCTTCAGTGCAGAGAGAGACAGTAACGGCAGAGAGACTGATTTGTAGTTGGAGGTCACCACTTTACACCGTGGAGGCCTCAAAAGAGCTGGGGCATTTTAAGAATGTTGACAGATGAACAGTTCTGAATTGACAAGATCAATTGTCTATTTGTAGACATTGAGTATCAAGCAAACACAAGAAAGTTGGCGAATTAACATTTTTGAGTTTCAGTATGAACGGGTTTCAATTCACTTCTTGTTCAATCACCGCGCAGTAATATCCCTGGCATTTTGCAAGATAGTTGTAAAGATGTGTATTTTACAGTCAACATTCCTGTAAGCCAGCTATTAACCAAAGTTATGCATATTTCCCCGCATCTCATACATTGGTGACACTTTAACACGTACGCTTTCGTGACCAATATTATCCATAATACAGTTTTTTCGTGGTTAGATCACGTAAATATATAAACGTGTCGTTAAACCCGCCACCACCCTACATAGCCAACTAGTAAGGTTTGTCACGTAAACGGAACATGCCAATGCGTTACCAGTACAGCACACCGGTGTGTTGGTGAGCAAATCCACAACATTTACAGACTGAGTACTTCAACCACAACCAAACCTTACCATTTTTCGATTTATAGCTTTCGTGACTGCAGGGATTCATCTTCTCGGTTCTTTCGGTAAAGTCACGTAGAAGGGAAATAATAAAATAATAAAAATAAAACATAATAAAATAATTCTCACGACGTTTCCGCCACAACGCAAGCAGCCGTCCTCAGGTGAAGAACAGGTCTGTCCCTTCCACGTGACTTTACCGAAAGAACCAAGAAGACAAACCTTACCAATTGGCTATGTCGAGAGTGGTGGAGGGTTCATATTCTTAGGTTTTTTCGGTAAAGTCACGTAGGTAAAACATTAAAATTAATAAAAGTAAAATAAAATAAAAAATCACGACGTTTCGGAGGCAACACAAGCCTCCGTCTTCAGGTGGAACCGTCACAGCCACGACAGCTGTATCAAGTAAATTTACTTAGCAAAAATTTACTTTTATTTTATTTTACTTTTATTAATTTTCAGCTTTTACCTACGTGACTTTACCGAAAAAACCCTAAGAATAGTGGTGGAGGGTTTAACGACACACATTCATACGAACGCGATCTAACCCGTTCGCTGACACGGTGGCTGTGTCCGCCGCCCCCTCCCGTCGGGTCCTGCCCGCAGGACAACACGATAGACTTCCTTGAGTACGTCGCCGTGCTGAACCTGGTGCTACGGGGCAAGCTGGAGCACAAGCTCAAGTGGACCTTCAAGATATACGACAAAGACGGCAGCGGCTGCATCGACCGCCAGGAGCTGCGCGAGATCATCGAGGTGCGTGCGTCAGATGAGTCCCATTTGCGACGAGCGTTTCAGATTCATATTCTTAGGTTTTTTCGGTAAAGTCACGTAGGTAGGTAAAAAATTTAAATTAATAAAAGTAAAATAAAAAAATTAAAAATAAAAATCACGACGTTTCGGAGGCAACACAAGCTTCCGTCTTCAGGTGGAACCGTCACAGCACGATAGCTGTATCAAGTGAGCGTTTCAGAATCAAATATCTGGATTTATACTGCAGGAGGAATCCGATGAGCTGTAAAGCGCTTTCTCACAGATGTCCAGCAGGGGCACGGGGTCGCAATGTGACAAATCAAACTATTAACTTTTTTTTGTATCTTACCAGGTAAAGCCCACTGACTTATCAGCTTCTTTTTTCTGAAGCGACCTGGCCACAAATGATAGCTCAACGCAGTAGCTTATCATGCGGAAATTTAAAGCGACAAAGATTATCTAAATAAATCTCACTCTGTCTCGGAGCGCTCGTCAATCCTCAGAACATGTATCTATTTATACCGTCGGGCGAGGAGACTGTGATTGGAGGGCATAAGAAGATTGGACAGGAGGCCCCAATTAATTCCTCGGAGGGTCCATCCCCAGCACAAGATTTAGTTTCAGGTAAATCTGGGGTTGGTATCGTTTGTATATTCGATTCCTTCCATTTGCTGTTGATCACCATCGATACCCGCTGTCGAACACTCCACAGCTATTCACCGTTGTTATTTAATACGTTCTGTCATATATATTTTTTTCAATTAAATTTTAAATATTATGTACGACTTGTAAAGCTGATCCGAAGATAAATCGAACGAAACTCCTCTACGTTCGGCGCATCGCTGGCCACAATGCGCGTAGCGACGAGGCCCCTAAAGCCCCTCGCGTTAATCCGGCCCTGCCCCGTGCCAACGGCGCCCTGCCACCATCCCCGAGCGCGTGGAGTTGGGGAGCTTCGCTTTCGGGGGCGAGAGGTGCCGCAAACAGTCGCGTCGACCCCGAAACCGAACCCAAGACGCAGCAGCAGCAGCTGCACGCATCCACCAGGCGTCAATCCTCGACACGATCGCCACTCTCGTGCACCTGTCCGTACACGTGGAGCCCCTTTGTCAATCCACTGCCCTGGATGAGGGTCACCCGATGCCACGTAGGTCGTGGGAGTTGGTAGACCATACTTCCACACGCCAGTCGCTGCGGGTTTGGGAAACGGGAAACGGCTCGCAATTCGTAAGGTTGCGAGTTCAAATTCTAGGTCGGGGATTTGACTCAGCACATCACTCCTCCAGGGTCCATAAATTGAGTGCCACTTTGTGGGGCAGTGAGAGCCCAGCCTCTGCCATAGGAATGTGGAATTTCCACCACTGGCTCGTGGCTATGGGAAGGAGATGAGCAACGCATCAATGTCCATTTCAGCAGCAAATCCTTTCGTGAATAACCCTTCTGAGCGCGATGCCTTTCAGTCCATCTACAACATGAAGAAAGCCATCAATCAGCAGGATGAGGGACCCCTTCTCTCTCCGGACGAAGTCTGCACCCGCATATTTAGGCTCATGGACGACAACGATGATGGTGAGGCGACATAACTACAACCAAAAACAACCGTGTGACTCAGTGGCATAGCGCGGTTACCATGGGCTCTGGTGCATGACACATGAACAATTTACCCCCTTCTTCATATCCCGGCGCCTAGGCCGTGGCGAGATGTTAACTACCTCGCCTGGTATGCAGGAGGTCGTGGGTTCAATCCCACCTCTGACGTCTGTATATTTGGAGTTTGCATGTTTTCCCTGTGATCGTGTGGATTTTTCTCCGGGTACTCCGGTTTTTCCCTCCATATTTAGAAACATGCATTTAGACGAGAGTATGTGGCTGCTGTACATTTCCACACGATAAGCCACTTCGTTGGGCTATCATTTGTGACCAGGTCACTGCTGAACAAGAGCTATATAGCTCAGTGGGCCTTAATAGGTAAAATAACAATAGTAAACAGTTGTAGTTTGTTTGTGTGTGGTGGTTACCCACCCAAGCACTTTTTCTGGCTCAACCCTGCTGCTTTGCTTCAAAACTCGGATTCGATTAGGTGCATTCTGGGTGATTTATGCAGGAGAAAATGACATTAATTCATGCAGTATTTACAAATGTAGTCGAACGTTCTCGCAGAAGTCATTCCGTTGCCCGTGGCACGGGGTTTCGCAGGCGAGCTGTCACTCGAGGAGTTCCTGGAGGGTGCGCGGAAGGACGCGTGGGTGCTGCGGATGCTTCAGCTCGAAATCGACCCCAGCATCTGGTTCAGCGAGAATCGAGAGAAGAACACCATGCTGAAGCAGTGAAACTGCATTGCCCTTCCCTGCCCTCTCCTTCCCTGCCCTCTCCTTCCCTTCCCTATCCTCTCTCATCATGCCCTTTCTTGCCCACTACTCTCCCACCATGCCCTTCTCTGCCCTCTCCTTCCCTGCCCTCTCCGCTCCCATTATGCCCTTGTCTGCTCTCTAACATGAATATATAAAAGGGCTAACATTTATAACAATGAGCCTTCTTTAGAAGTAATGGACGTGTTATTGACTGAAATTTTACCCTACTACGGTATATAAAATTTGTCTGCTATGAGACAGTGCTAATGACCAGGGGTTGTTTATTAGACAGGCGAGAAGATGCACAAACATTTTGGAGAGATTATTACTATTTGAACCAATATTACTCTCGATTAGAATTGCTGGCTACAGGCATATAATTATTTATCAGATTATTCAAATGTATTCTCACGCTCGCGATTCATCCATTCCATCGTGCGTGTAACGATTGCTCTTTACTATGTTAAAAAAATGTATGCTCATGTTAAATGTAGACGAATGGGATGAGCAAAACAACGCGCATGAAACAAGAATGTACGGGACAGACAGACAGATGAGATGAAATAAAATCCATTCTTGAATCGAACAGCAATTCCAAATCATGACATTTCATCACATTGAACAAGGGGTGGGTTCTTCCATGCTCATAAATGGCCAGGCATCTCATTGTGTGACTTGTTAAAACAGCAAACATCCAAACCTGACTTAAAAAAACGGTCTTGAGATTCTGAGAGATGTTCCTGTATAAATATACAAATTGTGATCATTTTTCCCGCTACGGTATTGTGGAATATAATTCATAGCCTATGAGCAACAGCCTATTTTATCTTCTTGGCTTTAAACCTCTAACTGTCAAAATAGATAAACAGACAATATGTCTCTTCACGTACAAAATAAAACATTTGAATACAACCTATTGTTCCCACGGCCTCCTGGGAGTGCATAATTTCAGCAGCATTGATTAGGTACAGTTTAACACGTAGGCTTTCGCGACCAATATCATCCATAATAAAGGCCTTTGGGTTAGATTGCGTAAATATATAATTGTGTCGTTAAACCCGCCACCACCCGACAGCCAATTAGTAAGGTTTGTCACGTAAACAGAACGTGGCCAATTCGTTACTAGGACAGCACACCGGTGTGTTGGAGAGCAAAGCCACAACAATTATAATCTGAGTGCAACCAAACTCTGGGCCGTATTCTTTGGTTCTTTCAGTTTAAGTCACATAGATAGAAAAACATATAATAACAATAAAGTGAATACAAACATCACGACGTTTCGATCGCAACATAAGCAGTCGTCATCAGGAAAAGGGGTTATCCTCTAAAGGCAAATTGTTTATGAAGGCTTGGAGATGGGCGTAGCCCAAGTGTATCAGCAGCACCAGCAACATGGCTGGGGTAGTAATGCCAATGCAGCAGCAATGCCAATGCAGCAGCAATGCCAATGCTGCAGCAATGCCAATGCAGCAACAATGCCAATGCAGCAAAGGGCCACCAGGAAATCACTACACCCCGCTCAACACACCATACTGCTGACGGTGGAGGTTGATTGACAAGAAAACAAGTCAAGTCATGACCCAAAGTGGTTGATGACATCTTGCCAATGATTGCCGAGTCTATAACCTTCCTCTCGGTTGAAACTGTGTCTGTGTTTGTAAATATGGATGGCTTCATAAACGATTCTTTGTTGATAGCCAGGAGGCTTGCAAAGTACCATCGTCTTAGAGAAATCAATTTCGTGTGAGCCAGCCGCCTTAAAATAATGATCAGCCACGGCAGAAGTATTGGTCCTTCCGTGTTTCAAATCTGCCTTATGCTCTCGAATACGGTCCGAGACATGTCGATGAGCTTCCCCAATGTAATTGCTGCCGCAGATACAGCTTAGTTTGTAGACGCCGGGATATTGCATGTCAGGAATCTTGTCCTTCACAGATGGGATCAGATCACGAATTTTATGTACTGTGTTAAATCGGACCTGGATCTTGTGTTTGTTCATGATTTTGGAAATATTTTTGGTTACCCATGCTATGTATGGCAGGGCGATGGTTTTGATTGGATGCTCAGATGGCTCCTTCCTCACGGTTGGGGTGATGGCTTTGCGGATTGTGTAGTCAGAATATCCATTCGCCTTGAGAGCTTGGTGTACGAGTTTGAGTTCACTGGTTAGGTGTTCATGGTCGGATATACATTGAGCTCTATGGTGTACCGTTTTGATGAGGGAATTCTTCTGGGATGGATGGTGGTGGAAATCGGGTTTTATGTAGGCGTCAGTATGGGTTACTTTCCTGGAGTGAATTCTTTGGTTGTTTCGGTAGAAAGAAAATAAATTAAATAAGAGTACGACATTTCGATTGCAACACAAGCCACCGTCATCAGGTATAACTACATTTGATAGAGAGACAAAACACAGACACGGAGACACACAGACAGACACACAAGCAGTCACGAAAGCTTCCTGGAGTGACTTTACCGAAAGAACCAAAGAATAGGAATTCCTGCAGTCACGAAAGTTTTAAGTCAAAATTTTACACTGGGCCGGTTGAGATATATAGTGTCTCGTCAGTAGTCTTGCTTCCATGAAACAATTTTGGTGAACTGCCAAATGTTATAGGCAAGGACTCTCTCTTTGAGATATGGGTCCTACTTAACATATAATATACAGCACAATATAATCATTGTCGTCATTGTGGATAATAGGAATAACAAAAGAGACGGGCAATAAGTACTTGCCTAGCTTGTCTGGGTTCTCAGTCTGGGTAATCGTCAGCATTAGCGGCCGTAAATCCTTGAGGCTATCGCGTGCCTGTCACGCCTCCTCTTGAGAGCTGGGCTCTAGGCCACCGAGACCCTAATGTGATAGATAATCCAGGTCACCGGGTTCTCTCCAGGCTCCTGCCGAGCGACCTCTACATGAGAGTAGCACTTCGTCAAAGCGCATTAGTAGTTTTAAAAAAAACTGTCATGGTTGGGCGATAAGGCACTTGCGCTGAAAGCGGGACAGCAGATATGTGGAAAAGCGCCTCAGTGGTTCCGTAACATCATGTGCTTCTTGGCCACGGTTTGAATTTGGATTACTGGCTGTAGTGTGACACGTTTGAAATTGAAAACGCATCTCTTTAGAACAGCTTTTTAAATCCTTTATATTAAGTTCGCTTGCTTGCTTGCTTGCGTGCTTGCGTGCTTGCTTGCTTGCTTACGACCGTGCAAATCTTTCGGTCGTTTTTTTAACACACTTCCCGTGATCCAATCGAGCTGACATTTTCCACACAGACTCGTTGTGCGTGACAATTAATTTTTCGTGAAAATTTTTTTCCAAAATTTTAAACTGTTTAGGGAAATTTTTTTAAATATTTAATTACCAATTGCTTAATGCTGGCAGACAATCATCTGACCCATAGGTGGCAGCCATCTCAAGCCAGAGGACGAGAGGACTCTAGCCGCCACGCATATAAAGGATTTAGAGTGAAAAACTTTGTTTTTACGGGTTAAATTTTTTTGTGTTTAGTTTGTTGTCCATCCCCCCCCCGCGTACCGATTATCACGGTCGGCTACGATCGGTGCAGCGAAGGAAGTTCAACGTACATAAACGTACATACGTGTTGAGATGTTTACATCGCCGTGCCCTGCAGTCATGCATTTTTAGCCGGCGACCAATGTTGAGATGTGCGTGTGAGTTTGTGATAATGAAATAAGCAAATTCACGGCTCCTGTCGAGTCGCTCCATCGCTGGATGAAGGCCTCCACATCCCGGGTCGGTCGTAGGTGTCGTTTGACCATACCTCACATTAAATACGCACTACAATGACAATAGTTTAAAGCGATTTGAAGCATGTTTTATTTTTTTGTGGGGGGGTGGGGCAGAGCTTTGTGACGTCATATTTGAGGGGGGGGGTCTGACTTTTTGTGACGCCGTGTGACGAGGGGGGGGGGGGTCAAAAATCGTCAAAAATCGCGTGACGTCATTTATGGACGGCCCCATAACCAGAGACGGACAACCAAGATCGCTCTCGGGACTCGGCCTTTAATTCGATCGACCCCAGAGGAGGAGGTGATGAAATTTAAATTCATCCTCTTACCTGTACCAATATCATATGACGTCACGCTCTCATATACCACTGTTATATGACGTCATACCTGTCCAGCATTAGAATATGTATTTATGCTGGAGGAAATCCGATGAGCTGTAAAGCTTTTTTTCACAGATGTCCATGACGTGACCCTCACCTGGACAATGACTAAGATGACGTCTTTTTAAATCCTTTATATTAAGTTCGCTTGCTTGCTTGCTTGCGTGCTTGCGTGCTTGCTTACGACCGTGCAAATCTTTCGGTCGTTTTTTAACCCACTTCCCGTGATCCAATCGAGCTGACATTTTGCACACAGACTCGTTGTGCGAGACAATTAATGTTCGTGAATTTTTTTTCTCCAAAATTTTACACTGTTTAGGGAAAACAAATTAAATATTTAATTACCAATTGCTTAATACTGGCAGACAATCATCTGACCCATAGGTGGCAGCCATCTCAAGCCAGAGGACGAGAGGACTATAGCCGCCACGCATATAAAGGATTTATAGTGAAAAACTTAGTTTTTACGGGTTATACTTATTCACATATCAGATGACGTTGACCCACGGCCAACATCACTACTCAACGACGTCACAATTGCCTGGTCGGGATTGCGTCAGCGTCACCCAAGCTGGCGAGTGACGCGATTCCCAGCCAAGCTCATGACGCAATCCAACATGACAGTCATGACGTCTTCATGTAACGCGTTAAACACGATGACATCATGTCGTCATTTATTTGCGTGGTGACGTCACCCGCCAAATCTCTTCCTACGTGAGGCGACCAGTGGTGGAGAGTTTGGGTGGCCAGGTCTCTTCAGTACAATGTCTATCCTCCCCCTCCCAACTCTCGCCGTCATCATTGTAATCGGCCCCGGTGGTTTTTAGACGACACCATTAGCAGCACGAGAGGGAACTGCGAGAGGCAAGCGGGAGCCGCCCGCCACATCGGGTACGCAAGAGACCAGAGGCGGGAGACGACAGGTGCGAACGGGCCTACGGCGTTCCGTTGGTGAGTCCTACCGGACGCGGTGCGACATCCCCGGTAGGGAATCTAGCAGAGGCGCGGTGACACCCCGAGGTCGAGGGGCTTCTGCTAAACAAAGCGGCGTTTTGAAACGCATTTGGAATCCCAGGCGAGAGGCGAGTGAGCACGGACAAGAGCTTTCTTTGTGGTGGTGTGTTTTAGAAAGTTGTCGCGTTGAAAGTGCGTGTTTTTTTTAAAAATAAGTTTATTTGAGTTGTGTTGTGTTTTAATCCCTGCGCTGGTTAATGGTTTAAAGATGCGAATCAGCTGTAGGTGGCGCTCAAATGACGCGCTTGGAGTAAAACCATGGGGCATTTAACACACACCTTAGACTACACTGCAGATCAGGGGTGGGGAACGTACGGCCCGCGATATAATTTGGGTCTGGCCCTGCCAAGGCAACCGCAGGCGGGACTCGAAATTCAATAAATCTCGGAGCAAACCTGGAAAAGCAGTTGCGAGTAGCAGCAACATCATCAATACCAGCTAACATCATCACACGCCTCGCCAAAGAGAAGCAGTTCCAGCCATCGCATTAGGGGTGAGTTAATTAAATGTTTGACCAAATATCACAGGATATTGTTTTAAGTTGATAAGTTTGTATGGCACGCGAATTATGTTATAAATATCCAAATGGCCCTTGGCAGAGAAAAGGTTTCCCGACCCTGGACTAGATAGTATTAGCCCGATTTCAGTGAATGTCGGAAGGCGAAGCAGGCGTTGGAGCCTGGCTGGTACTTGTCTTATAGGCGTCGAGGGCAGTGCAGCAAATTTAACTTTTTGCACCTACCCCCTCCAATAGTTTTTTCAACCTTTACCAACCCGCACTGACCGGCGTGGTGAAGTATGGTCAAATATCGCTCATCGCCTGCAAGGCGTTGCGGAGGCCGTCACCCAGAAGTGGAATTGGCAAAGGGGCTGTACGTGTGTGCGTGCACACTTAGAGCACAACACGTACACGTGAAGCAACGTGCGATTGACATGTGTTGTCATTTGTTCAATTAATTACAGTATTATTCACGAACTCGGAAGTTAAGCCGACCCATGAAGTTTGGCTTATAAGGATCGGCGCATTCTCTAGAAAAAGATTTCCCCCCTGTGGGTAAATCATTGAGGATAATAATAGTACGCTGTTGTGTCTACAGCCTTTTTGCCATTCCGCGGCCGTGTCGGTTATGTTGGTTATTTGGCCACACTTCACATGGCGGGTTCCATGCTGACCAGGTGAAATGGACAATACAGAACTGCTTCTGATATCATCTTCTTGGTTCTTTCGGTAAAGTCACGTATAATGGAAATAATAAAATAATAAAACTAAAACATAATAAAATAATTCTCACGACGTTTCGGCCACAACGCAAGCAGCCGTCCTCAGGTGAAGACCCAGGTCTGTCGGGGAGACAGCGTCTGAATGAAACAACACCACGCTTGGAGCGTATATTTAAGCTGGGTTGGAAGGTGGGAAGGTGCGCCTTGACAAAATAATTTGCATATCAAGAGGAATTTAGCATATTTATGGGAAATGCAGGTATGTGATTAGTACTACTTGCTTCTGATATGTCTCGCCCACTGATGTTAGCCGTGGCCTCGAATGGCTCCCAGATGCCCGTGTTCATAGTTTGCGAACCACTGCACTTCCACTCCACCACGGTCACCTACCGCCCACCTTGTGGGGTTTTATTTAATGTTGTTAAACGTCCGCAAGACCCAAGGCTGCGACTCATTAGAACGGGGCCTGCATTGTTTAACTGTACTCGCTTCGGGTGATTGAACTCAGGTTCTTGACTTGAGAGGGCAGATCGCCACTGCCGCATCGCCCCCGCCGGTCGCTCGCTTTGATCCAAGGCGCCTTTTTTATTCATGCCAGTCAATTCATCGATACCCATTCCGCGTCTCGCCAAGACACAAACAGTAATGCGGTCTTAATTGGTTTTATAGGAGGTGCCACTACGTACTTGGATATGTATGCGCCTCGGGAAGTGAATGATTCACATATTTACTGAGAATCAATCAGTCTTTATTTGTTACATGCAAAACGGTGAAATAAATGTGTGTCCCCGTGCTAGGTGAATGATTAAAGCGCAACATCGCGAGAGACGGCGGTGGCTTTTGGGGAGGCAATCATCCAACAGTGGATTTAACATGGCTGATGATGAATGAATACAAAGAATTCCCGTATTTACAAACGTGTGGGCCATTTTGACCATGTTATATACAGCAAAGAACAGTGCAAAAATAGAGAGAACATTGTTTTTATACTGTACATTATTGTAATGCACTTCTATGCATCCTGCATCTATGCTCCCTGCCTTCACTAACCTGCATTTACCAGCGTGATGAAGTATGGGAAAATAACCCAGCACGGGGAGGCTCTCATCCAGCAGTGGATTGACAACAGGCCGTACATGTACACATGTGGTCGCTAATTGAGAACATGTAATGTATAACCACGTTGGCATCAATTGAGACAGAATCTCAGTTTCAACCCAGACTAGGCTTTGCCTTTGCTACATTAAAATTCCAGGGCATGAGTCCCAGTGGACCCAGCATGTGAGACAGCTGTGTTCATGCCGGTCTGATCTGTGGCATGTCTGCTCAGCATCCGAACCACACGCACGCCTTTCATGGCAAACGCCTATTGCTTAAATTCTCACGCTACATCCATTATCTGGCGATCGATATTGTAAATACGAATGGGGAGAAACTCTTATTTCTACAACTGGATATCCATTTTTTCTTCCCTCCTTGCCACTGCTCGAGGTTGGAATTCTCTCCCATTGTCTCTCCACTTTTAATAACTTTATTCATTAAATGGAATGTGTTAACCCCAATATATTAGACCGTCAATAATAGTGCTTAAATTTCGATTTAAAGCTTTCATGACTGCAGGGATACATCTTCTTGGTTCTTTCGGTAAAGTCACGTAGAAGGGAAGTAATAAAATAATAAAAATAAAACATAATAAAATAAAATAATTCTCACGACGTTTCGGCTACAACGCAAGCAGCCGTCTTCACCTGAAGCCGTCTTCACCTGAAGACGGCTGCTTGCGTTGTAGCCGAAACGTCGTGAGACTTTACCGAAAGAACCAAGAGGAAGAATGATAGTGCTGTTTGTACGTATGTACGTTGAACTTGTTTCGCACCTGACGGAGGCAATCGTGCTAATCGGAGTTGCTGGCCGCTTGGTGTTTTGGGCTTTTGGCGTTGTGCTTGGCAATCATGATACACAAAATGCTTTAGGCTCAATATTAGTCGTTTAAAAGAGATGGTTGTGTCCTGCATAAAACGAGGCTTGTCCCTGAACATGGAAATCCCTAAAAATGCACTTTGTGAAAGCAATCGTAAAAAAGGACAAAGAAGATGCTAGGCAATATCATTTAATATCATTTTTATTTTTGTAGCATCTAAGCCTGTGACCAAATCACCTGGTATACACCCGACCCTTTCAGGTCTGGAAGCTAAGCAGGTATTAGCATGGAAAGTGCTTGGATGGATGATAACCAGGCACAAACAGGTTATCATAGGGCTGCATGGCTGCTTGGTGGGCATTAAAGCACATTCCGCCTTAATCCATTGTTGCAATGTGCCTCTGATCATGTGTCTATTCTCCCCACCTTCAGCAGCCCATACTGACGAGCTTAGCGAAGTATAGCCATATAATGCCCACGACTTGCATGGCGTAGGGGGAGACTCATCCAGCAGTGGATGCATGAAATGGCTGTACTTGTCCATAGCAGCTAAATGCAGCTGCATCTCGTAACGCGCGTTGTTTTGATATTAATTGTTGTGTGAATGTTCTACTTTTGTCATTAAGAAACGGTTACTCATTGCTAAAAATACAATGCTTGAGGCTTACTTACAAATTAAGATTCTACTTTACATACAATCATGTATTTTACAAGCACACGTACAAACCGCACCACCGTTATTAACACTGCCTTGATGGAAAAAACAAATACTGTACAGTATATCGTCAGTGTTTTGAAGCATGTATGTATAAATATTTGATTATCCAAAAGCATACCTGTGAACCCATACGGTTTACCCATATTCTTGTTCAAGGAAATTATATTTACAGGTCCATACGGCGTACAGCCGTTTTAATACGGGAAAAAACAAATAATTTGTCTTTGTTTCTCCCTTGTGATGGGACTTTGTAGGATGAACGTTGAGATTTATAAGGGCACGGGGTGACCAATAAGGTCTGAACTGGTCTGCAATAAGGTAGGCACTGATAAGGGGTTGACAGGTATTATGTTAAGGGTATATTTATTATTTGATGTTTGGCAATAAATGTTGTTCGTATGTCAATATAAAATTGTTCACATCGGAACTTGCTTTGACTTTTCCAGTTTGTCCAGGTCACCACACAGTACAGTGCCAAGCGTGATCTCCAACAGTATATTCAGTACAATACATCTGTGAACCGTCTATCAACAGCGAAGGACCATTTCCCGAAACACAGCCTACTATATATATATTTTCTTTTACAAGGCGGTCTTAATGGTGACGCTTGAATGTTTTTTCTTTTTGCAATGTTTTTGTTAATAGCCCTCCCACAGAGCAGTCACAAGGCAGTGTTTGTTAATAACCATGATCGTAAAGAATTTTTAGACTGTGTGAGTACCGCGGGCAGAGAGCGGTTCGCTAAATCTCCGAATTGTGCCATGTTTTTTTTTCGCAGCCGATCTAGGCCGCTGCCTTCGTCGTTGCACCGTCCCGAGCAGGTGACGGCATCGCCGCCGCCTTCGCCCGGCGAGACGGACCGAGCCGACGGACCCCGGCGGCGGCTTGGCGCGCGGGTGCAGCGATGTGGAACCGTCTGTCGAGCATCGCCCAGGGAGTGAGCGGCGCCGGCGCCGTGGAGGAGGTGCCACCCGTCGGCCGGCTCGACTCGGTGAAGGCGGCGCACGCATGTCACGGGGTGCACCCTGCGCCGATTGAATAACTCAAACCGCGTGCCAAATCCAACGCGCGTATACTAACGGCCGAGACGCGCACACACGTATTTTACAGAGTGCTTCCGTTTTATTAGTTTGAGGATTTATTATGTCATGCTGACCATGCAATAACAAGATGTGTTGTAAACCAAAAATAATGTTCGTGCAGTGGAAGTCTTTCTCATTTGCTGTGATGTGGGTGACATTATTGGTGACTTTCTTTAGTGGTAAAAATAACTCTTCTTATTCGGGGTCACATGATAAATGTAGATAATAGGCTGAATTTGCTTGCTTTTATGGGAAACTCTTATGCACAAAAATGTGCAGATAATATGAAGACCTTAACACCCGCAGTCTTCTTGTTACCAGTGGATGAATGTGGATAGTATGGTGATTTTACCATAGGATTTCTCTTATCCGTGAACAGACACTGATAAGAAAACATAAGTGGATTGATTGGGGTTCACAGATAATTAAGAGCCGCAGACAACAGGAATGCATGTAAGGGGCGTTTCACTGTGATCAGTTAGTGATCATTCTTCACTCCCAGATTTATTGAGTGGTCGAGCAGCGATTGGTTATGTCGTGCACATAAATCAACATTCAACTTCCTGCTTGTAACAAGTTTACGTCGCGTTTTTATGAAGCTTGTTTTTCACGAGTTCTTCACAGAAGCGACTGTGTGACACAGAGACCCTTGTACAACCAGCCAAAGTTATAGGCTTTCTCCCTTGACAGGGCCCCTACATTTACTCATGTGTATACTGCTTATTTGAGCTAAATTGTCGTCTCAAATATAAATATATATATTTTTAAATCAAAATGTCCTACCAACAATACAGTAGTGCACACGATAATTACTAAGTGCTCCTGAGGACATTCCAAGCCCATAATTGTTCAGTGACCCAGTTTGTGTAGTGGTTAGCCAGGCCATATCCAGTCTGGTAGGCGTGTGCAAATAGGGATCTCTAGAGCCAGGAAGGGTTTAGTTGGCCAGCTGTTGCTGTGTGTGCAGTTGGAATATGAAATTGGGGCTCGGATAGGTGTGTGGCCAAATGTGTGTGGACATATTGTGGGGAGGCCTACATCCAACAAATAGCACATGGTATGCATTTAACAGTTCATCCTCCCACCAATGATTCGATGAATTTTCATGATTTTATGCAAGTATTTTTTCCCCTGTTATTTACCATCTCGTTTGTTTCTCGTTTATTTTATCTTTTAGCTCCGTTCAACGAAATCCAAGTGTATAATTCACCTAATTTTGCATGAAGTATAATTTATTGATTCACATTTGCACAATTGGATCGACGGTTTGTCAGCCTAAGTATACATTTTAATCTATGAATTGAATCCATCATTACATGCCGAGGAACTCCCAAAGTTATAATCAGGTAATTGCTGAAGCGTAACAAAATATGTAAGTATGACAAAAAATATATTGCCATTGTGGGGATCCTGCATCCAGATAATATCTCACAGTGGCGTGACGGTGCTGACGGTGATTGCTGTGGACTTTAAACGAGACCCTCGCGTGTTAACGACCCTTGCAAGTGTGTGTGCGTGTTTGTTGATGGGGAGCGGTAGTGTAGCGGTTAGCACCTTGCACTACAAACCCGGCGACCAGAATTCGATTCCCGCTTACGGCCAACACCAGTGACGATTATCTGTACCGGTCTTGGGATTCCCCTAGGTCGACTCGGCTTCACATGAGTACCTGGTGCAGTGTATAAAACATCGCCACTAGGGAGACAAAGGTGTGGTGCTAGCCACCCACCCACCCCATCGTGTGACATGTCGGCCTTCATAGGTGCTTGCTAACAGCACATGTTCCACGAGTCTTTTAAGGCTATACGGGGGATCTTTGTCCTGGTGAGCAGCCCCAGAGGAATGCGGGCGGCTCGGAAAGAGGGGAGATCGCGCCAGCCGGGGAGGATGCGGCGGAACGGCTGGCGCAGATGGAGGGGCTCGTGACGCAGCTCAAGGAGCTGATTCGCGAGAAGGATGGGCAGCTCAGAGCATTGGATCAGCAGCTGAAGGTGAGTTCCAACAATCTCGTCGGTCATTGTTAAATCCCCCCCGCGCAGTCGCCGCCATCTCTCACTGTCTCGCAGGACAACAGTCCAATCTGACTCCTGAGCTCGAGCCAATTTCATTGCTCCATCTCCGTTGTGGAAGCCTCGCGGGCGTTTTTCTCTCCTTTGGCTGGAATTGGTTGTCGTGACAATAAGCCATCATCTGACCGTGTGGATAATTTTTCCCCAGGTTATTTTCTGCGTTTGCTCACACCGTTTTTTTTTTTTATGGCGCTCAAGAATATCCCTACAGACAACTAGCAGTGCGAAGAACTGCCCTGGAAGATGACTTATCAGAATTTTTAAAGTCTATTCATTTAAGCGTTTATGCATACTAGGTCGCCCACACTTTTTTATTCCACTCTATTAGACAATTCATATTTATTTCTACAAGTCTGAATATTCAGAATTAATAACACAAAAATAAGCTTATGGCTGTTTTGCTTCAGTCATTGGAGACCGGCATGAAACTATCAATTCACTACCCTTGGGAGCCCGGTTTAACAAAGATCTGCACTGTATAACACCTGTACCATTGCAGGACGCCCCTGGAAATAGAGCCTAACAGCTCATTGGACCCTTCTTGCTGAAATAAATAGTCTTAAGTCTAAATCTAAATTAATCATGTTGACTGAAACTCGAATCCTGAATTTCAGCAGTTTCTGCTGAGTGCTCTTACACACTATTAGTCCCCTGAGCTACCCACCAACCTCCAAGGGCAGTAAAGTTCTACAAAGCTACTGCACAGATTTTTGCAGTTTTGCTGTAGAACTTTAGATCGTTTTTTTCGGTTTTGTGCCGAATGTTCTAGGCCTGGTTCCTAAATTTTCACTCCACACGCGGCAGAAGCGCCAAGCGTGTGGAGAGAAACGTCAGACGGCATGCCGAACAACGCGTGGTAAAACCTAAAAATTCCGGAGAAGTTTAATATAATTCAATGAATTTGTTCTTTCGGGATGGATGCCAAAAGATAGTACAATTTCAGTAGCACGAAAGGTGTATGCCCCCCACAGTAGGTTACAAAACCAATGTTAGCAGAGGGCAGTGCAGCAACACATTCCTGCGGAGGGAGCTGGTAGGAACGTTGGGTTGCTCGGTCAATGGCCAGGGTCAACGGCGGCGTGCTGTATTCCGCAAATATGCCCGACTGAGGGCGGGCACAAGCCGGCGTAAGTAGGTTAAACGTTGAGTTTTATAAGGTCACCACGGGGTGACCTGCCCCACCCCTCCCACCCCCCACCCAGCCCCTCCCCACCCTCCCCACCCAGCCCCTCCCCACCCTCCCCAACCAGCCCATTCCCACCCTCCCCACCCAGCCCCACCCTCCCCACCCAGCCCCTCCCCACCCCCCCCCTCCCCACCCAGCCCCTCCCTGCACGACGGATGGACGGACACAATAATCCTCTGTGGGCTGGTGTAACCAGGAGGTTCCTACCAGTATAATCTATTGCTGTACAGTACTTCTATGTTCCCAAGTCTGTGCTCCCAGCATTCAACTACCCCCATGATCCGTGCGGCACGATAAGCCTCTCAACCAGCAGGGGATTGACCAAAGAGCTGTACGTGTATAATCGTATAAGTGTGTCCATCACTGCGATGTGACCCTTACATGCCGGCGCCAAAAATCAGCTATGCACATACACGTGCGCAATGACTTAATGAGCGGTGGATGCCAACATCCACGATGCATTTTCAACAGCAATTGTTTTTTTTTTTCCAGGATGACCGGCAGGCTGCGGAAGGGAAGCTGTCCAAGCTGAGGCTGCAATCGAAGGCAAAGACAGCCCAGTGCGAGGAGCTGCGCAGACAGATCCAGCAGGCCTCTCCCGCTGCCGCCACCGCCGCCGCCCACACCAAGGGGTCGCCGGCAGCACCCGGAGGACCCGTGCCTGGCCCCGACACCCCACGTGGCGGGGATGAGCGGGGGAAGGTGGGTGTGGACGGTGGTACAAGTGGGACCTCGGCGTGCCTAGAGCCTAGAGAATGCTCTTTGGTGGCTAATGCGCTTTTAGACATTTAAATTAGCCTCCCGCTTACGTTGTTACGCATAGCGCAGATGGGATGCACTTTGAGAAAGCAACACTAAAAAAGAGCACAGCGAGCGTAATTCACTTGATAGCGAAGACAGATGTGTAGCATGTTAGGAAATAATTTGCTGTTATTACCAATTGAAAACGTGAATAGGAAATTCAAGACAATTTGTTAAGAGGTCTCGAAAACATATGAAGGATGATTAGATTTCTTAAATTGGATTAAATGTATAATGTCATAATTTTGTCACAGCGTAAATGTAATTAGCCAATGAAGACATAGTAATGCTTAAATCTCACCCCTGTGATGCACATTTAAATAATTCGCAACAATTGAAGCTTTCACTATAATTTTGGGCCACCTGAATGTAGCGTTCATTTGGGGTGGAATGATCTACATCAATACATAAATGAATACCAATAATTCAGCTCAGGATGTATGTATGCACAGTGTGATTTCAAGCATGTACCTCTAAGCTAGCAAATGCAATTTCGAGACATCGTATTTACTGTTAGCAACAGTAAGCAGGCTCCGGCATTACATGTCACTCGAAGGGTTGATGCCCATTGGTCGAGACTAATGACGGATTGGCAGCCAAAGGAGAGAACGCACGTGAGAGGATGTTCACTGGGCAGATTGAGCGATGAATACAGCTCGTCTGCAGGAAGTAGATGCACTCTTGAATTGCATGATGGCGGGGGGGGGGGGGCGATGGTTACGCCTTCGAGAGGTCCTTACGTTTTGTAGTGAATAGACCATGGGTTATGATACGTGTTATTTTAAAGGGTTCACATCATCCCTGCAGCCACTAGTGGTGCAACCGCATGCTGCAACGATACAAAAGGGAATTGATTATTTATTTTAATCATGACGATTTATCCAATTGCCATTTGGGAGGAGGGTGAACTGCCCCAGCCCTCAAGTTTATGATCTACGATTTGGCCTCCTGTCACTGAGCAGCTCGAATGTGTTGCGTTATCGCTTGTGCCCTGCGATGGCTGTAGGTTGCCGATGGAGAGCCTGAGCAGCATCAGCAGAATGCCAAGAGTCGTGGAAAGATGCTGCTCATGAAGAAGAAGGTGGATGAGCTGGAGAGCACTCTTGCTCAGAAGCATCAGCAACTGGATGAGAAGGTAAACCTGGCAGGCAGAAGCACTGTTCTTCATCTGCCTCGGCAACACGATCGTATTCTCACAACAGTGGCAGCTTGTGTCTGCGGGTTTGTGAAGGCCAGGAGCAAAGCTGGAGTACAACAATAAATGTACTTGTTCTGCCCTCTGCTGCACGCAACATAACCCTACAGAAGCCTTTCAACATATGTTTTTATCATGTTGGTCAACGAGCCAATTTCTATGCAGGCTCAACTTTGCTTAGATTCAGAAATCTTCAAAGGTCAGGCATATTCAATATCATTTTGCCACAGTGGGGCAGATATTGGGTGCAATGTGTTGTTTCATTGATCATTTCAAGTTGAAGGCAATGTGTTATCACCAGTATTGGCCACCCACCAAATCAGTCCGTCTGGTGGAGAGAGTGCCGATGAAGCCACTGCCATCGCTTTCCGGGTTGTACGTTTACTTCACCGAAACGCGTTACCTGAGACCGCAAATCCCAAGGTGGCGTTTGTAGCCAAACCCTCCAAAGCGGAGCTAAGAATCGCCATTGGCCATCAAGTGTACCCACGCTCACGCGCGCGTCGCTTATTCCTGGCGGCAGTCCGCCGAGCTGGAGGCCCAGCGGCGACGGGGTGAGGAGGTGGACGCCATGCTGGCCGACATGCGGTGCAGGCTGGAGGAGAAGGAGGCGCTGATCGTTCACCTCCAGGTGTCGGCCGGGTCCGACAGCCACTCGCCGCCCCCTGTCACCGCCAGCGCTAAGGAGCTCCAGGTGAGACACTGGCTTCACGCGCACATACGCGCACGCACGCGCACACACGCGCACACACGCGCACACACGCGCACAACAACAACCGCCATTCGCTACTAAGTGGCGGTGACATCACCACGACGCATGTGCCAGGCCATGTGCACCTTGAGGCCACGTGAAGTGTCGAACGCCCTTTGGCAGGAGGTCACGGAGCAGACCCAGGTGCCACAGGTTAACTGACTGAGATGACTGAGATGACTGGCTGATGCACCACCTGTGCTCCCTACTGTGCCAACTTGCTGTGCTTTAGCCACCCGGCGCTCCGCTCGTTGTTGTGAGCGTCGTTCCTCCGCCCTCTGTTGTTGTTGGAGGGCGACTGCCTCCAACTGCCCAGTAGCGTCCTTCACGAGCCTCCATCACTGAGGCCGATCTTGACACCGCTGGTACCAGTCATCGGCAAGTCCACTCAGCTCCACGTCCTCCTGCACCACATCACTCCATATCTTCTCTCGCCCATGCCGCGCCCGTTTAGCCCTCTCTATCCGGCCGAACAAAAGCTGTTTAGGCATGCGGTGGCTGGGCATGCGGGCTACATGACCCAGCCAACGCAGCCTTGCCCGCCGGAGGAGCTCACCGATGGGACTTTGCCCAGATCTTTCAAGGATTTGTGAGCTCCTCACACAATCCAGCCTGATTAAACCCAGGATGGATCGTAGGCAGGTTTCTAACCGGCGAAGATGCGCGCACACACGCGCACACACGCACTGGCCTGTGCTCAGTAATTGTGTGTAAAAAAATAACCCTATTGCTGAACTGTATCAATGCCGCACGGTAGATTTCGTCTTTTTACTACCCCGGTCGTGAAGTAACAATAGCATACATCACGGCCACGCTCACCAATTTCAAACGATGGCTCACAAACTTCGACTTGAACAGATAAACATTTGCTGAGCTCGCTGCCATACTAAAGGAACGACTGTCAGGCACACCTTACAATTAAACTACCGCACCTCCAACTGCACCCATGTTCATTAACACTGGAAACAGCTTAATGTATGCGCTTCCACGTTTGCGGATTGCGCAGCGTTGTGTGATGCACTGGCATCAATTAGGCTAATAAAAAACTCATTATTATCCATCTGTGTCGTCACATTAACGTCCATCAGCCTGGTGGGCATTTGGACAGTTGTTATCCAGCAGCATCTCTTCAAGCAAACAAACTCTGGACAGGATTTGACCTCCTGGGTTCCATGTATTATGCTTGGTAAAAGAGTTTTTACACTTCATTATTATGTAAATTTAATGCGTAAGTTCAGTTTTTCTTAATCCTTTGTGCATTTTATATTTCTTTTTTTTTCATAATTTTAATACAAATTTTAAAGGAATACATTTGCATGCTTTAGAAAAATATATTCATACTTTGCATACCTAAAGCATGATTTACCAAACTTTTTAGTTATATGTTTCACGCGGTAGTCATCAATTCTCCTAAATAACGTTGCCTCACGTTTATCTGTCACTGATTACGTCACTGGCAATGTTTGCTTACTTCACTGCCAATCAAACCAAAATTTTACAGCAGAAAAACAAACAGACTTTGTGATAACGTAACCATATTTTTTATGCTATTGTTCCCCACCACAGAACCCTGTTTCCAAACTCAGTCCACATGAATCAACACAGCAAAGAAAAATACAAAACACACAAACCATAATACTTTTTGAAGTGCACTCGCGTTGACAGATACAGATATTTCATTATGGAAAGTGAGCAGATTTTTTCCCAGCCTCCCACACCAACGCCCACTCCGCTTTGCCGATAACGTCCTCTCGCTGTGCCTGCCCTTCCTCCCTCGGTCCCCGTCGGTCGGCAGGATCTGCAGGCTCGACTCAGCGCGAGCGAGGGCGTGGCTCGCGACCAGGCCACCCTCATCGCGTCTCTCACGCGCAAAGTGGAGGGCGGAGACGAGAAACTCGCTCTCGCGCAAGAGGGCGCACAGAGGATGCGAGACGATTTCCAACAGAGGGAGAGCATTTACGAAGAGAACGTGAGTCACGCTTCGTCATCATCTTCGTCATTTAGGGGCGCTGCAGTGGCGAGATGTCAACTCCCTCGCCCGGGTATGCAGGAGGTCGTGGGTTCGATCCCCTGTGGTCGTGTTGATTTTTGTCCGGGTCCTCCTGTGTTTCCCCTCCACATTCAGAAACATGTGATTAGATTTGTTAGCTTTCCACATGATAAGCCACTTCGTGGACAGGCTTAAGTCATTGTAGTTTTTTTTCAATATATTGGCCACGCCGACTGCTCTTATTGCAGACAGCATAACTAAGTTAACTGTAAATATGGTGTTATGTGGTAGGATGTATAGTTTCGGAAGGGGGCAGCCCCCGTAGCTAATTACAGCATTGGCACCACAAAGTACGTGCAGCCGGAGCTTTTGTAAATTTAGGAATTAGTGTCCCAGAGAAATGGGAAAAAATTTGGGCAAACACCATTATCATGTTAGCACCTGATCACCGAGCCAACTAAAGAGTCTCTTTGATTTCGTGTTCCTCGAAAGCAGTGGTCCACGTTACATTGCATGCGTACATGTCCCTGCAGATCCACCTTTTCACGAGTTAAATTTCAAATGATGCCCAGAGTGCGATTGTCGAAGAAATGAGTAGACCATCGCCCACGCAGTAAACCACTGTGAACATCATGGGACCTTTCTTATAACCACTGTGAACTCCGTAAACTAAAATGAGGAATTTAAGCAATCCACCATACATTAACTGGGCTATTTCCAGGCTAGCTAATCTGGCTTATAAGTTTCTAAGCATCAATGCATATATGTCGCACCTCCGATTGGCACGGTTGGCTATGTACGGTGCGAAATAAGTTCTACATACATACGCAAGAATATACCAGCATGCAAGCAAGTTAAGGTTAGGACCATTGCAATCATTAGCACCAACCAGGGCAGGTTTACTAGTTTTACTCGTGTCCTGTGTGGCATTTCCAGAGGTGCTACCCTCCCTCCCAATTCAAAGCAGGGGTCATCCCCCCCTTGCAATTCACATTTAGTGCCCCTAGGTAATGAATTGAAACCGCTATTCCACCATGGGTAGAACCACACGAAGCTCTGCCCTGCTTTGTTTATGACCTGAGTTGTTTGTGGTAGCATTACAACAGACTAAAAAAGTGACACTGTTATTCCTTGTCGTATTTTTTCACTTGCATTTATAAAACGCAGGCACGCATGCTGAAGCAGATGGTGCTCGAGAAGGATGGGCATCTTCAGGAGCAGTCACGGCGGCATGAGCAGGAACTCTTCCTCATCGAAGCCAAGTCGGACGCCAGTGCCGACCTCCAGCAGGTGTGACCTTGCATCCGTCGCTCCATGCTTTGTGCTTGCATGTGGGTGCAACAGCAACAACAACAACAGCCGCCATATGCCACTAAGTGGCGGACACGTCACCACGGCGCTTGTGCCCTCAGCCAGCTGCACTCCGAGGCCACGTGAAGTGTCGAAAGCTCACTGACAGCAGGTCACGGGACAGAGTACAGGCGCCATGGGTGCATGCCCAGACTGCCAAATGCATATCCAAACACATAGTAGTAGTAGTAATAACAATAATGCAATGTCTGATGCACACTTTCACGGACATAAATGACCGTGACTCTTGAGACGTTAAGAAAATTCATACACGTGACACATTGTCTTCTGGAGCAGTTATTTATTTTGAGTATTAAGATTCTTGGCTCAAGAAATCAGATTTTCACAGGTTTTCAAGAAGCTTTAAGGAGGGTTCTGCTAAATTTACGCAGTAGCTCTGATGTTGCTTTGTGTAATCCCAGTCGGATAATGTTTCAGCATTGGGATGTTTGGCCAGTACCAGCTACATTGTGTTTTTTTTTGTTTAGCTATGGGGCAGAAGGTGGTGCACAAACTCACCGCAAGAGTTGTTTTCTCATATCGTGATGCAATTAGCACAACTTGAATCAAATTGTAAAAGATGGCACCGGTTTGTATGTTGAACTTATTTTGTACTGTACATAGCCAACCGTGCTAATCGGAAGTGTGTGGGAAGGACAACAAACTTTGTCTGACGTGCAACGTCATGTGACTGTTCGCGCCACCTCCCCTCTCCTTTTTCACCGACAGCTTCTCAAGTCACTGAAGCAGAAGTTGCAGGAGAAGGAAGAGGTTCTGGCTGGAAGGACTCAGGTGGTCGGAATGCTGCAGAGGGAAGTCGACAGCCGGGACCACAAGATCAAGGTCAGTGCAAGTGATAGGTTTATGCAGTAGATTTCAGGCATGAGATGACTCATCCTCTGAGCGATTAATTGAATTTGGAGCTGGGATTATATTCACGAATCGATTTTTTTAACCATATTGCTTGTTTTGTTTATAAATATATCCATATCATTTGTGTACATTAGAAATTATTAATATTGAGTGGTATCGCCACTGGTGGTTGGTTTACACCTTCAGGTTCAAATAAAGTTTTCTCTTTGAATGACTCATCCTATTTGAATTTGTAATTGTATGAAAAATAACCCACTCGGACTAAAGTCAATGTATCTTACCATAAGGCTCCATAGAGCAGTGCTTAAAGCCCATTCACATGTGGGGTAATGTTCTAAACTTTGTTCTGTTGAGGAGTTATACGAACGTCTTTCCATTTCCAACATTTGGACAAATTTCCATGGAGATCTGTTTCGTTGTCTGATTGTGTAAGACAACCAAAAACAAGAAAAAGAGGCCCAGTGAAGGGACCGTCGTTCTGACAGCCTCCTATGGTGTCGTTCAGTGGCACAATGTGATGCACTGCTCGCTGCAGAGTTTCCAAATGAAAATGTACTCAATGTCGTGACACAATTAGCATTTAATTGGGTAAAAAAATGCAAAGAAAGTAAAAGCACCCACAGGGTTAGACTAGGCACTGACATATGCCTGGTAAGTTGGTTCTGGAGGAGGGCTCTCCTTAAAACAGCTCAACTTTAATCTCAGTTGCACGCGGTTCTTAAATGATTTCAGTTGGTCTGAGTGAGTGGCGAACCATCCCCAACTCATGACATGATACCAATTGGATGCGTGTAAAGCAATTGGGGCAAAAAAACTTAATTGAAACCAATGGAGAGGATGATGTAGAAACATCAGCAATGGATGTTATATAATCACCAACAGTGGAGAACTTCTGCCCACAGTTTTTGGACCCAATGACCTCCTCCTGAATGGGAGAAGAGAAGAAAACTGATAAATACCAAATCAATGTAATTTCTTCCCCCCCCCCCCCCTGTCCAGAGTCTGACGGAGACGCTGTCGCGACTGCAGTCGGAGCACTCGAACCTGCAGGGTCGTCTTGATGCGGAGCGCCACGTCTTCAAGGCGCAGCTCCGGGACCTGCGGCAGAATCGACCCAAACCGCACGCTCAAGCTCAGCCGTCCGCGACGGCGGCGGCAGCGGTGGTGGTGGTGGTGGCGGCAGACGAACTCTCGGAAGCAGCTCGGCCAGCGGGAGAATCCGGGGCCTACCCACCCGCGGTGATGGAGAATGGCGGTGGTGGAGGGGAGGCGGTGACGGATCGTCTCACGGAGATGGAAGAGGAGGAGGAGGAGAGGTGCAGCCTGCGGCTGAGGATCGCCTCCTTCGACGAGCTGAAGGCGCAGAACGGTGCGTCGGACCGCACGGCCACGTGAACGGAACCGGCCGATTGCAATTGCACACTTCCTGAGCTAAATGATCAAGTGCTCCTTTAAAATAGCTTCGGTTAAAATAGATTAGCGTGGGGATTTCTAAAGCTATAGGGCAGAGTTGGGGAACCTTACAGTCTGAGGGCTGAATATGGTCCGTGACTTCATCTCACGCAGCCTATGGCCACATGATACTTAACACTGAAACGGGCCGCAATTTTTAAAAAAATCGACTACTACATGCATCCTTAGCTGCACTAATTAATTGGGTAAAACTTAACTGAGCGTAATGGAATTTTGCCCCCCCCAAATTCAGTTGGTTCGAGTGAGCAGTTGCTTATCTCGGGATACCACTTACCATCTTACTATTAGCTGCTTCTGAAGAGCATAGGGTGTGGACACTGGAGAGCTCACATCGTATCCTGTGTAATGCTGTGCCCGTGCTTTGCAGAGTTGCTCTCATCAAGGCTGGCTGAACTGGAACAGAAGCAAGTGGCCGCTGTGGGGAGCAGTTTACTCAGAACCCCTGTGAGCGTTGCCCTCCATCTGTGTGTCCCTTTTGTCTTCATTGTAGCCATGCCCGTTTGTGTTAATTATCACCCTGTACTTTTGTGATCATGCCAATCAGGGGATTTTTCTCTCAAAGAAAATACGAATGCCATTCGTATCTCACACAAGTGGGGAAACAACAGTTTTTTTTCCGCATTTACTAATTTTTATGGCATATTATAGTTCATTCAAAATAGGCTCCAATGATTAAAAAAAGGACATTTGCAGAAGCATATTCGATCAAGCACACGCACATATCATTGCAGATCAGCTATCACCTTGAATGAATGAGTGGATGACTAGCTATTAGTCGCACGTGGTTTTGTTACAGGAACCCGGGTACATTGATGACGTCCCTACTGACCTGGTAGAAGCCCCCATCCCTGCCTCTCGCGTCCACAGCTCCTCAGAGGATGGCGACAGCGCGACAGGTTTGTGCCACGACTTATTCCCCCACTGTAGACTTGACACAGAGTGCTACTCATTTTTATATACGTGTAGGGGGTCATGTGCTTTGTCGACTTATGACCGGGATTTGAAGCCGCAGCCTTCCCATCCTGAGTCGGTTGCTCTTACCGAAGCGCCACACCCAGAAAGGTAATTGACTAATAATACGTTGTTGGAAAGAGCACCGATTAGGCCATCAATGAGTCCCAGGTGCTGCCCTGGCTGCCCCGGTTGTATACGTGGCTCATGGTGTAGGGTCCCAGTTACTTTTTAAATCCTTTATATTAAGTTCACTTGCTTGCTTGCTTGCGTGCTTACGACCGTGCAAATCTTTCGGTCGTTTTTTAACCCACTTCCCGTGATCCAATCGAGCTGACATTTTGCACACAGACTCGTTGTGCGTGACAATTTATATTAGTGAAATTTTTTTTCCAAAATGTTACACTTTTTAGGATTTTTTTTTTTTATATTTAATTACCAATTGCTTAATGGTGGCAGGCAATCATCTGACCCATAGGTGGCAGCCATCTCAAGCCCGAGGACGAGATGACTCTAGCCGCCCATTTCAAAGACCAATGTGGGCTGGGTTGTGGCCCATTGAACACGCATATAAAGGATTTATAGTGAAAAACTTTGTTTTTACGGGTTAATTTTTTCCTTGTGCTGTGCCACTGCCCTCTCTCCATGCTCTGCTGCCCTGACACATGCAAATATAAATCCTGACATAGATTTCACGTATATTTGTAAAGCATCTGGAGATGCAGTTGTATTTATATGCAATGCAAATTAGAATTGTGCTCACTGTTAATATACATCTGCAGTAATCAATGAATCCATCTCCACACGTTATCTCCTAGAACTGGAAAACCCAAGACTAATTTGGTTACCTCTTTCAACCTGGAGACACGAGCTGCCATTGCCACCTCCTTTATGTGCGCAGTGAACCAGTTAAGACGGCTCTGGCAGTTGTGCCCGTTTCTGCTCCGTGTGTGGTCTCTGCTCCAGGCGAGCCTGGCATGCGCGGTTTGGTGGAGGCGCTGGAGACGGAGCGGCAGCAGCTGCAGCGTCGCGTGGCAGAGTTGGAGGAGCGGGCACACGACCTGGAGGAGGACGAACAGCTGAGGGACCGCATCTCTGAGCTGCAGGTGAGATGACATGGCCCCACACAGGCTCCACACGGGCCCCACATGGCCTCGCACGGCCTCACACAACCCCGCACGGCCCCACACGGCCCCACACAACCCCGCACGGCCTCACACAACCCCGCACGGCCCTATACAACCCCACACGGCCCCCCATGTAAAAATGTTGGACGCGGAATGACGCTGCTGGGATGGAGATCGTTCTACCCGACAGCCAGAAATTTGCTTCCTCACACAGATCTCCTGGAGTTGGAACTGTCACTCGGAGAAAATAAAATCACTTGACAGCTGATTAAAGTTTCAATTTAAGTTGGGCTGATTGTGAAATGGCCCTACTCCAGAACCAACGTACCATGGATTGACAAATGGCTGTGCGTGTACTTGAGTAATATTACACATATATTTAATAATCTATCAAAGTTAACCGCGTGTATATTGAGTTTGAAGGATTATATTTTCCTTTGAAACTTGGATCTGGTTTCAGTGCCTTTTTGAGATTCTATCATCCACCCCGGCCTTGTTTGCATTTCACACTCGGAATCTTTATTTATCTTGGAGAAATCTGAAGAGCTATGAAGCTCTTTTTCAAAGATATCCAGAAGGGGCAAGTTCAAACGTTACAACAACAAAAAATAAAAAAAAAACTCGTAGAAGTGCAAAGCATAGGGAAACATAAGCAAATTAGTTAAAAGAAACTTAACTATTATTTTTATTTTATCAGGTAGAGCCCACGAAGCTATTTGTTATTATTCAAAAGCGACCTGGCCACAATTGATAGCTCAAGGAAGTGGCTTATCATGCGGAAATCTACAGCAGCCAAATACTCTGAACGCACGATGAGCACGAGCGGTTGGTGCACACTGCGCTGAACGCTGTGTGCCGACGGTTACTTGCTCGGCCGAGTGCGTGCTGCACGCTTTACGGTTTGGTCCGCAGAAAGGGAAAACACAGAGAGCCCCTTTGTTAGTGACGGCAACACAGCTGGCTCCAATTATACCCACACTGCACGCAACGCCCTGCTGTGACAACCACTTCGGCTACACTGATTCACAGTATGCAGTATTTTTGTGGTGTAGAAAGATAGATACTTCCATTCGTATGACTGTGTGTGTGTGTGCATAATTATTCTATGGCGCACTGTGCTACGAACCTGGTGGCCTGGGTTCGATGCCCAGCGATGGCGAACATCAGTGGCATGTAATAAATATCTGAATGGAACCTGGGCCTTAAAGAGGTCGACTCAGCCCCGCACGACTACCTGGAGTGGTGTGTAAATGTTAAAACTTAGGGAGCCAAAGGTGGCCAGGATAAGTGACTGTCCACACCACCACTTTGTGATCCATTTTATTCAGAATAGTTGCTTGCTTAAAAATATAATAGCCTGGATGGCTCCACGGGGAATTTTTGTCTTCGTATGATAATTGTACAGTAATATTATTTTTGTTCATACTTGGCCTTTTATACAATTCAAGAAATGGCTGCAGGCAAACAACAGCATCGGCAAAGTTATTTTTAAAGTTACAAACATTAATTTAATACCTGTTGCGTCTCTGTCAGTCCACGGCAGTACGAAGGCCTTCCCTTGCTGTCTCACTCGTGAAAGTTGTTTGACCAACCTTGCTGGTCAGTGCGGGTTTGTGAAGGGGGCGAGGGTGCATGACCGATTCAGTTGAAACGTGCGATAAGAAGCGTAGGGATGTTGCATGCTTATGTATGTATGTTGAACTTCTTTGGGGCCTGTACGTAGCCAACCGTGCTAAACCGAGGTGTGGGGGGGGGAGGATAACAAACTAAACACAAAAAGCAGTTCTAAAGAAATTCGTTTTCAATTGAGAACGAGTTTTCAATCTATGCTTAGGATTACACTGATCGACAGAATGAGGAACGCATGGTTTATGTGAGCAAACAAAAGTTGGAGACTCATACCGACCATGAAGAAAAGTAAATGGGCTTGGACACGACCATTTTCTGGACGGAATGATAGCTCTTCTAGTGTTTGAGAGAAATGGTGGAGTGGCAGCCAGAGTAGGGTATGTCCAGAAATATGTAAACTCTGTGGAGATGGAGTGATGAAATCAGCTCATGTGCACGAACTAGTTGGGTTGTTTAATTGTACGACTGAGTGATGGCAACAGTTTAGGGAAGCCATCATCCAGCAGTAGATATAACTTAGCCGATGAGGATTTGTGTTTAGTTGCTGCTTTTGGCAAAGCAGTTTTTTTTCGCGGGCAGATAGGTGAACATCCAAGCGTCGTCGTAACTTTCAATTGTTGCGTGCCTCACGTTGCAGCGCGAAAACGGAGCTCTGCAAATCCGCCTGTCTGCGAGCATGGCTGATATCGACAGCAAAGCCTCGCTCGTCTCCACCTTGAACGACAAAATTAAAGAGTGAGTCTGCGCGTGCTAGTTCAACCAGTTCACTCACAATCACAAATGTGTAAATGATAGAGTAATGTGCCAGCGTCGTGTGTTTTTTCATCCAGGACTAAAACTGAGATTAAAGTCCTTTTTGATACGTGTTTTGGAGTGATAAAATAACAAAGCATGTGCAGTGTACATGCATATTAATACACAATTAAAATATTGAATTACACACTCAGGAGCCTTAAGACTAGAGGTATAAAGATATATTGGCTCATCGACTAATATTGAGGCTCGCGATGCATTCATCATTTCATGGCTCCAATAATATATTTTTTTATATTCGTATATATTGTACGTCATGGGCTTACGTGACTCTTAGAGGCTGCTACATTGACAAACTTAGAAATATGATCGATCCTTAAAATTCATCACGATCCTGAATCATCACCACCTGCTGGAATCGCCAGCGGGTGTGGTGAATCGTGAATCATTATAACCCTATATAAATAAGCCCCAGCGAGGCTTTCCTGAATCAATAAACATCACCGTTATTATGATGATTACGATTCCACCACGCGTATGTAACGTTATGACTTCCAGCTGTTCGCCTGCCCCCTCTCAATTGACTCTCTCCCTCCCTTAGGCTGACGGAGCATGGGGAGCTGCTGTCGGGTTCGCTCGCCAAGGCGGAGCGCTCGCTGGCCCAGGCCGGCGAGAGGACGTCCCAAGCGGAGGCGCAGCTGGGCCAGGCGCAGGCATCAGTGTCGCACCTGCAGGCGTGGGAGGCTCGCGCAGCCGAGACGGCCGCACAGCTGCAGAGCGCCAGGCGCAGCGTAAGGAGCCGCGCGCGAAGCCATCCTGCCCCGCCCCCCCACTCCGTTACACCCCCCCCCCACCACTTTCCACGCAGTACTACAAAGCTGGATACCCTTGTTCGATTCCCAGCCACAGTTGAAATCGCTTGCACGGTTCGATGCGTGTGTCGTGTGTGCGTGAGAGTTGTTTATTTATTTATTATTCGTGAATCGATAATGCCCGGTCGTAAACATCTAAAGTGGTTTCCCTCTGAAACCAGCATAGGCCGATGCTTATCTCCTGTTACGTTCTGAGAATGCGGTATAAATGTCACCTACCCAGGTTAAGACCTAATTTCTCAACCACATTAACCGATGAAACACAAAAACTTGTAGTCGTTTTTATTGACCCCAGATAACTAAAAGGGGGGAGACGACCCCAAGCAGGATGTGAACTCACAACCTTCCAATTGTGGGTCATGCACTCTAACCACTGCACCACCGGACCGGATCGGCTTATAATATTTTACACGCTATATTTTTTTTATACACGTGGCAGTTTTTCAGCTTCTTGGTAGTGTACAGTGCTTATTCAAACCCTGAGGTGTTCCCCCTTCCAAAAGAAACTCCTGGTCTCAGTGGAGTCTTAAATGGTTGCAAAGATCAACTATTACCGCTGCTGACTTGCATCTATTTTACGTAATAATTCAACCGCGTTGGCCGCGTGAATGCTCATTGTTCATGTGTGCATACTCGAATGCGCGTGTTAATGTGACTAAGTGATCCGGAATGCACCTATTCTCATAAGAGATTTGATGCTAAGCAGCTAGGAGCCGGGATAGTTCTTGGATGGGCGATCGCCATGTTATTGGCCGTGCAGCAAAATGTTGTTGTACTGTACTTTCTATGTGTTCGTGTCTGTTGTTGCCCACCATCAACCTCCACTGATCGGTATGGTGAAGTATGGTCCAGTAATCCGCATGGTGTTGGGAGGCACTCATTCAGCAGGACTGGCAAAAAGGATATACAGTACATGTACAGTATTTTATTCATAATAATAAACGTTTTTGGGTTAGACAGTATTTTATGTTGTACTATTCCACTTTGGGTAAAAATGATTATTTTTAAGTTATGGATACTGAAAATTCTCACGGGTATAAATAACATTGCATTTCATATATTTAAACTCAAGGACATTCCATTTTACAAAATGAAGGATGCAGCATTGCATCTATTTCCAGATAGTGATGATAATAATAGTATTCACTATATACTATTCCAGATGTAAACGACACGCCAAGTCTCTTGATGCATTAAGTACACATTGAGTTTGAGCATCCTGTGCCATTGAAATCGTGGAATGTTTATATTAGATCACTTGGACGAGTCGACAGTCGAGATAGGGGTGGGGGTGTTAGCGAGGTTGGGTATAATCGGCCTTTAAAGAGTCATTTAGAGGGGAGGGTGGGAGCCCCACTCTGCTCCTTCTACATTCCTCGAACTTGCACCTCGTCGAAAAAACAAATACACTCGATTTAAGTAGTGAGGGCTTTTATTTATTTGGCGGGGGTGGGAGGGTGTTAATCTTTGTTACGGCGTTTAAACTTTCACGCTGGTGGTGGCCTCCCGCATAAACACCCCCGCGGTTCTTGCCAGCGTTGGTACAGGCTGTAAACGTGGCAGATGCGACCCGCTGGCCGCTAAGACGTTGAGTTCCCTCGCAGCGAGCGAGCTTGCTTGGCCTGCAGCCCTGAAACGTCGCCACACGGACGGGTGGGGAAAGGTAAATTGACTCGCGTTGTCATCCTCGCTCCCAAAGCTGAGCCGCTCCGGTGTCATTCATTTGTCACGAGGGCGGCTACCACTTTGAAGTGGAATTGTGCGTGTGTGTGTGTTCCTTTGCGATTGAATATCCAGGAAGTACAGTTACAGTGAAGCGTGCACACTGCACAGAACGACTTGGGCCCTGGGTTGCCATCGTGGAGGAGAATAATAATGTATTGTAGTTTGTTGCAGATAGTATGAACTTATTCGACATGCGATTCAGGTTTGCGTTTGTGGTTTGTTTTAGCAGTGTCAGGATCGTAGTTATTTCGTGTGGTGTGTGGCTCCCCTGCCCTCCCATCTTCTCTGTAGACCCCATTCACTGACGGCAACGATACCTCCAGGCGAATGTAGATGGGGCAATGGCTAGCAGAGCTTTGTAATCGTTTCCAGCTGTGTGGCAGCTTTGCCTTTGCCGCCAGGTTAATATAATGAGGCAAGGCAAGCGTGTTACATTTGCCTGTCCATTTGTTATGAATGCAGCAAGGGTTTGTTTAAATACAGTGAACCTTTTTAGAGATTTGGTTTTTCTTAAGACGACCATACAGGAGACCTCATACTCACAACTATTTCAAACATCTCTGGACAGTGTGACAAAATCCGGCAGCATTGACACGGGCAAGACCGAATCATCGTGTCACATCCTCGGACGCTAAGCAGGATTGATCCTGGATAGTGCCTGGACCAGTGACTATGTCATGGGGTGCAGAGCTACATGGTGTGCAGCAGATGGAATTGCAGAGATATGCGTGGTTATTGTACTTTAGTGTAACTTTTTTTGCTCCTACATTTATGCTTCTCACCTTCGCCGGCTTGACCGGCATGGTGAGGTATGGTCAAATAACCGTCATGGAGTCACACGGCATGGGAAGGCCCTGATCAAGCAGTAGAGATTGGCATTATGGCTGTACGTGTACAGTAGGGTTTACTTTAGCCACATTGTTTAATGTCAAACGGTTTGTGATTGTGCACTGTTAGTGATTGCTTGTCATCAAAGCGGACCCATGAAGTTTGTTTGTTTTGGTTGTCTGGGTGGGACCTTGACCCTCTTCTTCTGTCCCAGTAAAATCTGTTAATACATTGCTACAGTGGAAGGGCGGTGTGGGATTAGTAGAACTGGAGTTGCATAGGGTTTCCTGTGACACCAGTTTTGACCTCAATCCAGTTCACCCAAGGTGTCTGCGTGGTATCTTACGCGCTACCACCAACAGTGGTCCGGGTGTATGCCACAAAACTTGAGTGCCGCGCAAACATTGTGAGCTCTGACATTGCCTAATATTACACACTGCGTAGGCGTTCCTGTCGACCTTTTTGTACATGTCTTCCGCATTAAAATAAAAGTCTGGCCCTGGTTAATGATAGCTGGGCACGTAATTATTCCCCTCCCTCCCTCCCAATGATGTGGTGACTTATCACGATTCAAGGGTGATAATTCAGTTCAACAAATGGATTCCGTTTTGTTTTTACAATTTTATTTGTAGTAATTTAAAAAAAAAATCTCGTTTGTGCAGGTTTGTTAGCTTAAATTGTTGAATAGCAACATTGGCATGTCATTTGCATATGGTTTGTGTAAATCGTGTTAAAAATGTCACTTCTCACATGCGTGTATTGTGAGTGTAAGAATAGATTTTTATAAATAAATTGTTTGACTTTTAAATCCCTTATGATAACACTGATAATTACGTGTCAGTGCATATGTGTGAAATGTTACAGCAGATATTTTCTTTTAATCCATCACGGATATGGACGTTCAGAGTTTTTTTCTTTTTTACATGGACCACCTGACTGACTGTGGGGTTGTCTCTTGTTTTCTGAAGCTTGAAGAATTGACAGTGAAACATGAAGCCCGCGATGTGGAGTTTAGTGAACTGCAGAACGCGGTCGACATCCTCAACAAGACACTAGAAGCCACCAAGGACAAGGTATCGTGTTCTCGGTATCGTAATCATCGGCCATGGTCAATCCACTGCAGTTCTTCCCGAAGCTGCCACCATCTCCCAATATTCCACAATGTAACGATACACCCAGCACCTGCACAGGAGCTCAATCTTCTTTTGTGTGGATGTCCTCTCGGATGCGTTCGTTTCCAAAAAATGGGTTTCGATTGTATTGTTGCGGTCATGTTGTGGGATGGAGAAATTTCCATTTGCTTTGCTCGCAGCTAGCACTGTAACCCCGCCTTGTGTTATAATTATCCTGGATGATCTCGCAGAGCTACTTCTGAAGTGCTTTTTTAAATATTAGTACCTGGAGCACAACCTTTATATTCCCTGTAATGAGTGTTCAAAATCAAATCAGGATTAAAAAAATTGTCATAACTGGAAAGTAAGATACCAACATTTTATATTCTAGTTTTTCAAGTATGGCATGTGTTTTATCTACTGGTGTTAGAGATAAACCCATTAACCTCTTTTATGTAACAAGCTGGTTAAAACACGAGTTTTTGTGCAGCAGGTGACGTGAATATTTCTAAAACCTTAGTGTCAATTGCTCAGTGCTCTGACATAGCATTAGCCTCCTGAGTCACCCATCCACAAACGTGACGTCATATTTGATTGCATTGCTGCTCAAGGAACATTTATTAAAATTTTCTTAGGACCGAACACACTGTCTGTCATGAATAATTATCAATAATGTATAGAGGATATTAGGCTACGCATGAATTAATGAGATAATATCTATGGGACCCTTTTTTAACACCTGTGTTATTGCCGTAAAGGGTAAAGCCTATTTTTTTTTCATCATCATGACAACGCATTAGTAGCGCATCAGGATGGTGCAGTGGCAACACTCGTGCCTTGCGACAAGCAATCACCTGGGTTCAATTCCTGGCTCAGGCACCTTTGTGGATTTTGTATTTCCCCCCCCCCCCCCTGTTTTTCATGGGTGTCTTAGGGGTTCTCCACTTTCTTCCTATAGTTAACATCCTAAAATGTAATAGGTGCTGTGCCAAAACACATCCCAATGCAGGACCCTCCTGAAAAAGACACTCATTGTGGCTTTAGTGGTAATATTATTGCCACGAGAAATGGTGCAGCTTTGGTCAGACACCTCAGAGAAATCTTGAACCATTACCTTAAGTTTATTTCCATTCATACCATGTGAAAAAATGTGTAACCTCAGTGGGTAAACCATTATGGCCTTGGTTTTACCATGACAGTGTAATCGGGTTTTGAAAGCACGGTGGATTTGGTGACATTTACTTTACACGACAGTATTTACTTTGAGAGAACATAAAGGCTCACTCATTCAACTGGTTTTACTAGCTTCATGTTGTTTCTGAGCAATGTAAAAATAGTATTAGATATAGATTTTTAAGCTATTATGAGCCTTGATCAATCCACTGCTGGATGAAGGCCTTTGCAAGTGATTGTCATCTGTCGTCATCCTGTGATGAAATCATCGGCCTCGAACCTGCCCACAAGATTATTAAATCGCTTCATCTCTGCAGTGGACATCCTCTCAGATGGTTTATCTCCTTTACCTAACATTCTGTCAACATTTTCTCCAATGTGTCCCATGGCTGCCACTCTTATTCCTCTTGGTGTGTCTTGCTCAAGCCCACTTTTTTTACATTGAAAGAGGAACTGTTAAAAGTGCTATTAAATATAGGACATGGCAAGTGCGTGGATGTTTGTCATGTGTGGCGTCATGGGTAGTGCAGTGTGCTACAAACCAAGCTTACCTGAGTTAGATTTTTAGCTATGGCTAACATCAGTGGCTATTAATTTAACTATATCTGAGCCTTCTCTAGGTTCGCTCAACCACGAATGAGTACCTGGTGTGGCGCTGACCAACCCGTGTGGCGCCGCACCGACCTTCACCGGTGCTCGCTCACACAACACTTGCCCCGGCAGTCTGTGTCGAACCTTAACAGAGGACACCTTTATCTTTTCTTGTAGGCACGGCAGCACGAGGCCACCGCCGCGTCACTGCGGCAGGAGCTGGACCAGGCCGCGGAGGACGTGGAGCGACTGCAGTCCAGTCACGCGGAGGAGCGCGGGCGGCTCATTGCCGGCCTGCAGGAGCGTGAGCGACAGCTTGACGCGCTGCAGGAAAGCCTCTCTGAGCAGCAGCTGGAAGGGCTCCGCACGCGGGACAGCCTCGCCGAGCGCGAGCGCGAGATCGAGGGACTGCGCGAGGATTTCGCGTTGCGGGAACGCGAGGTCGACGCCCTCAAGGAGGCCCTGGTCACTCTCGACAGGGAGGCGGCCGCGACGAGGGACAGCCTCGCGGAGCACGAGAGGATCGCACTGTCGACTCGCGAGAGCGTTGCCGGGCTCAACGCCAACCTCGGGAGTCTGCGGGTTGCCCTAGCGCAGAAGGAGGAGGAGGCCAAGCAGCTCCGCAGCGATTGCAGCGCGGGGGAGCAAGAGCTGAGGACCCTGAGAGAGGTCGTCGGACAGACCGAGGACAAAAATCGCTCGCTCGCCGAGACCGTAGCGCAGAAGGACGAGTTGATCAAAGGCTTGAAGGGGAATATCACAGGCACGCAAGAAGAGTTTCATCTACTCAGGGAAGCTGTTGCGGATAAAGAAAGAGAAAACAAGCTGCTGATAAAGAACTTGGAAGAGAAAGCAGCAGAGTTAAACTCCATTACCGACAGCCTTAAGCATTCAAAGGAGGATTTAGTGTTTCTGAAAAGTGTTGCGGCAGAAAAGGAGGAAGAATTGAATTCTCTACATAAGGCTTTCTCTGACAGAGACCAGGAGAGTGCGTCTGTTAATGAAAGGCTAACTGATATTCTCAAACAAGTGGACTGCCTGCAGCAAAGCCTCACAGATAAAGAAGCATTTATAGGGACCGCTAGAGAAAGTTTTGAGCGTGAAACAGGCTTGTTAAAGTCGCAAGTTCTAGAGGCTGAACAACAAATCGCTGCTCTCCAAGAAAGCAATAGGGTTAAAGACATAGAAAACACCAAACTCACGGAGGCGTTGTTTGAAAAACAACAGGAAACAGTTTCATTAGCGGACAGTAATTCACAAAAGGCTCAAGAGATTTCTCAACTTCACGAAGCTGTGAAGGGCAGGGAAAAAGAACTTGAATCGGTAAAGGAACACTTGGCCGAGAGAGAGCAAGAGGCGAGCTTACTAAAAGTAGCCGTGCATGAGAGCACACAAAGGACAGAGGGACTGAGTGTAGAATTATCAAACAGAACCAGCGAGGTTAGCCAGCTGCAGGAGTCGACGGCAGAAAAGGAGCATCGAATAAATGATCTGAGTGAATCCGTCGAAGAGAAGGAAAAGCAGATCATAGCTCTCCGTGAGAACGTGACCAAAATCGAGCGGCTCGTCGCTGCCAGGGATCAGGACTTGCGGGATTTCGAAGGAAGGTTTGCAGAGGCCGAGGCTGAGAAGGCCTCAGTGGAAGGAAGCAAGGAGGAGAAGTGCAGGGAAAACGGCCTGCTGAAGAAAAGTCTCGCCTCAAAGGAGCAGGAGTCACTCTTGATTTCAGAGACTTTGAGGGAAAGGGAACAAGAGCTTGAAGCTCTCAGAGGACACTTCACCGAGAAGGAGCAAGAGGAGCGAGTGCTGAGAGGATCCATAGAGGCGACATTGCAGAGGGTTGAGTCACTGACAGCAGAATTAGCAAATAAGGATGGGGAGTTAAGCACTCTGAGGCATGACATCACTGACAAAGACCAGCAAATAAGCTGTCTTCGGGAAGAGAAAGAAAGGGTAGAAGCATCTCTCTCGGAAAAGGTGAAGGAGATTAACCTGTTAAACGAGGCAGCGCTTCACACAGAGCAGGAGCTGCGTCAGCTGCAGGAGAGGTTTGGCGAGGCTGAGAGAGAAACTTCTTCACTCAGAGACGGCAAAGCTCAAAAGGAGCAGGAGAACGCCCTGATCAAGCAGAATTTTGCCGCGAAAGAAGCGGAGCTAAACTCCGTGCAGGAGACGCTGAGGCAGAGGGAGCAAGAGCTGCTTTCGTCAAACGAGAGCTTACAGCTGCAGCTGCAGGAGAGCGACGAGTTGAGAGGGCACTTTGCAGAAAAAAACAAGGAACTGAAGCTAATTAGGCAGACCCTTGAGGAGAAGCAGAGCCTCATTGCCTCGCTGACGGAGCAAGGTGACGAGAGAGATCAGGATATTCGGGCATTGAAGGAAGACGTCGCCGACAAAGACGACCGCGTCAAACAGCTGACACGGTCGCTTGCGGACGAAGAGCAAAAGTGCGTCTCCCTTGAAGAAATCGCCTCGAAAAGAGATCGAGAAATCGGTTTGCTGACGGACAAGTGTGCTGCTGTGGAGAGAGAAGCACAGTCACTAAAGGATAGGTTTGCAGAAGCTGATGAAAAGATCGCTGAGCTCATAAAGAGCAAGTCAAAGAAAGATAAAGAAAACACTGAACTGCAAGATACCTTAGCTGCCAAATACAGTTTTATTGGCTCTCTTGAAGAGAGCTTGAGAAGCAAAGAACATCAAATCACGTCCCTGGAACAAAATTTTCTCGAGAGGACACAGGAGCTAGAACAGCTGAAGAAAAACTTTGCGGAGAAAGAGCACCAATTGAGCACCGTCACCCAGACTCTCGAGCAGAGCAACGAGACCGTGCGGACCCATTTTGCCGAGCAGGAGCAGCAGATTTACTCTCTGCAGGAGTGCGTCTCGGAAAAAGAGCGTGGGCTAGAGGCTCTTAGGACAGCGCTCGAGGAAAGGGCGAGGCAGAGCGACCTGCTTGGTGCCAGCGTCGCGGAAAGAGAGACCGAGATAAAATCGCTTAAGGAAAGTTTAGCGAAGCAAGAAAAGGAGCTCCAATCGGTGAAAAAGAGTTTTGGGAAAGCCAAGAGGGAGGCTCATTCACTGAAGGAGAGCAAGGCGAGCAAGGAAAAGGAAAACAACCTGTTGAGAGAGACTTTATCCAAAAGAGAAAAGGAGGTTGCACTACTGAGGGACAGCGATTTGCAAAAAGACAAAGAAATTTGCTCTCTCGGTGAAGCACTAAAGGGAAGCGACAAAGAAATTGAATCAGCAAAGGAACACTTGGCTGAGAGAGAGCAAGAGGTGCGGTTACTAAAGGAAGCCGTGCAGGAGAGCACACACAGGGTAGAGGCTCTGACTGCAGAATTATCACACAGAACCGCCACAGTCGGCCAGCTACAGGAATCGACAGCAGAAAAGGAGCGTCAGATAATTTCTCTGAGGGAATCCGTCGAAGAGAAGGTAAAGCAGATCACAGCCCTCTGTGAGAGCGTGACCGAAACAGAGCGGCTCATCGCTGCCAGGGATCAGGACTTGCGGGATTTACAAGGAAGGCTTGCCGAGGCCGAGGCTGAGAAGGCCTCTGTGGAAGGAAGCAAGGAGGAAACGTGCAGGGAAAACGGCCTGCTAAAGGAAAGTGTTGCTTCGAAGGAGCAGGAAATCTGTTCTCTCAGAGAAACCCTTGCAGGCAAAGAGCAGGCAGTTTTTTTGCTCCATGAAAGTTGTGGAGAGACGCAGAAGCAGCTGTCAACTGTGAGAGAGCATTTGGTTGAGAAGGAGCAGATTTTGGTATCACTAAGGCAGTTGCTGGATCACACCAACGAATCACTGAGCTCTGAGTGCGCAAAGAAGGCTGAGATCAATAACCACCTACAAGAGACTGCTGGCATCCGGGAGAAAGAAATCGAATTGCTGAACCAAACTCTTGCAGCAAGAGAGCGTGACCTATCTTCTCTAAAGGAGGCGCTCGTGAAGAAAGACGAAGATATTAAATTGCTTAGTGAGAACATAACAGAGAAAGAGGCACAACTTATTGAATTGACTGAAAAGATTAAATTGAAGGACAGCGAATATAGCACCCTGCAGCAATCTTTATCGGATAAAGAGAGAGACATTCTTCTTCTCGGAGAGAGTCTCTCAGAAGCACAAACGCAGAGCGGTTTGTTGACGGAAGCCACCACAAAAGCGGAGCAAGAGATCCGTTCTCTGCAAACAAGCGTTTCCGAAGAGAGGGGCAAGCTGTCTGAGCAGGAGCGTGAAAACAGGTACCTCAAGGAGATCGTTGAAACCAAAGAGAAACAAGTCGCTGCATTGTCAAACAGCATGGCGTCCGAGGTGGGCCAGAAAGATGATGCGCTCGAGAGCCTGCGTGTGGAAATGGAGAGGCAGAGTGCCGTGCACAGGAACCGCCTGGAAGAGCAGGAGATGCAGATTGCCGCCCTCAAAGAACAGCTGTCCAATGCCGTGCTGAAACTGCAAGAGGATGCATCGCTGCACTTGCAGCAGGTCGACGCAGTACAGGTGCAGTTGAAGGAGAGGATTGCGGAAAATGAAAACCTCGATGTCCTCCTCAAAGAGAAGGAGTCTCTGTATGAGGCCGAGGTGAATGATTGGAAGGACAAGTACAACGGCCTTTTGGGCCAGAACAACGATGGCGCAAAAGCATACAACGACCTTTCCCTGCAGGTCAATGAGTACCGTCGCCTTGTTGAGGAGGGACAAAAGGAGGTAGCGGACAAAGTGCGGCTGGTGGCCGACCTGGAGAAGAAGCTGGAGGAAACGAGCGGTGAGCTGGGAGTTGCTCGGGGTCAGTTGACGGCACAGGCGACGCTCTCTGCAGAAGAGAATCAGCTGTTGAAGGCCCAGATGGCTGAGTACCTCGAGTCCCTGACCCGTACAGAGGGTGAGCTCAATGACCTGAGGTCTCGCGAAGCAAGCGAGATGCAAAAATTTCAACATTCGCTCCAGGAAAAGGAACAGGCATTTCTGTCGCTGCAGGACAAGTTTGCGTCGCAGGCTGACGGAATGGAGGCTTTGAAGGAGGCAGTAAGAGCCAAGGAAGCAGAGTGCGCTGATGTACAGTCTTTGCAAGACAACGTCGAGGCGTTGGGTAAAGAGGTTGACCTTCTGCAAATGGAACTGCAAGAAAGGGGAGAGCACATCAAAGAGCAAACGTCCTATCTTCAGCAAAAGGACAAGGATTTGTCTGATCTGCAAATGAGGTACGACAGTCAGGGCGAGCACCTGGACGCTATGAAATCACAGTTGAAGCACATCGGGCAGCGCTGTGAAGAACTCACGGAAAACGTGAAGTTGAAAGATGAGGTCCTCCAAGGCTTGCAGACGCAAATCATTGCTCAAAGCCAAGAGATGGAAGCTCTCAAGAGCGGCAGTGAAGATGTGCAAAAACACCAGCTGGCCCTGCAGAGCTTGCAGCAGCTTTACGACGGACGGTGTTCAGAGCTGGAGGGCCTGAGGAAGTGGGTCGAGCAAGAGGTCCAAGACAGACAGTCTCGCGAAGCCCACTACCAGCAAGCCCTGCAGCAGAAGGAGGACGAGCTGCAGAGGTTGGTGCTAGCAGCCCAGACCGGCGATCTGCTCACGGAGCGTCTGAGCAGCTTGGAAAACGAGCTGCGCGCAAAGGACGGCAAAGTGCAAGAGATCCAGCGGGAGATGGAGGGCCTCCAGCAGAGGCTCGCTGAGGCTCAGGAGCAGTTCAAGAGGAGCGAAGAAATGATCCGCAGCCAGGAGCTGCTGGTGACTGAGAAGCAGGGCAAGGCGGAGGAGCTCACGCTGGCACTGAGGGAGCAAGGCGAGCAGCTGAGCCATTTGCAAAGTAATCTGGATGATAAGGAGGTCGAGAGGGGGCTGCTTGAAAAGTCGCTTTCTGACAAGTCGGCAGAGTTGAATGAAATTACGCAGAGTCTATCGGACAAGCTTGTGGCGCTGGAAGAGGAGAAGTTCGTTTTGACTAATCGCGTCAAACAGCTGGATGAGGCCCTGAGTGGGGCGCAGCAGGAGAAGCTGGAAGCCAGCCAGGCTGCCCCGCCTTCACCAGGCAGAGAACATTTCTCGACAGAGCCGCAGGAGCTCCAACGGAAGACAAATGGAGTAAATTTTACTGCTCAAGATAGGGATAATCTTCATGCAGAATTGTTAAAAAAAGAGCAGATAATAAAGCATCTCACTGAACAACTCAACGCTGGTGAAAGAATTCCCAAAGTAGATGTAGATGCTGGACATATTACTGATATCCTTCCTATTATAGAGGAAGATGGATCTCGCGTGAGCAGCCAACTGCCAGCCTCGCAAAAGCAAGAGCAGCAAGAAGATGCAGTGGAAATACCACAAAGTGCGACATCTGCTCTGCAACAGGACGGGAGTGAGCTAACATCTCAGGTGCAGATTCTTGCCAAGGAAAACAAGGAATTAAGCACAAGACTGGAGATACTTGCGCAGGAGAAAGAGATTCTTTGCCAAGAACTGCAAGGTCAGATTAGTCTGTTACTAAAGGAGAAAGAAGACCTCCTGTTGAATCCAAATGCCATGGCAAAATCCATGCAGCCACCAAGCAGTGAGGTAGAACCCAGACCAACTGGACACACAGAAGAGGACAAAGAGCATTTGCACAATCAAGTGGAAAGGTTGATGGCTGATAAACAGGGCCTGCTGTCTAAAATTGAGTCACTGTCCAAAGACAAAGAGCAAATGAAAAAGAAGCTCCAAGCTGCACTTGTGATTAGGAAAGACTTGATGAAGAAGGTTGCAGAGCTAGAAAAAGCAGGTTCCCATGCAAAGGAGGAGGGTCACAAAGAGGGGCAAAACATACAGCTTCAAGAGGAAACATCCAAGCTGGCAGCCCAGCTTGCCGAAGCGCAGCAGCTCCTCGGTGAGAGGGAGCACCAGCTTGAGGACCTCAGATTGCAACTCGAAAACAAGGAGGCCAATGTAAACTCGCTCAAAGAAACGCTCGCAGCCAAGGACTTGTTGATTGAAGAACTGCAAGTAAGAGTGCAGCAGCCTGATGATGAGGGCATACCCAAGGCGGACGTGGTCTTGGAAACAAATGTTTCGGACGTAACCCAAGCCTTAGTGGAGAAGGAATCGAAATTTTCAGAATTGATGTCTGTCCCCGAGTCCAGTGAAATATCCTTTAAGCAAGAAAAATGCCAACTGCAGCTGGAGCTGGATAAGATCCGTGCTGTGAGCAACAGCAGCATGGAGGCTGCAGTGATCGATGTGCAGATGGAGGAAGTTGAGGAGCTGCCCGGTGCCGTCACACTCGCTAATGCCACGTCACTCTCTGAGCTTCTGGCAGTCCTGCTGGGGACACAGCAGGAGAATAAGCAACTGCAGCGAAAGCTTGACGAGGCTCTGCTGTCGCGCAAGGAGACCATTCGCAAAGGTCAAGAGAAAGACAAGCACCACCGCGAGCAGCTGAGGCAGCAGAAGGAGGAACACGGCGAGCTGTCGCAGAGGGCCATCGTGCAGGCCCAGGAGCTGGACGAGCAGAACGTGAAGATTTTAGAGTTTGAGACCCAGCTAGAAGAGAAGCAGGAGACTATCTGGAGGCTGCGCTGCGAGCTGCAGGGACACGATGCTCGGTTTGCGGAGTTGCAAGCCTCCGTGGAACGCTCCAACGAGAATCACCAAGCTGAAGTGCTCGAACTGCAAGCTCTGGTGGCGGACAATCAGAATGACATGCAGACACTGGAGAATAAGTTGAGAAACAAAGATTCTGACACGGAGGACGCTTTTCGCAGATTAGAGGATGAACATCAAGCTCAGATAACGTTCTTCCAAAGGCAGCTGGATGAGAAGCAGGTTGTCTTCGAGGAATTTCAGAGCAGGCTGCAGAGTAAAGAAAATCTGGTTGCCGAATTGAGGAGCCATTTGGAAAGGTTAGAGAATGACCTTGACCAATTTAATAGCGAAAAGGCCAAACTTTTGGCCGAATTGCATGAAGCTCAGGAAGAGCTTAGATTGAAGGAAGATGTGAAAATGGCTTTGGAAGAAGCCTTGCGAGATCTGGAGTCAAGGCGCCAACAAGAGGCAGAAGGACTCCGCGAGCAGTGGCAATGTGCTGCAGCCGAGAACGAAAGCCTCAAGCTAGCACTCGAGCAGGTCAGTAAAGAGAAGACTGTGGAAGAGCCAGAGAAGAGTGATGGACATCATGATATGGGGAAGCCTCCCCAGACAGAAACGCCTATTCAAGATCATCAGGTGGAAAGCATTAATGTAGAAAGTGAGCAGAAGCTCATGACAAGTGCACCAATGCCGTCAGAAGTCGAAGATGGAAAACCAAGAACTGACGGAACATCCGTAGAATATGACTTGCAGGAGCTTTCACTTTTGAAATCTGAAATGGAAATGCTGAGGGTCACGATGGCTGAAAAAGTCACAGAAATCGAGCACCTTTCCCAACAGATCGTGGAGCAGAGCCAACATGTTGACACGCTCATGGCTACGCTTCTGGAAAGAGACTCGGCTCTGGACGCCCTGGAGATCCAGCTCAGGAAAGAGCAGCAGCAGCACGAGGAGGTCGTGTCGAGGCTACGAGTGGAGGCCCAGGAGGTGCAGCAAAAAACGGTATCAGAGGAAAGCCCCGATGGGGACGCCAAGGGCAAAGATATGCTCAATCGGAAACTCCAGGCTGCCCTTATCTCGAGAAAAGAAGTCATACGGGAAAACAGCGTCCTGAAAACAAGCAACGCGACACTTTCCGAGGAAAAATCCGACTTGCTCAACAAGGTTTTGTCCCTCGAAGGAAAATTGGTTGACATGAAACAGGAGCTTGAGACTCTGTCTGTGAAACTCGTGTCGGCGCAAGATGACAAAGCTAAAGAGGAAAAGGGCAACATGCTAAATTTGGAGCGCAAGCTCGCCGAACTAACGAAAGCCAATGAGGGTCTCGTTACAAAGGTTGGCGTTCTCCAGGGAGATAAGCAAAAGTTGATAGCGGAAGTGGATCGCATCCTTGAGGAAAACCAGAACCTGGAGGCCTCCTGTGAAAGCCTAAAAATGATGATGGACGCTGTAACACGAGAGAAGGACGGTGTAGTGAGGGAGAAAGAAGAACTGGGGAAAGTGTTGGAGGACGTGAAACAAACTCAGGTGACCGAGGATTCTGAATGGCAGGCAAAACACCAAGAGCTGCGCGAGGAATACGAGACCCTGCTGCAGTCATACGAGAATGTGAGCGGGCAGATGGAGCGGATGAAGCACCTTGTGGAGAGCGTCCGGCAGGAGAAGCAGGAGGTCCTGTCCCGGCTGAGCGCATCTGAGACCGAAAAGCAGGGCCTGCTGAAGCAGGTTGAGGAGGCCCAGGGGGAGGGTGAGAAGCTGAAGGAGAAGATGCGAAAGTTTGCCAAGACGAAGCAGCAGAAGATTCATGAGCTGGAGGAAGAGGTGGAGAGGCTGGCTCTAGAGCTCCAAGGCATTCTTACCGATAGAGACAAGAATGCCTATAAATTCAGTATCGAAGCCGAGGTCACGGAGAGAGATGGGCTGCACGGTCGGTTTGATGAGGAAAATCGTGCCCTGCGGGAAGCCCAAGAAAAATTGCGACTTGAAGTCGGTGAAAAGGAACAAGAGACGGAGTCATTGAAACAGGAATTGTGTGAGCTCAAGCAGAAAATGGACGAGCTCAGTGGAGAATGGGGAAGGGAGCATGTGTCGTTAGAGAGACGCGTGGATGTCGAAACTCTGCAAGCAGAAATTGAAGGACTTAATTTGCGTGTGCAGGACCTAAGCACAGAACTGGCACAGAAGGATGGTCAGCTTCAGGCGGTGCTGACTGAGAAGGCTGCACTGATTGAGAAGGTGGAGGAAGTCTCAGGACCCAGAGTAGAAGAGAGCAGGCAGGTGTCCTTCGCCGACTTGCTGCAGGATGACTACGGCAAGGAAGGGGAGAAAGAGCCAGTCATTCTTGCCGAGAAGGTGCAAATCCTTGAGGATGATAAAAAGATATTGGAAGAAGAACTAGAAGGGGTGCAGGAGGCATTTGGTAAAATAAAAAATGTGAAAGAGGCATTGGAAATGGAACTTGTTAACAGCAATCGGAGGATCCACGAAGTGTCAGAGACACTGCAGAGACTGCAAAGTGAATTGGAGAAACGCGAAGCTGATTTGGCCGAAATGGTACGTAAAAACGAGGAGCTTGAACAGGAGAAAGGAGACCTGGAGGAAAGCTTAATGAACCAGATGGCAGAGCTCAATGGGACGATCGCAAACTACCAAGAGGACATTGATTCGTACAACGAAAGAATAACGGAGCTGGAGAACGAGGCGCAGGGCTTCCAGGCGATGTTGCGTGAGGCAGAGGAGGAAAAGGAGCAGGTGGTTCGCGAGCGGCAGCAGACGCAGACGCGAGTGGCGCGGGAATTTGAAGAGCGGTTGCGTACGGTGGAGCGCGGGAGTGAGGGTACACGGGGACGGGCCAAGGAGCTGCAAGAGCTGCTCCGGGAGAAGCAGCAGGAACTGAGCCAGTTCCAGCGAGACTGCATCAAGTACCAGCAGAGGATCACTGGCCTAGAGAAAACGGTGAAAGCTCTGGAAGTTGTACGCAACGACGTTCAGAATGAGCTCAGTGCGGCGAGATTCAGACTGAGCGGCGCGGCAGAGGAGAAGGCTAGGCTTGAAGCCGAGCTCTCGGAGTGCAAAATTAATATTGACGACACGCAGAGCGAGGTCGCCCGCGTCCTGGCGGAGAACGACAGAATCAAGGAAGAGATGCAAAAGCAGGAGGAACAGCTCAAAACCCAGCTCAAACGGAGAGAAGAAGAAGTCGAACGCAAGCTCGCAGCCGAAAGGGAGAAGCAGCGAAAAGATCTCCAGAACTTGCACGAGCAGATGGAAATGGTAAGACGGGAGAAGCTCCGGTTTGAGGCAGACACGCTTGACCTGCAGGCGACGGTGAACATCAAGGACCTGGAGAACAGGCAGCTGCAGAGTAGCGTGAACGAGAGCCTGGCGCGCCTCGCGGCATTCACACGCAGCATGACGTCACTGCAGGACGACCGAGACCGCGTGCTCGAAGAGACTAAGAAGTGGGAGAACCGCTTCCAGGAGTCCATCGAGCAGAAGGAGAAGGAGGTGCTGCTCAAGGAGGACCTGTGTCAGAAGCTCCAAGATGAGGCAAAGAATCTCCGCATCCAGGTGGAGGAGCTTGGCATAAGATCGTCAAGGCTCGAGCAAATGAACAGCGAGGTCGAATCGAGCTACCAGAAGGTCATGGCAGAGCACGAACAGGAGAAGGACGATTGGACCTCGGCCAATAACGCTCTGACCGAAAGGCTCAATGAAGTGACCAGGTTGTTCGCACAGGCCGAAGAAGAACTGAAGCAGCTTAAGGACAGTAACGACAATCTTGCCGAAATAAGTGCAAATGCGAAGAAAACCATGGATGAACTGAGGGCATCACAGGAACTGCTGCAAGAGGACGTTCATCGAAAGGAAAAGGAGCTGCAGAGGCTGATGCTCGCCTGCGATGAATTACAGACGGACGTGCAGAACCAAAGGCAACTCACGGAGCAGCTGGAAGGAGTCATCGCGAGCAAAGAGGAGGCGATCTCAAGGCTCTTGGTGACGAAGGAGAGCGAGGTGTCTGAAATTCTGTCCGACGCCCGGCAGGGTCACGAGCAGGAATTGCGGCATCAAGCGGAGAAATTGGAAGCCGCTAATGAACAAAATCTGAAGGCCGAGAGAGAACTGCAAAAGATGGCAGACCGTCTGACGAGCATGGAGGCTAAAGTGAAAAAGGCCTACGAAGACAAGGACAGCTTTCAGAAAAAGCTTGAAGCATTTACCAAATCGATGGCTTCGCTGCAGGCCGACCGCGACAACGTGGTCTCCGAGTACAAGTCCCTGGAGGCGCTCCACCTGACCAAGATGAGCGAGAAGGACCAGCTAATCCAGGAGGCGGCCTCCGAGGCCAACGGCCTGCAGCAGGAGATCAGGGACCTTCTGGCGCAGGCCGACGATCTCAATGCAGAGAATGCGCGTCTAAGCGCGCAGCTTGCCCGCTACCGCGAAGACCTGGACCAGGTACTGACCCTGAAGGACTCCCAGCGCAAGCAGCTGCTTAAGAAGCAGCTGGACAAGATCCGCACACTTGAGAACGAAAAGGCTGACGTGGAGAGGGAAGTGTCTCGGCTGCACAAGGTCATGGGCGAGAGGGAGGAAACTATCGCATCGCTTCGGGGTGATGGCGAGCAGCTGTCAGCAAAGGTGGAGGACCTTGAGACGGAGGTCGCCGGCCTGATCGGTGAGAAAGAGCAGCTCTTGAGAGACGACCGACTTGGTGAGTTGCAGCAGAAGTTGGACTCTGTTACAGCAGAGTGCCGGCGGCTGGGGGAGGAGCTCGCTGCTAGTGAAGGCAAGGTACAACGAGCCGAAGGCAAGCTCGTTGAAGCCCAACAGGAGGCCGACAGAAAGCTGAAGGAAGTCGAGGCCAGCTACAACAAGGTGAGATACGAGTGTTCAAAGTGATGTTTAAAAAAAATTTATAAATTCTTCACAGGCTATGCTGTATTCTTTGTGATGGACACATGTGGGCTGAAGCTGACGAGGATTACTTATAAATATAAAGCTAATATTTTAGGTCAGTCAATCATGGCTTAAGTATACAGACATGGTTAATGAGAATAAAATGAGTCGGGATACAAAAATAGATGCAGTTAAATAATGAAAAAAGGTCGATGTTTCACTTAAATGTAAACCAGTGTTATTAGGTGGAATATAACTCGACATTCAATGTTTCGTATAATATGACTAATATTTGATACTTGTTTAATGGAAACATGTACGTAATATGGCACCAAGTACATTACATGTTGACAAGACAGCTATTTATAAATAACCTTCCGTTTCAGACATAATTAACTTGTGTTATCCCATTGCACAGTGGCGAGATGTTAACTACCTTGCCTGGTATTCAGGCGGTTGTGTTTCGACCCTGACGCTTATATATTTGGAGTTTGCATGTTCTCCCTGTGGTCATGTGGATTTTTCTCCGGGTGTTCCGCTTTTCCCCTCCACATTTAGAATCGACATGCAATTAAGAGTATTTGGCCGCTATAAATTTCCACGTGATGAGCCACTTTTTGTTGAGCTATCATTTGTGATAGCCAGGTCACTTCTGAAAAAGAGCTACAAAACTCAGTGGGCCTTACCTGGCAAAATAAAAATAGTTTATCGTTTACTTTAATTTGAACCAACCGTTTCCCATCACGGAAGACCCCCCGCGACCCTAAGTGCCTGCCTCTGCACGCAGGACCTTGCGTCGCTGCGTCACGAGAGCGGCGTTCTGCGGGTGCAGTCGGAGACGAGCGATGAGCGCGTCGCCGAGCTGGTGCACGAGCTGCAGGCCGCCGAGCTGGCCGCGGCGCAGGCCACGCACGAGGCCCGGCAGCAGGGGGAGCAGTGCCGTGCGCTCCGGGGGGCCCTCGCTTCCCTGCAGGCCGAACGCGACCAGCTGGAGACCGGGGTCGGCTCGGGAAGCCGTGCGACGCCAGGGGGCGACGAGGAGCTGCCGTCGCTGAGGACGGAACTGGCACGGATGCGGGAGGACTTGGCGAAGGTGACGGCTTTTAAACGCTTTTGAAACCCACATTTAGGCCTGAGCTCTGCTCTCCATCGGGCTGTCCGTTTGTAACAAGCTGGAATGGAACATCCCCCATCGGCTCAGGGCTGTAGACGGGAGATGAATGATGTCCTCCTAACTCATTTTACAAGGAATAGCTAATAAGCATAGATGGTTATGGCTGTGACCGTGTATATGCTTATGATGTTATGAATAAGCCAGAAAGCTAGAATTTGGCACACATATACAGTGAGTCTGTGCTTGTACATGTCTGGTGAACTTCTTTCGCACCGTACATAGCCAACCATGTGCACGTACAGCCATTTTGTCAACCCACTGCTGGATTCGGACCTCAAGCCCTGTGTGGCTTGTGGGGGGTTTCGTTATCTCGCGCTGATCTTTACATGTATGTGATGGTGGGAGTCATAGATGTGGGCGAAAAGAAGTACATCACAACTATGGATATTATGGCCAGAACAAACTGGGTTTCACGCATAGGGTAGGGTCACCTAAGAGTTCTACATTGCTTTAACTCTTGTGCCAAACACTCATTCATATACGGTCTCCATCAGTGAATGAAGTAGCTCATTTCCCATGGCGTGTGACACCCAAGCTGACTGACAGTGGCAGAAGCCCACCCCCTACCAGTTCCAGTAGCGTTGTGCAATCGTTGTTTGTGAATGGTTGCCCCCGCAGGCGCTTGATGACAATGAGGGCCTTGCCGGCGAGCTTGCCGCCCTCCGGTCCGACGAGTCCATCCTCCACCTGGAGTCGCGCGTCGACGAGCTCACGGAGCAGCTGGCGCGGCGCGACGCCGAGCTCGCACGTCTGCCGGCTGCGTCGTCCTCGCGCGCCGGTGCCCCGGGAGGGACGGCGTGGGAGGAGGAAGCAGAAGCGGTGCAGAAGGTGGCGTTGCGCACGGAGGCTCACGCGCCGCCGAGGGAGCCACGCAGGATGGAGGAGAGGAGACTGGGGGCGGCGGCGGAGACGGCGGTGCCGGCTGCGGAGCAGAGCCAGGCCGAGGTGCAGAGCTTGCGGAACTCGCTGGCCACACTGCAGGACGACCGCGACCGACTGGTACGGTGAACGAGCTTGAAATGTGCACGTACAGCCCTTTTATCAATCCGCTGCTGGATGAGTGCAGGCGAGCATACACGTGGCAGCATAAATTTCTATTTAAAGCTTTCGTGACTGCAGGGATTCATCTTTTTGGTTCTTTCGGTAAAGTCACGTAGAAGGGAAATAATAAAATAATAAAAATAGAACATAAAATACAATTCTCACGACGTTTCGGCCACAACGCAAGCAGCCGTCCTCAGGTGAAGAACAGGGCTGTCGGAAAGACAGCCCTGTTCTGTTCTTCATTATTATTTTATAATTTCCCTTCTACGTGACTTTACCGAAAGAACCAAGAAGACGTGGCAGCATAACAATGAAAGTATAACAATGGATTTAACAATGGATTTTGTGGCGCCGCCCCCTCTGTTGCCCACCAAGTAGTCCTGCAGCCCTCTAAACACCCTGTGTATTGTGCATGGTGGTTACTCATCCATGTGCAACCCTGCTTCACTCCTAAGCTCTGATGAGTTCGCGCAAATCCTGATGATTTGTTTCTATACAGCTATAAACGGTATACATTTATACCACTAGCTTTTACTCATAACCCAATGACAAAACAAATGTATTGACAACGCTAATCATAACTGTTGACAATTCATGCAACCGAGGAAAGAACAAATGATTAATATTCTACTTTTAACACTGGCAAGCCTTCGCTAACAAATCCACTCCTGCTGCTCTCATCCCTTTGCCACTGCGTGCTCTGTCCCCCGGCTTCCCGTCGGCGTTTGACCCCAGCTGTGGGAGCTGCGTGGGCTGCGTGAGCAGTACGTGCGCATCGGCGAGGAGAGTGGCGACATCCCCCACCTAAGGGCCGAGATGCACGACCTCAAGCAGCAGGCGATGGCGCAGCAGGCACTGCAGGGCGCACACCGAGAGGAAGTGTCCATCCTGCAGGTGCAGGTGTCACATATGCGGTGAGCCACCGGGCACGAGCCCGGGGAGAGTTTGGGCAAAGCGGCGCCATGGTGGCGAAATGTTAACTACCTCTGCAGGAGGTTGTCGATTCAAGCCCGACCCTGACGCCTGTATATACGAAGTTTGCATGTTCTCCCCGTGTTTGCGTGAAATTTTCTCTGGGTCCTCCGTTTTTCCCCCCTCCACATTTAGAAAGGTGCGTTCAGAGTATTTGGCTGAAATAAATTTCCACCTGGTGATAAGCCACTTCGTTGAGTAATCACTTGTGGACAGGTATTTTCTGAAAAAAAGAGATATGTGGCTCAGTGGGCTTTAGCTGTGTTTGTGTTGTACGAGGGTTCTCAACACTTTATGGGATCCTTGTTGGATTCGTGAGTCCGATTTTTCCCCCACTTCTGGTCTTCATAAGGCACAAAATCGGGTCAGTGGCATAGCTACCGAGTTTGCAGGCAGTGCTAAATGCACCAGAGGCAACGGGGCCAGTGGTGGCCAGGAGCCAGGGCAATGAAGAGGGGGGGGGGGAGGGAAGTTGGACAGAGGGCCTGAGTTAATCCCTTGCACCAGGGCTCATGCGGACGACGCTTTGCTACGACTGGATTTGGATGGCTGTTGTATTACGACAATACTGCGGGGTGGGCAACACAAATCTAGAACTAAAGATATATTGTGGAGAGTTTCTAGTAAGCCTATAATGATAGTTCATTAAAATAAACTATCACGCTTACGATATGAGCAATCGCATGCGTAGGAATGGTATATGATTTTGGCAAATTGTATGCAAACATTGCATTCATTCTAATGGAAAAATGTGGAAAAAATGAGACCTTACAAACGATCATGAAAATTAATCAGATTTTTCTGAAGAACGGCACTGTGGCCGAATGCAAAGATATTTCCAAAGCTCAACGTGTCCGTTATTCCAGGTCCGACAACGAAGCATTGCTGGCGGAAAAGCAGGCGATGAAGGAGCAATTTTTGGCAACACTTGGAGACAGAGACTCGCGCATCGCCGAGCTGCAGAGGTTTTGCCAAGAGCTGAGGTCTCAAAGTGGCGGATTGGACCAGCATCTCACCACGGGAAAGGTGTTGCCCCGACAACCAAATCATGCTTGTGGATCCAATGGGAGCCTCATTATTAGTTACACATCTCAATTATACAACAATTTAACCTTGTTTTTGTTTATTTCTACGTACCGATAGTTTACAACTTTTGTGTTCATCTTAAAATGTACTTTAATTAGTACTTAACTGTTGATATACAATGCAATACCTAATGTAACTTTTACAGATAGTCTCAACTGGCTTGATAAAGCACATTACATTTTTATCGATTTTCATAAATCAAATACATGTGATTTTTTTTTATGAACTTTGAAGTCAAATATATTTTACACTTTTTATCGTATGTACTATAGTCTGCCTATAGCTACACCACCCAAAATACAATAGATCTTGTCACATTTCGGAAGCTAAGCAGGCCTGAGCCTGGATGGTACATTGAAGGATGACTACTGTGCACACCAGGTTGTTATAGACTGGGCCAGGCTACGTGGTGGGCAGCAGGGGGCAATGCAGAAAAATCCATTATACCGTACTTCTATGATCCCACGTGTCTATGCTTCCGACATTACAACCCACACCGGTGAAACATTGTAGAATAACATCCATGACCTGCAAATCGTGGGGAAGCCCTCATCCAACAGTAGATTTGTTGTCATGGCCATAATTAACTTTTTTTTCCAGCGCATTCTTTCGTCTTGAAGGTAGAGAGTTGCGCACGCGGTAGCAGCTGGAGCTCACCTGCCGCTCGCTTGGTCTCGCCCCTCCCTACAGGCGGCTGACGGAGGAGACGGCTCCACCCCAGAGGAGGTCCTGCGGCTGCAGTCGGAGCTGCAGCGGTGTCTGCAGGAGCTGCACCAGAAGGAGCTGCGCTTGCAGCAGCTCAACAACAAAGTGCGTGCTTCCGCAAGCCGGGTCTCCGTGCGCGCGCGACATATTATCAGGACTTTCCCCTGCTGATGCGCAGAATTTAAGTCGGGTATTTGTGGAAGCCCTGGTTAATTGCTGCAACTGCCAGTTCAGGCCGCTGAAGCGGCGACTGATAGCTATTCTGGAAACAGCGGGGTGCAGTAAGTCCCACGCAAGCCCTTTTGACATTGGCACAAATTTCCGAATTACTTTTGGCTGTTTAATCCACCAGAGCTATGACACTATATAAAGCCATGGGTGAAGCGGATTCTGGCATACAGTTAAAAGAAGGCATTTGGTTTCTTTCTTCGTAAACGAGAGTTAAGTCTGCGATGCCGCACCAGGGGCTGAGACGCATCGCAAGTTGGGCCACATTGCTAATGAAGACAAATGCAAATTCTCGGCAAAAATAGGAAAAAAATAAACATTGATCAAGGTTTTGTGAATGTAGGTGGCCCCTTGGCATAGGGATTGGAGCACTAATCTGCCGCTCGTGATTATGATGAACTGGGTTTCGCAAGTGTAGCCAGCTGTGGAGGAACACACAAGTAGAGTATAGCAATTAATTTTGCTGCACTGCCCTATGCTGCCCCCATTCTCCAAATTCACTTCTGGATGAGGGTTTCCAGACATCGTGTGGGCTTTGGAGTTCATTTGAACATACTTCACAATGCTGCTTCGTGCTGATTGATGAAGACAAGCAGTATGATTGGTGGCAAGATGTTAATTCCCTCGCCTGTTTTCCAGGAGGTCGTGGGATCGATCCTGGTCCTGATGCCTGTATTTTGGAGTTTGCAAGTTCTCCCCGTGGTCGTGTTAATTTTACTGCGGGTCCTCCAGTTTTTCCCTCCACATTTTAGAAACATGCCTTTAAAGAGTATTTGGCTGCATTACATTTCTACGCAAGCCACTTCGTTGAGCTATAATTTGTGGCCAGGACGCTTCTGTAAAAGGGCGATATAGCCGAGTCGGCTTTACCTGGTTAAATAAAAAAGAATCTAGTTTTTGCTTTTCTGAGGAACCACACAAACGCGATAAAACAATGGATTTTACTGCATTGCCCAACGCTACACCCCCCCCCCCCACCGTCCGAGTTAAATCCTCGCCAATTCTCACTGCAGCTGCTGGTGGCAGTGGAGGAGCGCAACGTCCTGACCGGGCAGCTCAAGTCACGGTCGCTGTCACTGCGCGACGCTCAGCAGCGGCTCAGCGAAGTGCAGGGTCGCTACCGCGGCCTGGAGAGCGAGTGCCAAGCCCTGCGCCACTCGCTGCATCATGGCGACAACGTGAGGCTTCCCAGTACCCCGTTTATTTTAGTTTTGTGTCCATAGCTGCTTTTTTCGTAGCAAAGTCTCCGTGTGTGTGAAAGCCACTAGCTGCCTTTCAACTGTTCTATGCAAGAAAATCTGGAACTGAAAGAATTATAAAACTTCTCCATTGTCATTGTTGACGTTGGACGAGGTCCAGAGGGCATAATCGCCAATGCTGTTTGTGTGTGCCATACTTCTCCATCACTTTGTTCTTTTTCACTTAGATGCCACGTGACATGCAACCTATGATATGAGGACCAAACCACGTGGTCACAATCTTCGCAGCTTTGTTGTCCATGAACACCTTTCGTGTGTCTGCGTACTCTTGTCTGTTACTAGCCTGGGGCTCACTTATCTGCCTGATGAGTTTCTCATCATTTACAGAAGATGTTGGATTTGGTGTATGACGGTTGTATTAATACTGGATTAAAATATAAAAATATAGTGGGATAATGTCAGTAAATAGTGGTCCTTCACTGTTTATTGACATCCATTTTCTTAAAATATTCCATGCAATATATTGTTCATAAGGCAGGATAAAGACAAATTTAGTGATTTATTTTGACATTCTATTTGTGCTTGTACATTGCGGCCAGCACAGTCTTTAAATTATTTATGGGGAACAGATCATTGCTTCATTTATATAAAATAAATCAACTGTGCAGGCCAACTTGGCAACTCTACAGAGCAACTAATGGAACTTATTGAGAATTCTACTTGCAAGAATTCTCAATACGTCACCTTGAATTACAGACTGGCAAAGCCGACAGAGCTAATGCCCTCAATGCTCTGAACCCTGCTTGGAGTCTGTGCTGACGGTGATTGCGCGTACGCAGGGAAAGGAGGGAGGCGAGGAGGAGGTCCCACCGGGAGCGCCGCAGGAGCGAGCGAGCGCTCGTCTCGAGGTCGACCCAGCGGAGGTGGCGGAGCTCCAGCGCCGGTGAGCGCGACGGCGCCGGTTTACACACCACTCTTGGTCACGCGCTGGCGCCCAGCGGGCGCCCGTACCCTAATGGCATCGTTTATTCACCGCTCCCCGAAAAGATTCAATGATTTGTTGTCATTTAAGAGGTCTTCACTTCGATTTGAAGTATAAATTGTGTTTTGTGTCTTGTTGGCAGTTGTATGTTTTATTTATTTATTTATCTCATTTTGTTCTCTGTCATGTACTCATTGAGCCTAAATGCAATGTCAGCATCTAGTTTGAATGTCATTTGCATCGTCGCTAAATCATTTTTCATGACCATTAGCTTTGACACAAAGTGATGCGGTGACAAGGGGTGACGAGCATTATTTTAAAGTGTGCAAGTGCTTTTGTGTACTTATATGTATGCTAAATTTAGGACCCTACTTTCCATGCTGTTCACACGAGTCTGGGCATTTATTCTTCTTTGCGACTCCAGACTGACCGAGACGGAACAGCTCCACGATACGTCGCATCAAGAGCGCTCTCGGTTGGAGGAGACCCTGAATGAGGAGCGTGAGAGGCGGGTGGCAGCGGAGGAAGCCCTGGTTGAGCTGGAGGAGAAGATAAACCGGTACGAGTGGCGTTCCGTGAATGCCCCACTTCATTTCCTTGGTTGTCTCCGACCAAATAACCCAGAATGCACCAGCTCAGATTTCAGAAGCTAAGCATCTCGCTACACTCTATTCTTTATTTCCCTCTATGTGGGGGGACCCCATTACTTGAAGTTGTCAAGCGGTATTTTTATTTGAGCAGTAACAATCGTCGCCTTCCGTGTGTGCCTCTTCGTTTTGTTTCGTGTGCTTCGTCTTGCCAGGCTGGAGGCCGCTCCCAGGCCTGCAGTCGCCGCACCTGCTCTCCACGAGCACAGCATCATCATGGATTCGGACGACGAGAGGGAAGCTCTCATCATCAACCCCCGAGAGCATCACATTGTGCGCAAGGTAGCGTTAAAACACCGCACTGTAACAGAAATTTTAAACAGCATGCACATGTGACACGCGCGTACATACATAACACACACATAAGCTCTCATCTTAATTTGAATTTCCACTCTCTAAGTCATGTGGGGATGTGTTTACCAATCATCAGGGACTTGTATATTTGAATGAAAAATATTGAGCCACAAGGTCTGGAATTTGGGAAGCCCTAAATAGTATATTAATGTTTTCAGAGAAGAATGCCAACTGCCTTAAATATTAGCCACCGATATATATCATACAATTCTTTACTGAAGACGAGCCATTGGTCAGAATGTTTGCCTCTCGTTTATACGCATGTTATATGCAAACTTTATGGTGAAGGCGGTGAGTTTATTTGATTTACTTCTGTACCACTGACAATGCAGTCGCTTATTTATTTTGGAACTAAATATGCGTTGACGCCAAAGTGGAAATTGAACACCGAACTTCATTCCTCGGTTTTCCCTGATTCCATTGATGGACAGGTTATCACCAATGGCAGCCCTGTGTATTTACACAACACAGATGAAAAGGAAATACATTTGGGTGACCATTCACTTGAGCTGGTTCAAACACGATGCGAATTTAACATATTCACATAATGCATCTGAAAATATTATTGTCGTGGTATTCTTAAGTAAAAAAATATACCTTTCCACAATAAAACATAACTGTGTGCCAACATCCACTCCTGCTGTGAGATCACTGCATGTTTTACCACTCCCATAAAAAAAACTCAAGATTACCATTTTGTGGATTGTTTTCCCAAGACTTTTCGTTTCCCAGGCAAAAAACAGCAAATGGTTATGACTCGCCTCCCACGCGTTTCCATGATCTGTCACAAACCATTTTCACGATGTATTTCAAGTGTTTGTTCTCTTTTTTTATTAAAAAAAAAATTCGACCTCATATGTATCATCTATTTCAAAAGTGACTAGTTTTTTTCCCCATTTCATTTTCAAGATACATCAGAGTCAAAATCTATATTTATCTTTATTTATCCTGGAGAAATACATTGTGTTGGGGCACAGTCATGCCCTTGGCACGTAACGGAAGCCTGTTTCGTCTTTCGTCTTGGCAGATGTGAGATAGCTGGCAGAGTGGCACTTGAAACATTAAGCTTGCGTTTCCCCCCCCCCGCCCCCGTCTCAGCAGATGCACAGCAATGGCTTGTGTACTGTGATTTTGTGTCGCATCACGCACCACGCCGTGTTTCACCTCGGCAGATGCGTGGCAACGGCTTGTGCACCGTGGCTTTGTGCCACGTAACATACGACCGCGTGTTTCGTCTCCGCAGATGCGCGGCGGAGGGTGGTGGTGCCGTCGTTGGCTGGGAGGCCGTGCCGCATATTGCTCGCGGCTGCTCCGCTCACGGCCCCTGGCGCGTGTCGCGCTCCTCTGCTACCTGCTTGTGCTGCACGCCGCCGTGCTCATGTGTTACTTTGGCCTCCTGTGAGCAATGGGCCGTTTTTCCCGCAGGCCCCGCTGCCAGCCTGCAATGACTGCCTACCAGAACGAGACAGCCCGGGTTTGGATTACAGGCAGTCGTTTCACAATGGGCGTGAATTAGGCAGGGTACGATTGAGTCAATGAAAACTGTATTTATAACATTGAGTCCTTTACTCACCCAAGAGTTGCTTTGGTTTTGGTTGGGAAGATTGGCCAATCTTTTTGTATTGCTGTGTATAATGGATAATAGCACTAAAGTGTTGTAGATTTAATCACGAAAAGGAAGTTAGGATAGGTGGGACACTTTCGTAGGAGAGCATGTTACTGAGACAGGTGTTTGCGGTACACCAAGGGGAAAACGTAAAGCCACAGGGTGAGGTGCGGTAGGAACAGACCTCAAAGGTCAGGTGTCGACTTTGCAACAGGATCCTGCCAAAGGAAGCATTGGCGAGTGTGGTGGCATCAACGGCTTTGGCCATGATGACCTCTTCACCTTGACATAACGAAGTGAGAGGCCACAAACACTGCGTTATGTTTTGTCAGAGACCTGAATAAAGCTCTCAATGCAAAGTGAAATAAGAATGTACCAAAATGAGCTACAGCAGAGCATGTCAGTCAGAAAAATATTCTGCATTCATTGGAAAGGTATCTGTTTCATCCTGACTGGCAAATGCATGAGGTAGTATTAATTTAATATTAGCTAACATTTCCATAATATAATTATATTATATGGCAACAATACTGAAATTGTGGTATTTGCTTCTGCCCTATCAAGAGATGCATCCATGTAACATTTTGGTGAATCAAGTCTGAATTGTCTTTGTCAATAGCAGTCCTCTTAAGATAAAAAATAAGTCCACTCTGAAACCCAGAGGACACTTAGATCACAAATAAAATATGAGTACTGTATCATATGGTAATGTTGCGGGCAGTTACATCTTGTTTGTATTTTTATTTTATACTCTTGCAACCAGTTTTGAAAGATCATTGTGGGTGGGGAAAGTAAAACACTTAGTTTTGACAAACAGAACGAATGAGTGTGCTCTGTTAAAAAAAACTTTGGTTGTTTGTGCTGCCACCCATAGCTGTCAACCCATACGCTTTACCTGTATTCTTTTACAGGGAAACCGAGTTTTCAGATCCATACGGCATACAGCCGTATCAATCCGGGCAAAAAAAAACCGTCTTTGTGTTTCTCCCTTGTGATGGGACTTTGTAGGATTTAACGTTGAGATTTATAAGGGCACGGGGTGCCTAATAAGGTCTGAAATGGTCTGTAATAAGGTAGGGCGCTGATAAGGGGTTGACAGGTATGCACCACCACAAGTCCAGTTGTAAAATGTTTTTCCCGGTTTATGACAGGTGTAGATATTTGTGGACCTTTGTGGGAGTTGCATCATGTGATAGAGTAGATGTACAGTCCTCCCAGCGAATTGCAAGGCTTTACCCTGCTAGAGTTTATCAAACGGTGTGTAAAAAAAGTGCGGTTTTAAATGGGGCAAGTCTTAACGTCGCTGTATAAAGGAGGTTGAAACAATTGAAAACCTGAAGTGCAATTCTCTTGGAGTATTTGTTTATATCTTTAGTTTATTATTTAAAATGCTATCAGATTTGACACTGATTATCTTTTGGTGCAGGTGGATTTAAAATGCCCTGTTATCTCACTACAATTATATAGCTGTTACAGTGTGGGTTATTTTTTTTCTCCTTATGCCCTTTCAAACACAATAAAGCTGCTTTATAATGGGACAATGGCCGTGTTTTTCATTACTGAAACCATACTCTTCATAGCGCGTGGCAGGCGTGTACCTTTGCATCAATTCAAATAAATTAGCCGTCGCAATAAATGCATCGTCCTATAAGAATCGATTATTTGCAATGCAAAATGTGTGCTATTTACAAGATGCCGCTGGACACGAGTGATGGCCCAGTGGTCAAGGCTGACGAGGACCTTCACCATGGAGACGAAACGTTGAAATCGGATCTTGTACAGACCCGATATGGATTATTGCCATTGAAAGGCTGAGAGACGGCAATAATTGGGGGAAGGCATTTAGCCTGCATTGGATAAATAAATCATGGCTGATTAAGATATGCAAACTATTTGCTCACATTTCAGAATTGGACAAACGAAACTGTACAAATGATAATTCATGGACTCGCTAAAATGTGGAATCTTTGTATGCGTGTGGAAAAAATTACAAACGGACACATTTATAGTGACATGCAAATACTTCAATATGAAGCATGTTAACTATTTTACTGTATGAGCCAAATGAAGTGGCTGTAAACTACCTTAGATGCATTTCAACCTCGCCATGCATTCTCCAAATCTCTGCTAATGAAAAGCGAAAAGGATATTACGAAAAATTGGCTGCCCATTGAGGTTTGAATTCGTAAAATGAGCCACCCAGACGAATTTGTTTAACTTAGAGCAGCACAATTTTGTTCAAATGTGGTAATCTGCAGTAATTGAGGCACTTGAAAACATACATAAATGAAGTACGTACCACCAGCAAGTTCAGTTTTTTTATTTTTTCAGTTATTCCCTCAGAACTAAATTAACAAGTACACATCCTTATTTCTGATTTTAATCAAAGCAATTACATTCGCGAGCTCAGAAGTGTACTGGAAATATTTATTTTACATAAACGAATCATGTAAAATTCAGTACCCTTTGTAATTACTGTCCAGCATAATCCTTTAATTTTTTACATTAAACTTGTCACAAATTTGGATGTTACATGTTTTATCTCCCCTCCCCATCCCGTTAAATAAGATTTCGATAACTGCTTTAATAAAGATGAAGATTGTTATGTTTACAAAAATACAGTACATTCAAAATAACAACCATATGAAAATACAGCACCTTAAAAAAGCTGGACATCTTTCAAAATACGACAGTGATGATGCAAGGCGTACGTTTCACTCCCAGTGGAGTGCTCTGACATTGCAAGCAAGGCCTCCATGTTATGTTAACGTCTATGTCCATGAAGCAATGCTCCACAAGGTATGCCCCACGTCCAAATCGTAGATCAGTATTTAACTCCTAAAGTTTACTGAGCAAGCACATTCAATAGTTTTCCTTCATAGCACTGGGGTCAAATTGCATGATCTATTGGGGTGTTTCCGATTCCGGTCCTTGCAACCCCACCACAATCCACCTTCACATGCTTGCCAGTCGTCTCCATTCAAGAACAAGTCGATATGAACTCCACGTGGTTGATAATTGGTGGTACCAATCGTTGATAACACCAACCATCAGGTGAATGTCAATCATCAGATCTCTTTCACTTGCCCTCAACATTACATGGGGTGCACACACAAGACCTCTCGCTTAATTTGAATAGTATGGGACAAGCATGGTCTTGGTTTAATCAGCATTATCAACAATGTGGTGGAACATGTTTCTTTACCATCATGCGCATGCAACGTGTAATTATTTTTTTATTGAACGAAGAGGATTGGTAAACGTGCAAAGGTGGCCATGGTTGGTTGGGAAGACCGACGTTTCGAAAAAAACCCGACCTTAAAAGCACTCTCGAAGCAATACTCGAGGTAGTTTTAATCAAATCATCACGAGTAATGTTAGATTAGCTGATGAGTTTGAGAAAGTGGGATATTGCCGCTGTAAATAATGACAACGGATCCCTTGAACAACGAGTTCCTGCGTTCCTTACCAGTTGGCTGCTGTGATTGAGGCCACATCAATTCTGTTGCACACCAGAAGTGGTGTGAAAAGACTTCGGTTATTAACATTAAGATACATATTCAGGAGCGGAGGTGGGAGATAGTGGTGGTGCAGTAGTTAGCACGTCGCGCTAAGAATCGAACAACCTGATGTCAATTCCTGGCCACGGTTAACATCTTTGGTGAATGATATCCGAACCGGTTCCTGGCCATCCTTCAATCCGTAGTGACCAGTGTGGGGAAGTATTATCCAACAACTGCCATGACTTACATGACACGTAGTGGCTTGACAAATAGCTGTAACTTATAATAATTATTTCACTGCTTGTACGCATGAGTAGACCACAGAACCCTGCAGCCAAACGGATCGTGCAAACAATTTTACTCGGTTAAGGCGAGTAGCGACACACGTACGTACCCTCGCATATGTAAACCATGCAAATGCAATTGCAAGGGCATGTCCAGCACAGTATCATTTCATTCATGTCAGTGTGAAGTGCAAAGCCATGCTTCGTCTGTAGTACACAAACAGGCTGAGCAAGTCCGATGCACATTTGCAAAGCTGACCCTCACCGAAAGGTATGTGGGCGTGACGAATGCATGCACGCTTACAAGGTGTGTGGATTAACTCTTAAGAAACTACTGTTAGCATGAAAAGGGTGGCTAAATGTCAAGCAATGAAGGCTCTGGGCATTTCCAAAGCAGAATCATGAAAATGTACTCATGCCATGGTACAATTGATACATATTCTGCATTATTTCAAACCTGATTGCATACACATTTTTCCACATTCTTTTTAATATGCGAAGCCACAGAAGAAATCTTCACTGCAAAGTTATGTACGGCTTATGCAAAACGATTGTAGCGGTATAAAACATTACATGTTAAAAGTATACTTCAAACTTATACTGGATGACAGAATGTTGAATGTGTACTGATGGTTTTCATGTGCTTATACTGCATTTGTAAGTGTGCTTTTCATTAAATAACCCATAAGTAAACTGCACTGTGTGATTCTGCATTAAATAACCGTGTTTACTTTCACGATGGTAAACATTTCCAATTTGTTTAAACACTACACTAGCATTTTTTATTACAGCGTCGGCCTTAAGTAATACGAGTTTACAAATGGATCTCCGTCGTAAAAACACTACGGCGGCCCTAGCCTTCTGTGTGTTTGGTTAAACATCTCTCTCAGTGTCAACTTGGCTCGGCCCCCTGTGCATTTTCTAAAGATCATCCCCCACAAATCTACGCATTCGCCACACGCATGTACACCCTTATAGGTCCGCCTGCTGTGCCTGCTGCTCCTGCTGCAGGGCTTCGAGGCGGTGAAACAGGGCGGCGCTGAACGCCTGCCGGTACGCTGGGCTCACCGTGTCGAGCAGGGAGTAGATTGTCTCGTGGGGCTGCCCATCAAAGCTGTCGTCCACCAGGTCAAAGGCGTGAGACACGATCTGGTGGCACCGAGGGGTAACCCGGGGGAGGGTAACCCGGGGAGAAATGGGGAATGTCAGTACAGATAGTCCCCGACTTACGATGGTCCGACTAACGATATTTCGATCTTACGATGGCGATAGCGATATGACAAAATTGTAAAATATTTTACATTTCGCGCGGCAGGCAAACGCAGCAGCGTACGAGGTACGATACTGTACGTTGGGACGCTGCCGGGATGTAATGTACGCATATAGTTTATACAGTACGGTACTGTACATTGCTCTGTTTTGCTAAATTATCATCATTTTTTAAGACTCCTGGGTAGGCTAGGCCATTTTCGACTCACGATATTTTAGACTTACGATGGGGTCGTCGTAACGCATCTCCATCGTAAATCGGGGACTACCTGTACATTCGTGGGCAGCAAGAGAACTCGAAAAACAGCACACACCCTGTTGTGTTTTACTCGTGCTGTGACCCACCTGTACTTATTTAAAACTCTTTGACAAGCCACTGGTGGATGAAGGCCTACCTCTGCCATGCGGATCATAGAGATTAACGGACCACTGTTCTCCACTCTGGTCAGTCTAGAATTGGTGCAGAGGAGATGTAGGAGTATAGAAGTTCAGTACAAAAAAATTTGCAGCACTGTCCTATAACCTCGCATCACTATCTCGCAGCATGTCCTGCAAGGTGGCTCACATTGATGCATTATCTCGGCTCAAACCTGCTTATCTTCTAAAAATATGACAGTATCAGCCGTGTTAATTGGGATTTGTTCAAAAGGCAATATAGACTCTCACCTGGTCATAATTAAGGATATGTATACCACATTTCCACTCACATATCCAAACCAGCGCCAGGCCCTCACTGCCTATTTTTCATACCGAGCTGGTATGATACACTGACCTAAGAAGACATCTTAATCTGGCTCTCGGCCAATCAGTCTGACACGCAGGGTTAGGGTTATAGCACTTTTTTTTATTCCCGTGCAGAAGCCTGGCTTCTGCAGTGGAATAACAGCTTGACTCCTGCCTGACCTGCAGCACCAGGCTGACTCGGCACTGCCCGGGCATAACTCTCGGTTGTACGGTGGAAAGAAACATAAATTAAAGTATTAGGGGAGTGCAGGCAGACCTTGAGGCCCATGTCCGACAGCTCCACACAGTAGCGTTGCCCCTCCTTGGTCTCCACGTTGATGTAGGCAAGGTACTCGGAACTGGGCAGCGTTCGTGACAGCGCCATGGCGCGCACAGCGAACACCACATCGTTGATGATGGCGTCGGCCTCTGCGCGCATGTCCTTGCACTCCGTCTCCCAGTCGTCTCCCTCCATCGCTGATGCACAGCCGCAGTCTTGTCCGACTTCTTTCCTGCTAAGACAAGAGCAGGGGTGTGCAGCGTTAGCATGGGTGAGTGGTTCAGGTGCAGTGAGTAGTACCTGGTGTGGTGGGTGAACATCGGCACCAGGGGGGACAGAAGCGGCTGGGCATGATTAAGATGAAGAGTCCATTAATATCAGCCGTTTATTTTTCATGAGAGAACTGGATTTAAATGTATACAACTAAACACAGCAAACATTGCAGTGGGGCCAGCCACACCAACTCCTATGGTGCCGTGTTAGCCTTGTTAGGCGCTCTCACAGCACTTTTCTCCCCTAGAGCAAGGGTGGAGAACCTTTTCCTTATCGAGGGCTGAATAGGACCTGGAAATACTATACCATTGGCGGTAACACATCAAACACACGCCTCAGTCACTTATGTCATTGGATGAGATCCGCTGAAGGACGGACGTGGCTTAGATTATAAACAGTATTGCCAGGTGTAAAATATTCCTCTCCAGTTCCCGATTAGTACGGCTCAGATCCTTCCAGTGAGAAATATCGTTTCTTGGCCTGTTTTGCATTTCTAGGCCACAGACAGTGTGAAATAAAGTCGTATTCGGACCAAGGGCTGTGGGGTTCCTTTACCCCTGCCCCAGAGTCAACAAGGGTAGAGTATATCGGGGATCGTTGTAGTAGTTTTTCAAATGTATAGATAAGTGCCGATGCGTTCGTGGGAGTGTAGTGGAGGCGCCTTGCCCTACCAACTTGGCGACCTGAGTTCCATCTCCAGCCGCAGTCAACACCAGTGGAAAGTGACATCTAAACCGAGCCTGAGTAATCTCATCAACTTGCTTGCCAGCGTGAAGCGTGGTTAAACACCCCACATCGCCCAAAGGTGTGGAGGGACCTTCGCCCAACAGTGGTAGAAGCATTGGCGCAGTGTATAATGCCAGTGTACAATAATGTGAGAATCCCCATCTTTTGCACGTGTGGGCCAATGGTGGGCTAAGGGTGATTTATAAAATTAACAATCTGACCCGGTCCTGGGAGTCCCATGACCGGCTCATACTTCACCACCCGGCATTGACCAGCGTGGTGAAGTATGGTCGACCAGCGTGGTGAAGTATGGTCAAACACCGTGGCGAGGCCTTCCTCCAGCAGTCAGCTGACGTTTTACGTTGGAACCGAATTGGGGTCATTTGGAGAAGCAATTTTAAGTCGCAGGATATAATAACTGGATGGAGACGACTTGGGGGGGCCTTCATCCAGCAGTGGATTGACCATGGCTGATGATGACAATATAACAAAAACAAAGATCCCCCGTATAGCCTTAACAGACTAATGTGACGTGCTGTTAGCGATCATCTATGAACGTGGGCACAGGCAACACGAGGGGGTGGATGGCCAGCACCACGCTCGGCCGCCTTTGTCTCCCCAGTGGCGATGTTTACACACCGCACCAGGTACTCATTTGAGGCTGAGTCGACCTAGGGGAGGAGGCCCAGGACCGGTTCAGATAATCACCACCGTGAATCGAACTCGGGTGGCCGGGTTCGTAGCGCAGCGCCGCTGACCGTATACAAGTCTGTCTAGATACATGCACTGGATACACGTGTACATCCAATAAGGTGTACACGCCAACACACACACATTGCTCCACACATGGGTAACAGAAATACCGTAACGATACGTCTACCCATCTTCACAAACCAGCATTGACCAGCGCGGTGAAGTATGGTCAAAACGGCTCCACCCCTCCCCAACGACCCACACCGGCATGCGAACCCTCCCCTATCCAGCAGTGAATTCACAAACATCCACCCCCCCTATCCATCAGTGAATTCACAAACAATCTGCACATTGCACGGGACCTTGCAGTTGTAAACAAGGCGGCGTTTTTGGAATACCAATACAGTGCTGTACAGTGCATGACAACACTGAGAGCGCACGCAATACATCGTCGTAATCCGTCTACAACGGTAACAGCGTATTGATAATGTGAATAATATACGATAATAACATAATTGATCATAATAATAATGTTGATAATCGCGATCAATATTCTCACCGCGTCTCCCCTCTCACCCTCGTGCCGCGGCTCAAGATGTCACGGCTCGCGACTCACTGCGCATGCGCGGCTCTAATCGCCCCCCACCCCACAACCCCCCGCACCCCACAACCCCCACCCGCACCCTTACCACCCCCACCTCACCACCCTTATCACCCCCACCTCACCACCCCCACCTCACTACCCCCACCCCACCACCCTCACAACCCCCACCCGCACCCCACCACCCCCACCCGCACCCCACAACCCCTACAACCCCCACCTCACCACCCCCACCTCACCACCCCTACCACCCCCACCCGCACCCCACAACCCCCACCTCACAACCCCCCGCACCCCACAACCCCCACCCGCACCCCACAACCCCCACCCGCACCCCACAACCCGTACCACCCCCACCCCACCACCCTCACAACCCCCACCCGCACTCCACCACCCCTACCACCCCCACCCCACCACCCTCACAACCCCCACCCGCACCCCACCACCCCTACCACCCCCACCTCACAACCCCCACCACCCCCACCAGCACCCCACAACTCCCACCTTACAACCCCCACCCGCACCCCACAATCCCCCCCCCCCCCGCAATTCAATGACATTTTAATTGGCTATTTTCACTTTTGCTGGCAATAAAACAGTTAAGATTGTCATACCGTGTCAACCCACACGGCTCATACCCCCTGGTCTTGTGCAGGGAAACTGAGTTTTCAGGTCCATACGGGGTACAGCCATTTCAACACGGGCAGCAACATTGTTTCGTATTGTCTGCTTGTGTTTCTCCTTTGTGATGACACTTTGTAGGATGAACGTTGAGATTTATAAGGGCACAGAGTTGACCAATAAGGTAGGCACTGATCAGGGGTTGACAGGTATGTATGTATTTTTAAAATCCTTTATATTAAGTTAACTTGCTTGCTTGCGTGCTTGCTTGCTTGCTTAGGACCGTGCAAATCTTTCGGTCGTTTTTTAACCCACTTCCCGTGATCCAATCGAGCTGACATTTTCCACACAGACTCGTTGTGCGTGACAATTTTCGTGAAATTTTTTTGCAAAATTTTACACTTTTTAGGAATTTTTATTTATTTAATTACCAATTGCTTAATGGTGGCAGACAATCATCTGACCCATAGGTGGCAGCCATCTCAAGCCAGAGGACGAGAGGACTCTAGCCGCCACGCATATAAAGGATTTATAGTGAAAAACTTAGTTTTTACGGGTTAATTTTTTAAACGCCAAATAGAGAACTTACTTTTTCACGAAAGCATAGGGGCTGTCCATAAATGACGTCACGCACATGGGGGGGGGGTCAGACATTTGTGACGATGTGTGACGAGGGGGGGGGGTTGAGAAATGTGACGTAACATCATAATGCGCAACTTTAAATAAATATAGACAACACGTTGTACTTAATTAAATAGACTTTTTAAAATAACGTTTTCTCCTACAACATCAGAGTGCAGCGGCACATTAAATACGCACTACAATGACAATAGTTTAAAGCGATTTGAAGCATTTTTTATTTTGGGGGGGGGGGAGCTTTGTGACGTCATATTTGAGGGGAGGGGGGGTCTGACTTTTTGTGACGCCGTGTGACGAAGGGGGGAGGGGGGGGTCAAAAATCGTCCAAAATCGCGTGACGTCATTTATGGACGGCCCCATAGATGGTGTTGCAAGGACTTATTAACCGCGATACTACATCTGATGAGCTGCATACACCCACGCTGAAGCTATTACATTTTAAAGGGACTGACAAGTCCACCTGAAATAATGTATGACATCCAAAAGCAACTGCATTGCTTTGCTAATACGCTCTACGAATTCTATGCGGAACGTGGGCGTTCAGCTGAAATGCTCTGTGAAATTTAATCACGACTGCGTTGTCACACTTAAAGCTTCAAGAGCACTTGGAGGTGTCGCCCAAGCGCTCTAGGAAATCTGATACAGGTTGGGTGGGCGCGCTTAAGCGTTGCACGTAATCTAAAGGGAACTACGAGTTATTACTCAAGCGCTCTAGGAAATCTAATAACAGTTGGGCGGGCGTGCTTAAGCGGTGTACGTAATCTAAAGGGAACTACGAGTTATGACTCAAGCGCTCTAGGAAATCTAATAACGGTTGGGCGGGCGTGCTTAAGCGATGTACGTAATCTAAAGGGAACTACGAGTTATGACTCAAGCGCTCTAGGAAATCTAATAACGGTTGGGCGGGCGTGCTTAAGCGATGTACGTAATCTAAAGGGAACTACGAGTTATTACTCAAGCGCTCTAGGAAATCTAATAACGGTTGGGCGGGCGTGCTTAAGCGGTGTACGTAATCTAAAGGGAACTACGAGTTATTACTCAAGCGCTCTAGGAAATATAATAACGGTTTGTCGGGCGTGCTTAAGCGGTGTACGTAATCTAAAGGGGTCTTTGTGCTGTTAATTCTAGATTTGAAGCTTTCGTGACTGCAAGGATTCATACTCTTAGGTTTTTTCGGTAAAGTCACGTAGGTAAAATAATAATAAAATAATAATATTTGTTTTTATATTTAAAAAATAATAATAATAAAGTAAAATAATGAAAGTATTGTTATTTATTTAATTATTATTTTACCTACGTGCCATTACTCAAGCGCTCTATGAAGTCTAATACAGGTTGGGCGTGCGTGCTTAAGCGTTGTACGTAATCTAAAGGGTGGTATTATCCGAACTGATCCTCTGCTGGGGGACGCTGCGGGCAGAGGGCGTGGACAGGCCGTGCCGGTATTCGCACAAAGAATTCGGCACAAAATATTTAAATAAACACATACACACACATAGAGGGGGAGGAAATAAAGCCAGGGCTAAGATAGTCGAGGCAAAGTAACCTTTAAGGTAAGTTGCAATGTGAGTGCGAGCGTGCGTGTGTGTCCGTGTGTGCTAATTTGCAGTAAGCTGATGATGATAATCCTAAACTGACTGATACATTGTAGAATGTTAACGAGTTCCAGAGCATACTTTAGATTAACATTACACTTCCTTATTACTGTACGTTCGAATGTGATAAGTTGGAACTTGTTGGCAGCCACTGCCTAACACTTGTAAAAAAAAATAATTGAAATATATAGCGGCAATTATTTCAGTGGCGAATATTCTGATATTGTCCACTGCATTGCATTGGTTGGGTGTCAGTCTTGCGACCCGAGTTCGATTCCCTGCCACGGCTCACCTGTGTCTCTAAACCGGTTCTCAATGCCCCCTCGCCCTTCTCCAACCAGCCTTCACCGTGGTGGTGAAGTATGACCAAAAGGCACGGGAGAGACCTTCATCCAGCAGTGGATTGATCAAGGGATACCCGTGTATTATAATAATGTCGATACTTGTACATTAATACAGCACACACGCATCTTTATACACGGATACATTACTCAAAATTGATGGATGATGGAACCCCTTTATCGATCCACTGCTGGATGAAGGCATCCCCACCATGTGTTGGTCATGATTGACCATTCCTCACCATGTGGGGACAGGCATGTGGTTATCTCTGAGAGTGTATCTATCTTCTAAAGCCAGTAATAACGTGTGCCTTGGGAGCTCACGTTACAATATTAACGAATTCTATTATTCGTGTACAACATGTGATCAAATATAACGGGTGCTGTATATCTATGTCCACGTTGGGGGTTGTTTGAGATGTATTTTGACTCTCACAGCAGAGGCAATCTTCTTGGTTCTTTCGGTAAAGTCACGTAGAAGGGTAGTAATAAAGTAATAAAAAGAAAACATAATAAAATAATTCTCACGACGTTTCGGCCACAACGCAAGCAGCCGTCCTCAGGTGAAGAACAGGTCTGTCGAGAAGACAGAGTCTGAATGACAACCCCAGGCTTGGAGCGTCTTTTTTTTAAGCTGGGTTGGAGGGGAGGAAGAGCGCCTTGACAAAATAATTTGTATATCAAGAGGAATTTAGCATATATATAAGCTGGGTTGGAGGTGGAAGAAGAGCGCCTTGACAAAATAATTTGCATATCAAGAGGAATTTAGCATATTTATGGGAAATGCGTAGGAGGTGGGCCCATGCATTATGCAGGATTAGCAGCATCAAAGGGAGGGGGTAGGGGTAGCATTAACAAAGGGAGGGAATGTTAATAGTATGTAGAAGCAGGAGACCCGCAGCGGAGCAAATAATGCATTCCCTGTGGAGAACACAAGATACACAGTCAATGCCAGTGAGTGGACTGCGTTCTGAAAGTCACCGTAAACGTGAACAACAATCAGTTAAGATCCGATATGGTTTATTACGCAGAGGCAATGTGTGTGTCTCTATGCTTATGATGGACATGTGACACACATCAGCAGGAGGAGCAAGCATGTGGAAATCGGCCACAGGACACAAGGTGTCCACAGCCAAGGTGGAACAGGCAGGGGCGGATGACTGGGAGACTGACCCTGACTTTGAGGTTAGATCGGCCTCTGACATCTCATTGTGTGCGTGTACATCAAGCCCGTCAATTCACTGCTGTACGAAGGGTCCCGTGGGGGATTATTTGAGCATACTTCACCACGCTGGTCATTGCGGATTGGTGTGTGTATGTTGAACTGCTTTCGCGCCGTACGTAGCCAGCTGGGTTAATCGGAGGTGAAAATGGGTAGTGTAGACCTTGGAGCATATACTGCATTACAATCGTGGTTTTTCTTTGCTTCCCAGCAATTTTGTTGACAATGTAACCCTCCCCGCAACAGCCTATAACACTTGTTTTATGTGTGGAGCTCACCTATCTAAGCACGATCCAGGCTCAAACCTGCGTAGTAGTGTCTGAGATTTGATGCCCTGCCTTGGACAAAATTACCCTCTGCACCCAATCTCTCATTTGCCCATTACCTAAATGAATTACATAAAATAATGATGCACTTTGTTTAACCTTGCTGAGCCTCATTTAGGCTCGGCAAGGCAAGGTAATTTACCCTTTTTACCGGGTAAAAGGGTAAAGGTGTCGACATGCCAAGGGGTAAGGTAAAGGGTAGGGTAAAGGTAGCTCGGAAGAATTACCCGGTAGGGTAAAGGGAGCGCGAAGTATTACCCGGTAAATACGGTGCCTTGTTTACCGCTAAAAGCTCCGTGGCGCAGTCCGTGGCCTCCATTTAATAAGTAATATTTTAAAAAACTTTTTTTTAAACACGCTTTTATGAAATGTACGAGTAATGGCAGAACTCCACGACACCAGGAAGTGTCCTCGAAGCTTGCCATAACATAAAGGACCGTGGCCAATTACAGCCAACGTCAGTTGATCGTGGACAATTAGACCCAAGCCGAAACATAACATGTAAAAAAGAATGTCATCAGTATGACATAAGTATCCCAAGTTTGCAGTCGATACCACATTGGGAAGTGGGTTAAAATTGAGTTACAAGATTTGAGGATACAACGACAACAATGACAACAACGACAATCGTGTAAAATTGGAATCATCGAGAGTATTCTATATGAGTAAAGCGCTCTACCTAGCATTTTCCGTTATAACCCTTTTTAATGTGTAGTACCCCAGTAATTACCCTGTAATCGGGAAATTTGTATGTGGTAAGGATAAAAGGTAGGGTAAAGGTAGGCTCGTTGCTTTTTACCTTTTGCCTTACCTGCTAAAGGGTAAAAGGTAGGGTAGAGTGATTGTATTGTGGTAAGGTAAAAGGTAGGGTAAAGGTAGGCTCGTTGTTTTTACCTTACCTTGCCGAGGCCTAGCCTCATTACTAATTTTCAGGAGGTTTCTGCATTTCACATGTGGAAAGAAACATAGAGTACCCACCACACATTTGTGACACTTCAAGCTCCGCACGAATGGAAACTAGAAACGATTTGCTCTTCTGGCATCTGACCGACTTGCGGCCAAGTGGGTTTGGGAGTTTCACGAATCTACCTGATCCACAACTCTTCCATTCAAAGTGCAAATTGAGCCTTCTTTCATGTGTATTCACAGGCGAATGCATGAATGAGTTATATTTATGGATAGCAGCCTTCACAATGCAAAAAACGAGAAGTTTAACGTAGTTCCCATACTGTATATGCAAATATATACAGTAGTCTACACTCTACAGCAAATAAACTTGTGGTCCTATACATACATACATTCATACTTCCCACTAATTTAATAACATGGCCTTTCATGATGAATCATAACCTCCCACTGTTAACATGTATGCACGGAGCCTGCTGTACCTAGTCGATAATGATAACAACCCATTGTTTATTTAAAACGTATCGAACCACTTCTAACCTTATAAATTAATACTTCCAGCTTTCCCAATCTATTTTACTTAAAAAATATTGTTCAAATGACAGCTCCTTGCACGCATCATTGTTTTTTTTTGCAAGAGACTTTCAAGTTCATATTTAAGTATCATTGTGTCGTTTTATTCCTTGCACAACTAACGTCAAAAGTGTTAATTAGCTCGTTCTGTAATAGGGGACTCACAATAACCCTGTATAGATGAGTTTTTGTATTCAGCTGTGTTGCCATTTGGGACTTAATAGGAAACCAGCCAAATTATTCAAAGGGTTGCCCAAAACTTTGGCGAAATTACATAATTACGAATGACACCAATTTGTTTTGCCACTTGGAACGTGAAGCTATTATCACTCATGAAATACTTCCGAAGACAAATCCGTGCTGGATCCATGCGTCGACGTATTATTTTTTACGTTATGGGAGTACTATGGAGAGGAGGATGATGATGCTGATGAATGTGACGATGGGGGTGTAGAATGATGTTACAGAAAAGGAACAGCGCTGGGGAGCTAAGACCGTGGAAGGATCTGGACGTCAAGGACACATCAGGTGATTGAAGACCAAACATTACAACACCTTGTGTTTCCCACGTCATGAGATAGCTGCTTGTATAACCCCAAATGTATCCAGAAGTTTGAAAAGACCCCAGGAGTGGATTAATCCCGTTCCGTATTTAGTTGAAAAAAAATTGCTTATTGTTTAAAATGCACACGTAAATATTGTTTTCTCTTGATTATTAGAATCCAGTGGAAGTTTCTGAGGCTCAAAAGCATCTCAATGAAACCTATAACATCATAACATCGTACATGATACAAAACACACACAAAAGGTAAAATTACTATTGCATAAGCTTCTGTAGTTGTTTGTCTTGCTCTCCACGGTGTTTTCATGGTATAACCCAAAAAACATACTGCAGAGATATGCAGTTCAAAATATTATCATCTTCAATTGTGTTTGGTTATGTGTGTAAACTTGACCTGTTAACTCTATGATGGATAACAGCTCTTAACAAGTAATACAAATCCCATAAGTATCAATAGAGTATGCTAATCACAACACCCCATACAGAAGTCTACGTACATTACATGTGGTTCTTCAAATTATGAAATAGTTTTTTTTTTTATAAAACGGCGAAACATGGAACCACTTCGAGGAAGCTGCACATGAGGTCTCTGCCAACTGTTTCCTGTGGCAGGATGCCGGCACCATGTGACGGTCAGTCTCTTCCTGTTGTGAAAGGTTTGCTTCATGTGCAGATTTGTGTACCACTCACGACAAATACGATTTCCTTGCGGGAGTAATTGGTATCGCCCAGAGGATAGAAGTCAAGGATGTGCATTGTGGCTGTGAGCCAGAAGGATTTGTAACGCATTCGTATTTTATGAGGGATCTGAGGTGACAGAGGAATTGGCAGCCTTTGACAAAATAACCCGGAATCCACCCAGTCTTGTCAGAGCCAAGCAGGAAAGAGCCTGGGTTGTACTTGGATTGTTGACCAGGTTGTCATCGGTGGCTCTGCTTCATGGTAATCAGCAGAGGGCAATGCAACAAAATCATGTACTGTATGCTGTACCATACTACTTAATTCTCATTTCTAGCTGTCTGCTTTCGCCAACCCAAATTATGGTTTTCTCAGGATTATCAGGATCCAGTAGAAGTGCCTCAGGACCAAAGAGCCAACCTGAGGCATCCAAAATAGAAATTGTGCGTATATATATGAGACATTGAAACGTCATACATGACACAAAACTCACAAAAACTAACCGTACGACTAGGGTTGCCACCTCTGAGGCACATAATACCAGGACATATCATTGGAAGAAGAATATCCCAATACTGGAAGAGAGGAGAACTGCACGTAAATGCATTGTATTGGGTGGTGTAGACTGACAATTTTTTTCTTACTTTTAGTGTTCAGGGAAAACCTACAGATTTTTGCCTCAAAAAGAGGATGATCCTGGAAAACTTAGAGGACAGGTGGCAACCCTGCCTATGAACTGCGCAGCATGGGAAGGCCCTCATTCCTTCAGTGGTTTGGCAAAAGGGTGATGTGCATGTGCATGAACTGTTGCTGCAATCTTTATTGCCGCAGCTTGGACAAGCTCCGTGAGAATGTGTCCAAGGATCACCAGGCCATCAAAGTGAGCGAGCTGAAGGCCGGACCCAAGGCGTCGCACGGCTATGGTGGAAAGTTCGGTGTGGAGCGTGACCGCATGGACAAGGTACGGTGACGGGCCACCACAGTAAATGAGCTGGTCCATGCTGCACATCTCACAACAGTCTCATCTCACCTGCCACGGATGTGGTGACTGTATTACTAATCTGGCTATGGAAGCGTCGCATGAAGCTTGGCTTTCTTTTCCATTCCCAAAGCTTTCTTTGACCCCAAACAATTGTTCCTACTTATACAAATTCGGTCAAATTTGGAGTCCTGTTGTCACGCAGTTCATACCCCGCTGTACTGGAAAGAATTGATTGTTAAGCCGCCAGGTTGATTGATGATCCACCACTCGTTAAATCTTGATTTGAAGCTTTCGTGACTGCAGGAATCCATACTCTTTGGTTCTTTTGGTAAAGTCACGTAGGTATAATCAAGCTACTACCATGGTTACTATTCCCATACATTTCATTCATTGATTTCAACACCCATGTTGGACTCAATCTACCAGACTGACTTGTCTAATCCTGAGCCAAATTCAGATGCCTTGTGAGAAACAGTGTGGCAAAGGTTGATTCTAAAAGGTTGGTTCTAGCATAAATAGCCAGTTGAAGACCATTTGCACTATGAGGGCCTTGCGTTTGCTCAGCTCGGACATGCCAGTTGAAATTTTGTATTAATGGCAGGCAAAAGTAGTCCCCTCACTGTCTGATGAGCGTATCATCATTTACAGAGGGTGTTCAACTTGGGTTCGAGGTAGTGTGTGTACCTGTGTCACCCACAGTCGGCCGTGGACCACACCTACGTGGCTGAAACCACGAAGCACACCTCCCAGACCGACGGCGCCAAGGGGTTCGGAGGCAAGTTCGGCGTCCAGACGGATCGTATCGACAAGGTGAGGCCACTCACACAACTATAGCGGCCGGTTAGCGCTATGGGGTTACGTCGCGCCTGTGCGGTGAAGAGTGATTTTGCCTTATGGAGCACACAACCTTGATTAGTTATGTGACCTCTGTAAACTGTTTGGAAGTTGCCATCCCAGTTATACCTTGAGTAATTAGATTTGTCCATATTTTGACGACGGTTTTTGTATGAGCAAGCGGTGCGGCAACCATTTATCGGTGACCTGTCAGCAACAAACTCCCCAAAATTGCGTTTATGTATCATGGCCACTATACCACCTTTTTGCAAGCACGCTAACCACTACGCTCTCTGGCTGTTCACAAAAAAACGTTTGTGAATGTAAAAAATGTGCGCACATGTATCTACTGCTTGAACTGAAGCCATCATCATCACCATCATCTGTCATGACCATCACCACTAGCACCATCCCAGCTAAACGTCAATAATAGTTGTCCTCAAGATCTCTTGCTGCCGGTCATAGGAACATGGAATTTCCTTCTATCGGTCAGGACCCCCAGAACAGAGATAGCAATCATCCACTGCTCGCTCGTTATAGCATATAGACACTGTGACTTGATTATCTCAGTTGCACTGAAGTGCACCGTGAAATGAGAAACACTCTCTGACTGACGTGAATAATGATGGTTTGTTTTGCAGTCCGCCGAGCGGTTTGATTATAAAGCAGCAGCGGCGGCGCACTCTTCGCAAAAAGGTCAATATTGCTCGATAAAGCTTGTGTTCTGGAACTCGTCAAGGGGTGTCTGCTGTAGCTGTCTTGGCTGTCTCTGGGGCTTGTTGTGGTCGCTGCTGGGCCATGGTTGCTTTGTCCAGCGCCGTGCCGCGGTGTTGCTCTGTCTCTCCTCTCTCACATTTTCCCCATTCTGAGCAACACCCCCATCCACCACCACCCTTGAACCCAAATGTGGTTTCAAATTTCTGTAGAGCATCTTGAGGTGCGATCGCATTTTGACGCAATATAACTTGAAATCGTTATTTGTAATGCCTACATGAAACACATCTGAGGGCTGGTTATTGTGGGATTTCAGCAAAAGATTGTACTGCATCTCACATGTGTGATGAGCTGCCTCAAGAAAGCAGCTGCATCGAGAAAGCGGCGAAAAATTTGGGCTTTGTAACCAGACTAACGCCTTAAGCCAAATACATTCCATTCAAATCCGACGAAACTGCATACAAACCATACGCCATGAGACACACTGCACTAAAGCCAATTCGCTGCTAGGATAGCAAACAATCGAAGTCGTGTCTAGGAGCTGTTCCCTGACACCAGGTGGTTACACTTCTTGCCGCAAGAGTTCACAATGCAAATGTGTTTTAAACTCAAAGCAGGTGCGGCGTGACGGGAAATGGTGGGCGCGTTGTATCTTTGCAGCAGTTCTTCTTTTCTTCAATTCCGCGGTGTTCGTGACTATCGGGGCACGACTTCCGCTGCCCTTGCTTCCTCATTCCGTCGCTGCTCGCGAGCTCTATTACTGCACCTCTTTTGCGTCTCCAATCTGTCCCCCACTCCTTGGCCCGTTCTACAATGTCGTTTGCCCAGCTGATGTGCAGTTCTTAGTCTTCTTCTCATCCTTCCAGCACCTTGCAGTGAGCCTGCCACCGGTCACAGCATTTTTCATGTTTATGATATCACGGCTTTTGACCCTTGATTATTTCTAAGGTTCTACTTTCATGTTTACAGTCACACTGGCCAGAACTTCCTTGTTTGTAACAGCGTCTTTGTACGAAATCCTGAAAATCCCTTCTAAAAGCTTTCATCTCGAATGCCATGATCCATTTGTCCTGTGTGGCTAATGTTCTAGTACTGTATCATAGCCGTACATCGTTACGGATTTGACCAGCTGGCTGCTGTTTCTTTTTCTAGTGCCTTGGCATTTTTGGGCCATTAAGGCATGACCACTTCCTTCACAAATACCTCTTTGCAGTGGTCTTTCCATTTCTTTCTATCGCTGCATCCTTCAACTAAGATAGCTTCCATCCCGTCCGATGTTTGGCTGTGAGACAAACGCTGAATGTGCACCGTGTGCTGTCGTGCCCCACACACAGACTGCGCCCATGGTTTCGGTGGCAAGTTTGGTGTGCAGCGAGACCGCATGGACACCGCGGCCCTGGGCTGGGACCACAAGGAGGCTGCGTCCACGCACGAGTCCCAGACCGGTAACCACCTAGTGGGAAGTCACGCGTGGGTGCCTTGTGGAGAGTCTCGTCCTTGCCAGAATTAAGAACAACGCCCTTTATCCTGGAAGGCTTCGATGGGTCTCGAGACTCCTTTTTTCAGGAGGGTCCTAAGTTCGGATGTTTGGCCAATTCCTTTAGTGGGTGTTTGGATTCATGTGAAAGGGAAGTGGAATACCTGAAGAAAAGGCAACTGTGCATAAGAGGTGATGACACTCACAGCTCTTCACAGATTAATTCAGTCCATTGCTGTACTGCCATATCATGGCCACCTCTTAGCCTGTATAAAAAATCTGGTATTTCCAGTTAGCCCCCATCTTAGCACTAACCAGGCTCAAAACCAGATTATCTTCCAAGATATGACAAGATTGGGTACATTCAGGGTGAATTGACCATCGACTAAAGAATGTGGAATTACCATAACTGTTTCATGACCTCCAGTGGAAATGAGCACTGGGCCATTGGTTATTTGAGACTGTTAACGGTAGGAACTTTATTGCATTGGTTTGACTATCTCAAACCTGATTTTGATATTGTGATGAATTGTCGTGTGCAGACCATGCCAAGGGATTTGGAGGAAAGTTTGGAGTCCAGACCGACAGGGTGGATACGGTAAGCAGCATTGTGCACCGTACAGATCGGACCCTAGCTCGATGTTATTTTTTCCAAGCAGAGCATTGTAGATGTTCAACCGCAGAAGTGTTCTATGTTGCACGTCGGTACAAATCGACAACACATCTATGGTTAAGTAAGCTGTAGAAGTGAGCGCACTTTTGTGCAACTTTAATCTTACTTTCAACTGAGCAATTTTTGTGGCTTCTGTAAGTTTGTGAAATTCAAGGGGCTTTCATTAAATCAATCATTCAATAATGGCTAAGGGTGGCACAATTTACCCCCCAGAAATCAGGTGAAATGTATTTATGTTTAACTTCTTTCGCACCATACGTAGCCAACCGTGCTAATCGGAAGTGCGAATTGTCACAATCCAGTAATGCAATTTGTTTAAAAATATATTTTTTATTGCGGTGAATGGTAGCGCCTCCAGTGATAGCAGCTGTCACGTGAACTAATCTCATGCAACGCACGCAGCATTTTGTCAAATGTTCTTTTTGCACATGCGATTGGGTGAGCGCATCACTTAAGCTGACGAATCGACATCAATCGTTGAATCGTTCCACGCCGAAGAACTGGCGGCATCTTTCTCATTTCAGTCAGCGGCCTCCTTCCAGGACATGGAGGGACCAAAGACCAACTACCAGAAGACCAGGCCCGTGGAAGCAGGTAACGTGTGTGCGGGACCGTTGCAAGCGGTCTTCTGTAGAGCCGATTGTTGGCCACGTTTTCACGTCGGCGTTTGCCATTCAGTGGCGTTTATAATTCGGCCCCGTGAGCAAACTGAGCGTTAGCACCTGTTACTCGCCGCCGCTGAACATCTTATTATCAATTTATGATCAATGTAATCATTGGCGTCGTTGTGGAGAATGTGAGTAACAAACTTAATAAGCAGAGCAATTTGGCTCCTCCATTGATCTCTGCCTCCACGTAAAAAATAAAAGTATTTTTGCCACTTGCCGTCAACCACACTAGTGAGTGAATAATTTCAGCAGCACTGGTTCATTGCAAGCAAACGCTGAACCGGCTGCGACTTAGTGCCTCATCGGCAGCCTTATCATGTAGTTTAGGTGTTTCGTATGCTTTGTACTGCACAAGTCATATGCTTGGCTTGAGTGCTGCTCGCTGCTGATTAACTTCCCATCTTATCTCCCACGGTTCATTAGCTGTTAGGGAGTGCATTCTCCTCGTTTTAATTGTTATTGATTCAAGTTTTGTATCTGCTTCTGCATGTCACATCTAAATGAGCCCTGGTCGTTGTATGAGCGCTTGCCATTGTGCATTAAGACATGCACAATGCCTGCTCTTACTGTACCACTGAACAACCAGCTGCGAACTTCTGCTACATGTGAGTCAGCTCTTAGCCAACATGGTCCCTATTTGACCAAATATAAGTTTCAAGAACTGAAATATTCTCCAATTGTTTTATTTCATCAACGACCGTGGATTTAAGGCCTGTAACGGATCAATGTATCACCATCATCTTCAGCCATGATTGATCTACTGCTGGATGAAGACCTCCCCAAGTCATCACCGTATCTCATGGTCCCACAATGCCACAATCAATCTTGCTTCTGCACATGATCTGAACTCAATTCTCCATCTCCTAGGTGATTCATAACTTGGGCATAATCCCTCCTTTGGCTTCCATTCCACCATCGATTAAACTTGACTCTCGTGGAAATATGAGTATAAAAATGGTGTGTGCAAGAATCAGCTCTTATAATGTATGCTAATTATATGCAACTTTTGACACAATCTTACGTTTAGCCTCGTGGAGAAAACATCACTACATTAAGGAGACAAAAAAACAATCTCAACACGCAATGCAAATGAGATGGTCAAAATAACCCTTTCTTGAACCCAATTATGACTCCAAATCATGAGAATTAATCAAATCTGCAGGGGGGTGAATCGTTACATGTGCATGCACGGCCCCTTTGTCAGTCCACTGCTGGATGAGGACTTTCCCACTTTGTGTGGGTCATAGGAGTTATCTGACGATACCTCACGACACTGGCATGTATGTTGAACTTTTTTGCGCACCGTACGTAGCCAGCCGTGCTAATCGGAGGTGCGGGGGAAGGTCAAACAAATTAAATACAAACATCAGTTCTCAAAAAATGAGTGAAGGTCAGTGATAATGGAGGGCATGGATGTGGGAGCACAGAAACAAAGTACAGCCTTGGGTTTTGATGCGCTGCCCTCTACCGCTCAAATACCTCGGGAATACAACTTGGCGGCTTGTCGTTCGGTACTTAAATGTGCATCCTTTGACGTGTCACCTCCAAGCGAGCTCCGGTGCCCGGAACATCCGTGCCAAGTTCGAGAACCTCGGCAAGGCCAAGGAGGAGGAGGAGCAGAAGCGAGCGCAGGAGGAACGGGAGAGACGCCGGGCCCGGGATCGCGAGGAGAGGGAGCAAGCCACCCGGCAGCAGCAGGTCAGAGCAGTACGCGTGTATGCACGTACGTTGAACGTGTTTCGCTCGCCGTACGTAGGACAAGAGTGGTAGCAGCTGTCGAGTGCGCAGGCGGTGAAACTGCCCCGGGGCCCCACGGGCCGCAGAGGCCTTGGCGCCAAGGCTGCAAACGGGGACGGTGGGTGGGGGCGAAGGTGTTTTAAGAAAGACACATTTATCATGTATCTATCCTATTGTTATTGCCAATCACAAGGATACACTCTGCTGCCCCAGACACGGTTATCTGGCTTGACCAGCCATACGAAAGAAGAAGATTTCGAATCATCTGTATACAAACAAACCGCACTTTTTGAACAACGAAAGTGATTTGGTACCCTAGTACACATTATCATGAGCACCGTTGTTGTTGATGCCCGACAGGCTGCTAAAAAGGACGAAGAGCCGGCAGTTCCTGCGGAGGCGAGCGAGGCTGCGCGTTTCCGTGCGCCTCACGGCATCGTGAACAAGATGCGTGACAGCTACGATCCGGAACCTCCTCAACAAACGGAAACCTTGTACGAGATAGAACCCGGGTCGGAATCCAGCGACCAGCCAGATCCTGCTTACGAGACAGAAGCGGCTTACGAGCCAGATCCTGCTTACGAGCCAGATCCTACTTATGAGATAGAACCTGCTTACGAGCCAGAACCTGCTTATGAGCCGGAACCTGCTTACGAGCTAGATCCAGCTTACGAGATTGTATCTGAGTACAAGACAGATCCTGCATACGAGCCAGATCCCGCTTACGAGCAGGATCCTGCCTACAACACCGTGGGGGAGATCCAGTTGCAGCAGCAGGAGGAAGGTACGTGCAGATGCACCTTCGGGCCTAACACCTCATGAAGGGGGAGTGGTGGCGCAGCGGTTAGGCCACTGTGCTACAAACCCACTGACCTCAGCTCGATTATTCTGGCAGCGGCTAACACCAAGTAGCGAGGGATGTCTGCTGATCGTGGGCCCTGTTGGCCCCAACACCTTCACCATACCAGTGCTGATGGATGAAGGAAGGCTTGCCCAGGCCACCCACGTTGATCATGAGGGTTGTTTGGTAATACTTGACCATATTGTTCTGTGCGTATTGGTGAAGGTGGGCAGTGGTTTAGGACCAGGTCAGATGTCACACGCCACTTACTGGCTAGCCGTGGCAGGGAATCAAATTCAGGTCTCCGTTTTCGGAGTGAGAGGCACTAACCACTGATCCACCGCTCCAGTCCGTGGATAACCGCAGCAGCACGAAGCGTTTATTTGGTGGCACTCCAATGGTAGTGCGCAAGCACAAATGACACACACACACAAAAACTCAACACGTCTCGTCAACACTGTGACTTTAAGTGGAAAAAAAATGATATAAGAGTCAACGTTTTGGACAGTGGTTCCAACGTCTGAGCACATGGTAAAAAAGTGGTCCATAGTACAATTCATAGCACATTGTAGAAGTGTATAACTCCCCCTCGTGTGCTACGATGAAGTGGCCATTGCCCGAGACGTCGCCTATTATATATGTTTCCTTCTTAAGGCCACGGTGTTTTATTTACGAACGTGTTGATTTTTGTTGTTGTCACGTGAAGTATGTGTGTTATGGAAATACAGAAAGTTGCACTTGGAATCTGTGTTCCGTGTCCGTGCGGGATGCTGCACATTGCCTGTTCACACCAATTATGCGGGTAGCCTCTTATGGTTGTTTTGCCAGACTACAAAATGAGACTTTCCCCTCGTCCTCCGCAGGTGCGACAGCTGTTGCCATCTACGACTACCAAGCAGGTGAGACGGACGCGGCACGCAAGAATCACGCTTCTGCTATACTTTCCCAGTTTTTTTTCTGCTCAAATTATGAATTTTATTGGAGAATAAATGCTATGCAAATGTGCGGTGAAGAAATTTTATTTATTATTATTATTAACCTCGCTTTCCAACGAGATGGGCATTTCATCCAGCACAATAAAAGCGAGCATTGGTGGATCGATCGCGCGATTGTGTAAAACTCTTAAAGCCTGCTGTGATGCAGAGTGGTCGATGAAAGTAGCACTGCAAGATGTCCCTGCACTAGAAAAACGTCGGCTGGCCGGCTTTATCCCACATCATGTTTTCTCTACCGCGTCTTGAAGTGTTTGCTCGTGAAAAGTGGTTAAGAGATGCCAATGCAGCAAATTGGCTCACGAACCCATTTTATGCACATCATTGAGTGCTATCTCCTTGCTTGCTTGCTTGAGTTTTTTTCCGGCTACTCTGTTTTGCTCCCACATGCAAAATACAGCTTAGAAACAATTGGCCCCATCGTACCAATGTGTAAGATCCCTCCTGAAAATAAGTATTGAAACTCAGCGAGGCCCTCCTGGACTAGCAAGTATCATCATCATCATTATTATTAATGAATACGCTTTTAACACCCTACCAATTCTGTCTTTCGTACAAAGCCGGCGACGATGAGCTCTCCTTCGAACCGGACGACATCATCACCAACATCGAGTGTCTGGATGAGGGCTGGTGGCGTGGCGAGTGCAACGGTCAAGTCGGGATCTTCCCAGCGAACTATGTCGAGCTGCGGCAGTGATTCCCAGGGGGCGATGTCATCTTCTTTTCCACTCGCCACACCTGAGCCAGCCTGGCACGGCTCAGAGCCCGAGCCATCTAGATGACGCGGTGACGCTAAACTAAAACTAAACGAAACTTTTTTTATTTCACCAGGTAAGGCCCACTGAGCTATGTAGCTCTTTTTTTTCAGAAGCAACCTGGCAACAAATGATAACCCAACAAAGTGGCTTATCACGTGGACATTTATAGCAGCAAAATACTCTAGAACGCAGTGTTTCTAAATGTAGAGGGAAAAACCGGAGGATCCGGTGAAAAATCTACACGAGCTCGGGGAGAGAGACATGCAAACTCCAAATATACAGCAGGCGTCAGGGTCGGAATTGAACCCACGACCGCCTGTACACAGGGCGAGGCAGTAAACATGTCGCCACCGTGGCACCGGTGTGCTGACTTCACGGTGTGTTGACTGACATCACATCTGGATCTGGCTGCAATCCAGATCCAGATGTGATGTATCTCGATTTTGGTTACAGCTAGGCACGGTGAATAGCCGATGGAAAATCACCTGTTCACTCCCCCCCCCCCCCCCACTGGATCGGCTCTCATGTGCCAGTGAAAAAGAGGTAAAATTATAGGCAATAAATCATTGGTGGGAGGGGTGGTGGGGGAGGAAATTAAAATACTATATTTTAGTGGTAAAAGCAACATACCAGTGTGTCTGAAGAGGATGGTTTATAATCTATGTACATTATTACCTGCCATGAAATGGGGTCAGAAACGTGGAAATTCATAAAGGTTTTGGGAACAGAGGCTGAAAAGTGTGCAGCGAATATCAGGAAGAGGTTTATGTTCCTATAATGCTTTTGCAAACATTGATTTATAGCGTTTTTAAGCCAGGTGTGCTCTGATGGATTTTCTGGAAATTTGCTGGAAATGTTAACTTGATAAAGGTCTACTGTACATAGTATAGACTTATTTTGCAAACAAATTCTGGCTCTCACTTATCCACCATGATGATAACTGGAAGTCTTTTTTGTTTTTAAATGTGTTATGGCTCTTTCCAAATTTTGCTTCTATTTTTGTGAAATAAAAAAATGTAACCCCAAATTAAGCGTGACGGTAAATCTTCACCTCTTCATTTTCAAAATTGTATTGTTGATGCAATTTAAATTCACGTGCATGTTTTTTTTCCAATACGGAAGTCAGGACGATTGCACACACGCTACGTTGGTTACCGCGAAAACATAGATCGTCATTTAATGGATATGATAATAGCTGCGCACAGTTGCGCTGACCATCAAAACGTTCCGTATACTTGTGTGTCCACTGTGACTGTCCTCACACGTCCGTCACATTACCAGGTGCAGAGTTACATCTGCATTAAATGTAATCGTGTGCATTCTTTGTAAAAACAAAACTTGTGAGACTCCATTGGCAGTGGCGCACAAATAACACACTCTACAAACTCGCCAATCGCACTGCCCTGAAAGGAAAACTAAAGGGGACGTTTCGAGCAAAAGCCTTTTTCAGGCATTGTGTCACAGAGGGAATAAGGAGTCTCGCGCCAACGCGACGAAAACGTTCGGCAAGAGAGAGTCACCAACGAAGGGTCGAAGGGTCGGTGAGTGATGGATGCGCGAGTGGGAGATTCTCTGGACGCGCAGGTACATCCACGGGTACTGCCAGTGAACTCACTGCCACGGGGTTGTGTAGCCTCTGCTACTTTGTGTCGACCAAGGCCGTAGTTATAATATTCAAATATGCTCAAAATGTCCCCCCCCTCCCCCCAATATATTGCTATAAAATAGATTTCTGTTTATATGATTGTGGTTATGGTTGCACTTTATGAATCCCTAATCTCTGCCATTACATAGAATGAAACAAGAAAAGATAAAAAAGAAAAAACAGCAATGTAATACATTATTAGACATTATTGTAAAACATACTTAAAAAAGTCCATCCTATGTGTTAGTGAATTTTTTTATATTTTAGGCAGGAAATTCGTTTTCAATTTTAGATTTTTTTTTTCTGGGGGGGGGGGGACCCCAGACCCCCTGGAAGATTTGGTCTCCCCCAATATTGACTCCATGGCTACGGCCTTGGTGTCGACGCCTCTTCCCTTGCAGGTTGCCGAGGTGAGCTTCTTCCAAAGCTTTCACTCCATCGCTGCAGATGTGCCGCCCTTTGCCTCTCTCTGTCTTTCTCGCTACAGAGATGGAGCAATCGATTCTTATGTGGTAGCTATGTTGAACTTCTTTCGCACTGTACACATCCAACCGTGCTAATCGGAGGTGCGGGAGACCACGAAAGATGGCTACGGCTTGAAAAGACCTTCATGCAGCAGTTGATAGATCACGGCTAGTGATGTAGAGTGGGGAAAGGTGAAAGCCACTCCCCAGTAAACTTGGAACGTTGGAGCAACCATTATAACCACATGCCAACGTTCGTTCAATAGTGCATGTTTACCCGGTGGTCACCGTTATTAATGTCAAACAGTCCGGAAAACTTTGTGTTGAGTGGCGCTGATGATGATGAATTCGTGCTTACATGCATTATGCAGGATTGCAGTTGCTGGTGATGCAGGGGCCAAGTTTGGTTATTTCTCAACAGGTAACGAGCACACAGCTCGTCAAGCCGGTGACGTGGTCCAGCGGTAGCGCATTCGCCGCTCATTGCTAGAGGCTGACGGTTCGAACCTAGCGGCAACCCTGATTAATACTACTGGTGAATTAACCTTAATACTACTCGCAGTCTGCTTCAAAGTGGACGTTCAAGATCCCGTGGCGTCATTCACAAGAGTAAGCCATTGTGTGCTGGTGTCAAGATCCAAATTTGAAAAATTATCCACAAATTACTCGATTGGAACCTGCGCAGCAATCATCACTCCCACTGCGAAAACGTGGCAGGAGCCCGCTGAAAAATAAGAGTCGTGATGCTTTCCTGGGTGAACATGCAGATGTCAAATCCTGCCCGGGTCTCATTCATAGGCAGCCTCAACCGACTAAGAATAACAGCGATTTCCAGCACACAAAACCATTGTTGAGGATTTCAAAAGTTATTCTTAAATGTAAATATGTTCACAATTCAACTCCACTACAATACTGTAAACATACTTTTTTCATGCTCGATTGAGGCTGTCAAGTACCATGGCAGTTGCAGCAGATGGCAGCACAACATACAACCCGGGTCATCACGTAACCCCCACTGGCATGTTTGTGGTTCAATTCAAACTGCCCAATTTTCTGACTAGGTCACGACACTTGTGCGTGTCATAGTTGTCATGAGTCATGATCATTCCGCTGCTGGATGAAGGACTACCCAAGCAGTCACCACGTATGGTCCCACGTGGCAGATTTTTTTTAAATGTACAACTTGTTATTGTTTCAAGTGTTTGGAGCCACGAAACTGCGTAGAGTGACCATGTTTGGCGAGCCTTGATGTGGCAGCGATCGCGTCGTTTACTCGCATATTATGAAGCACCTCGCTCACAAATGGCATTGTTTACAGCAGCCAGACAAATATTAGCATCTGTTATTGTGCAGAAGAGTTTTTTTCTCCGTGCGGGTTGACATGTATCGTGTAGTGTGTTGCATTTACCAGCCGGTATTGGGACAACGGTGCCGGTTTTTTCACTGGTTAAAACAAAGAGCAAAACAATTATGTAAGCTGCGAAGTTACTCCACAGAGCAGCGGTTGGGAACTTGCGGCCACGTGGGCCAAAAACGGGCCACAACTTAATTTCCACGTGTAGCTTACCACTTCGACACGAGATTTTACCCGTCACTGCGAGCATCTTAGACACACTAATCAGGCACGAGAGTGGAATACTTTTTAACCTGAAGGTGGGCGTCCTTGCGGTGGCACGAGTTAGTGAAGTGTGTTCGTTGATGTGTGATTGCTTGCCAAATATATTTGACAGCCCTATTCAGCCCTGAGTAAGGACAAGGTTTCCTAACCTCTGGCTGAAATGCATAAGAGTTAATAGTAGCGGTACAACTCCATCCCAAACGATACAAAATGGTGTTGCAACTGAAGGTCACGATTCTGTTCAATAATTAATCAATGTTTAATGTTGCATTGAATGGTAACGCCTCTAATGGCTGATGGGCCACGGTACATGTGTATGACTACAAAAAGCAATATATTGCTTCTTAAACACATGGTTTGATGCATGTGTCCAGAGCAAAGGAATCGATATTAACCCACGAATTAATTCATTGTTGCGCAGCACAAAATTATAATAAAAAATAAGCATTTCGTTTGCCAATCTTGATAACAGAAATACAGATGTTAGCACTGGTATTGATAAGTCTTGTGATACGTTTCGTAGCAATTGGTTAAAGGGTATTTGCAATTATAACAAAAAATTTAAGTGTCCCTGGATGGAATGAAAGACAGGCTTAATATTTCTGGGAGATTGCAATACATCGTCAAAAGAGTCCATTTAAATTCCGGAGTTTTTTTTTATTTTTAAATACAGTTATACAGTGTCCAATTATTAGAATTTACATTTTGAACCACAGACATTAAACTCTCACAATTACCAAATTATTTTCAAAACCAGAGTTTAGTTCGGTTCCAACGTCTGCTAGACTTACCAGACACAATTTATAACGCATTAACCAAAATTGCACTGGGTTTTCTTTTTTTTACAGAACGAGCTTTTTTCCCCCTTAGCCGTAATTACTAATTACCCTTGCATGGCGTGACCAGGGTCTCAGTGGAAATTGCCAATTTGTGATTGAAGTGAACTTCTGCAACCTCGCGCTCTGTCTGCCGAACCAACCGCGTCAAGATGTGGCTGTCGCTCTGGTTTCAGATTTCCCCCCAACGAGCTCAACGGGAAAAAAACAGGCCATTACAGAATCTAGATTTGAAGCTTTCGTGACTGCAAGGATTCATACTCTTAGTTTTTTTCAGTAAAGTCACGTAGGTAAAAAATAAAATTAAAAGTAGTTAATAAAAGAATATGTTATTTTATTATGTTTTATTTTTATTATTTTATTATTTCCCTTCTACGTGACTTTACCGAAAGAACCAAGAAGATTAATAAAAGTAATAATGGAAATAAAATAAAATAATAAATCACGTGGCCTCAATAATTTCTCATTTTATTTTATTTCCATTATTACTTTTATTAACTTTTAATTTTATTTTTTTACCTACGTGACTTTACCGGAAAAAACCTAAGAGTATACATTACAGAATCCTAGAGACAGGACCCAAACCACGACCCCCCCCCTAAAAAAAAAAGATCCAAGCCGCTGTCGCAAGTATCCAAATCAGCAATAACCTCGTCTCCAAGGTGGCCCGAAGATTTGTTCTAACCATGCCAATATCATAACCTTCGCCGGGACGGCGCGCGACCCACGCATTTGGCAGAATAACGGCGCCGCAGTCGGGGGAGAGAGGCGGGACGTCAGAGTGGGAGTTTTGTGCCGTCTCTGCGTTATTCGTGCCAGCCAGGACAAAGCTGGGGGTCATTGCACGTCTCTTTAAATGTCTTAAGGTGGGATTATTGAAACGTGCTTATACCAAAAGACACCGTTTCGTTGTTTTTTTTTATCCAGTCATGACATATGCAACGTATAACTTTTTAAATTAATAATCATTCAATCCACCGCTGTAATGAGCTTTTTCCCCTAGTATTTTTGTCATGGGGTGGTTTAAACATACTTCACCACGCTGGTCAGTGTGGGTTTGTCAAAGAAGTGGGTGGGGGGTGGAGGCGGTGGATGTTTGTAGGGACCAGTACACATGTAGTGACACAGCGCCGACTGCTGTCCAGCAGCGTCAACTGCGGTCACGCCGTGGAGCACATTACACGGCGCGCGTGTGTGTGTCTGTGTGTGTCTGGGTGTGTGTGTGTCTGGGTGTGTGGGTGTGTGTGTGTGTGTCTGGGTGTGTGTGTCTGTGTGTGTGTGTCTGGGTGTGTGTGTACCGGGTGGCTAAAGCACAACAAGTTGGCACAGTAGGGGGCACAGGTGGTGCATCAGCCAGTCATCTCGGTCATCTCAGTCAGTCGATCCATGGCACCTGCTGGGTCTGCCCCGTGACCTCCTGCCAGCGGGCGTTCGGCACTTCACGTGGCCTCAAGGTGCACCTAG